GCCGGAGCTGGCTCAGGTGTGGTCAGTCGTCAACAAATAGATATTGATACTGGCGATGATGTATGGTTTCCATTTAGTGCTCCTCGGCGGCACAAATTAGGGTCACTGGGCAGCCCGCACAAGGGGACACCCAGCCAGCAGATGACTGGAAAGGAGAGTGGTGATGAGCAGATACTAAGGCGCGCTGGGCGAGGACCGCAAGAGGCCAAAGACGCGGCGGAGAGTGGTGATGAAGAAGGCTGACGACGTTACAAACGTTCAAATGGAAGAGCTGGAAGGCTTGCCGCAGGAACGCCCAAGCTTCAAGTACGAGGATGGATGGGGTGGGGTGAGAGCCAAGTCGAGATCCCTGCCAGCTGGATTCTTCAACATGCTCGAACGGCGGGCTTTGAGTGGACGCCCGCTGCCCGGATCGATTTGTGATCGGTAGATACCGATAGAATGGCGCCGGGCACGTTTGGGGCCTCTCGAGCGTCGAGGCATCGCTTGTTCATGGTTCATTGTATGTAATTAGAGTAGGACACCCCCTGAGCTATTGATGAGCACATCGCCCGCACGAGGGTATTCCTTGCCCACACATCACATGAGATGGCCAGGCAGAGTACACACTTTGGGGGCCACCAATCCTATCGCCCGAAGGCAAAGTGCAACTTGCCATTGTTCAATCCTCGCACCGCGATGGTGTCAACAATGGTGCACTCTACGATCCATCGGGCGCGCAGAGCTAGCCAAAGACGACCTCGGATGCCAAAGGAAGAACTCGCAACTAACGGGCCTGAGAGGCCTCATGAACGTGAAGAATGACCGGTGGGAAGCCAAGATATTGAACAGTGGCCGCTCGCTCTAGTGTCACAAAATTGGCAGACGAGCGGCTTCGCTTAGTCGGTCCCTGGACAGAGCTGAACCGGCCAACATCCAATGACAGCCGGCGATCGACGCACGAGCAACGCTGATGCTTGCTCGTTAGTGTATCGGTTCCGGTAAACCACCGGACTCCGCCACTCTCTTGTCCGATCCCACCCACCCGTCATAGCGTGATGAACATGGCTATTCATGGGCAACTTGGCTCACGTGTGGAGAGACCTATCGTCTGGTTGGTACCCAACGACCACCCCAAGAATCACCGTGTATTCCGAAACAGACTGGGTCGGTTCAGTCGTGATCTCCAATTCAATGGTTTGATGGCCCACAGCCGCCGAATCCCGATTATTAACCTTTGAACCCCTGAAGTCGATGAGACTCCCCCTGGAGCCCCCATGCTCGTGCTGCTCTCTGGCATGAGTGTAAGCTAGGGAGGTTCGGGACCCAGGCGGGATGCCATCACCAGACGATGGACAGCCACGGGCTATGTGTTTCCGCTCTCTCGCCAGACACAGTCCTCTCGCTTGGAGTCTCGACCGTTGGTGGCTTGATGCTTATTTCCCGCATCCATCTCCAACCGGCTTTCGTGCTAGATGGCGAATAGCGCCATGTCGCCATATGAGACGTGATGGTTGCCTCCCTTTTGAACCAACGGATTTGGCAGGTCCCTACTAGTGAATGTCACAATATCACCTGTGCGTAATGCGAGAGAAAAACAAGAATGGCTGCCAAGCCTTGGCGTGATCGTAGTCCACAATAAGGAAAGACAGCCCGTATTATGCTTATTTTTTCGATCCTCTTCCACGGCCTGGTTGTAGTAGGGAGAGCGCCGATCGGTAACCCCAAAGAGGATGGAGGTAGCATAGCTCGCATAGGTCCCGCATTATCCCATGGGTAGCTATAGCTGTTGAAGCGTTCTAGCAGGTTTTTAAAGCATTAGAGCCAGTGGAGTGAAGGGGAGAGGCGAGGTCATCGAGCCAGACCATCGAGCTTGACGTCGACCTGCTCCAGACACCAACATGAACTACTCAACATCTGATGTCCACGTGTTTAACATCTGATAAATCAATATCCAACTAGCCGAGGAACCATTTCACGGAGTCTTCCTCCTGAAACTCTAGATCACGGCCATTACGGGGCCTTTGCCAATAGTACACACCATGCCCCGTTTGCGAACGTGAGAGGTGAGGCAGAAAAACCTACTTGAATGTGACCCCAAACATGTTTCGAGACTACATGCGACTCGGCCAGCTTCATACAGTTGTTAATGAATAGAAGAAAAAGGAAAAAACCAAGAGTCTTCACGAAAACCTCAAGACACAGTTGTACATAACGATATTCATGGGAGTGAAATGAGTTATATGCAAAATTACCAAACACCAAATCACACGTCTCCAGAACACCATCTTCACCCAACGCTATGCGACAATGCTATGCTTATGTATGTACTATGCCACATGCAGGCACCAACCGACACCCATACTAAGCCAAAAACCTTCTACGAACGTAAGCCAAATGGATCTGCCAAATCCACCATCGTCTCCCAAAGCCTAGTCTCCTCGGGTGACGAAAATGTACACTCACCCCTGCCGGCCTCGCTCCCCTTATTACACCCAATGAACGGCCTCACGGCAGGTTCGCAAACCGCCCCCTCGTGCGGCAGCTCTCCCGTCTGGAAGTACTCACGCACCACCTGGGCGGTACACAATGACGGGATCGAGTGCGAGCAGTGGCCCTGTGAGTCCTGCTGCAGAACGACGCTGCCCGGGAAGAGGGTCGCCACACGCCGTGCGTTCCGGATCGGCGTCACCGTGTCGTGGGTGTTGCCGATGATGAGGAGCGGGTGCGAGGTGTTCGCCCACTCCTGTGTTCTAAAGTCCAGGCTGGGCCTCCACGCAGGCTCACTGGTGTATCCCAGGCAAGCGAGCTTGTTACGTGCCCAGCTGCGGCTGATCCACCGGCCCTGAGAGTGCAGAATCGCCACAAACTCGTGGAACTCTTCGCGGGTCAGGTTCGTGGGGCCGCCGCTGTCCATGCACGAAATAGCCTGGAAGGGACCGAATCCGGAAACGTATGGAGCTGGGCCAGTCGCGAAGGGGTTCAGAATGGCCTGTTTCTGGGATACGATTTCCACAAGAGCCGGGGATGATGTGTTCCTTGACTCGACGGCGAGGAGTATCTCGAATAGCTTCTCCGCCATGGCGAAGGGGAAGTACATCCCAGAGAGCAGGTTGAGGTGTAGATCGCCGTAAGTGACAATGGCGGGACCCGAACTGACGCCATCCAGGGATGGGGCCACCGGTATAGCGATGGGATTCTGCTCCAGGGTGGCGAGAATAGACGTGAATCGCGCCTCTATATCTGCAGGGGAAGTGCCAGTGTAAAGAGGGCATTCCTCCGGGCCGGCTTGGAAACAATACTCGCAGTGCTTCGAGATTATCATGTCGGAATCCTGCAGTTGAGTGAGCCAGGCACCTGTGTAATGGTCTGCGGGATCAACTACTCCATCAATGACGAGACGGCCAACTCGGTCTGGATGCATTGCTGCAAAGGTTGAGCCGATGATTGTACCATAGCTCATGCCCCAATACTGTATCAACTCCTTGCCTGGCCTGTAGGCAGTGCGCTCTAGAATCTCGCGTGTTGCTTCTTGGTCAACCGCCTTCGCAGCGGAGAGCAACCTAGCCGCCTCCAATTCCCTCCATTTCCCATGTTGCTCTACGATCTGCAAAATGTCTTCTACAGTCTGTGCAGTGTTGAGGTAGCGCAGTATGCCGTGATCGCCCTCCCCATATGAGCAACTTGCACCCAACGCCTCCGCCTTGGCCCATTCCATTCCGATGGTGGTCTCGCTATGCCAAAGCAGGCCATAGTCAGGCAGACCCAGGAGCCAAGCCTGCTGGTTGAAGGCATCTATGAAACACTTCAAAGAAGGGGTGGTGTTATTCACCCCTCTTGGGTCAAAGGACAGAATGTCAAAGTATTTGCCACTCGACGAGTCGGATTCAGGGGAGCCCGGCTCCAAAGAGTTATCAAGAATACTCTGCAGGCTCTTCCCATCACCCAGAGTCTGAAAGACCCCCGACTCACCCGGGCCGCCGGGGTTCAGCAGAATCGGCCCTCCATATCGTGGGTCAGTCACGGGGACCTTAGCGGGAAGCTTGATGACCGCAATAGCCGCATGAGGGCCGTTCTCTCTTTGCTCTGCCGTGGCATTCCAGTTCAAAGGTACGGAGAGACGAGCACACTGAAATGAAGCGAAACACGGCACAAATTCGAATGATTCCTGCGGCGTGATGCTCTCCCAGCTGAACTCGGAGGACGCCTTATCGCCGATGGATTCGTCAAAATGCAATACATTGTTGCCCACGAAGCGGTGGTGCTGAGACAGAGAAATAAAGATACATATTGATATCAATACTGACAAAAATCTGAAGGATATTCGCCTCCTCTGGATGTTCCGTGACGGGTTTGGAGCTGGAGAGTCCCTCGGCGGTAGCGACAAATACCCCTGTTTGGACATGGCTGGGCGGACACAGCATGCAGCTCCTTGGCAACCAGATACCGAGATCAAACCAGGGATCAAATAAGATAGTCTCCGGTTCTAGGCAGGCGGAGTCTCAACTTCCTAGGCAGAGCCGGGGAAAAAGTGTCTCCAACTCACATAGCTCGGTTTTATCTCGCTCATAGCGATCAGCCGTTCACCCCACGTGAGCGATAATTCTTGGTGAGATTCCAGCTCCTACCCTCCCCGTTGCAGGGTCATGTGCAGCATCCCACTGATTGATAAAAGAAAGGATTGATTAGAAAATCAGGTGTGATTGGCGGGAAGAGCGAAAAATCCTCGCGCGCGGACCCAGTTGTATGCAGGGAGCACGCAGGCACGCGCGAATTGTTGCCGTGGAAGGGTGAAGAGAAGAGAAGACCCTACAAAGGCGCATATTAACAAGGCTGCCTTCTTGTATTGAAATATAACAAAGAGCTCGGCCGGCACCGACCAATATCCTCGCCCCCCCATTCATCACGACAAGTCCAAGAAATGATGATAGCGCTTTCTAGGGCAAAATTGACTTTTCGAGTGCCTCAAACCACTCTTGCAGACCGACAATCCAGACTCTGGCACTCGTTGCTCGCATACCCTAGAGCTTGAATGAACCGTCTTTGATCCGGGCAATGCCCTCCTGGGTGCAGGAGATGACGAGGCCGCCCGTCTCGACGTTCCAGATTCGCTGGTGAGTCAGGACTCTGCCATCGCCGCCCCAGGAGGACTTTCTCTCGCAGACCATCCATTGATCTGCCTTCGCGTCAAAGTCGTGGAAGACCACACTGTGGTTCAAACTGACCGCCATGGCCACATTTTCAATCATGCGACCCACCTTGCTCATGTTTGCGTAAAGCGAAGGCCCAATGATGTACGAATCCGATATATAACCTATTGCCGCCATATGCATCCCAGGGCTATCTGTAGATAACTCAGGCGACTGGACAAAGCCGTACATCCGGAATTCCTTAGGCTCGTCAGGGCGGTAAACTCGCGCGGGCGCCAGTCACATGGTTCTCTGAACTTGAGATAGTTGCGGTCATGCACCGGGAAGTCTTGCTTGGTTGACCAGTGAATTATCTGCGGCAGGGAAGCTCTGGCGATGTCGTCGGGTTTGATCCCACCGAGGTCTGGCGGAGGCAGGCCATAGGTGAGGATGTTGCGAGTAGCCGAGCTCTTCTTGCTCTGGAAAGTTATGGTGGAGAGATACAGAAGCAGCTTCTCGGGCCCCTGGTATGCGCGCACGAGGCGGGTGATATCCACGAGTGTCTGCCGTTCTCTCGACCGCGTACTTGATCGTCTCTTCGCCTGCTGCTGGGCGGATGAATGACGACTTGGACGAGCAAACGACATATTCTGGGGGCACGGTCTGGTTGGCGGCGCCAATGGCATGGCTGATGAGGATCCCACCAAAGACAGACCGAGCGTTTTTCTGGTCATGAAGGCCACTGTATCTCGTCATCGTGACCCAATGAGCAATGCAATTGACATTTGTGCATGGAGTGCAGTGTGAAGCCTACCTCACGCTTTGGAAGACCTCTGGGCCATCTTCTGGAACCGGCTCGACAGTGATGATTGACTCTATGGGAGCCTTTCGCGCTGCCATGGTGAAGAATCGTTGTCCAACGTGGAAGACCGCGGATTACTGCAGCGGCACTATGAGGAGATCCTGGATTTGCATTTTTGCTGGTTGGCACTTGGCTCTCACGTGGTTTAGCAGTATTGCAATCAAACTGTCGTTACATTGCATGGATGCACGTTAGCTTGGGCGCAGAGAAGGATTATTGCATGCCATGGTATCACGGGAGGATGAGTGTCGTATTATTGATTCATGGTTTGCGTTTGGGATGCAGACTACAGGTTTAGGGTAGGTACAGCTTGGCCTCTAGAAGGGTGCCACTGTAATTTACTGACAGCAGGAGCGTTTCTACCGAGCGCGCTCTCACCGCGTCTTGTTCGTATTCGTATCCATATTCGTATTCTCTTATCTCGCCAGATCTCGACATCGCGATTGCTAGATTACCGAGGCCAGCCCAGACGGTTCGGCAATCTGGCTTTGAGGGCATGGATACAGCCTCGCCAGCGCCTGGGAATTGGCGTCCTGGATACCGGAAGGCTATTCTCAGACACCGTACGATCCCACGCGTACGGGAAGACCAGCTTCCGGTGCGGAGGCTCAAGACCCTCGCCGCTTGAGTTTGCGCCGCCACTCGCCTCGGGCGCTCGGGATTGGCCAGATGGCACACTCTCGCAAAAGTTAGCAACACGAATACGTCGGGGATGCGTCTGGCAGGCCAGATCTATACCTCTTCAGGCTGTAGCCCCAGTCGATCGGCCAGGAGAATCTCCATCTCGCACGCAGCAGCAGACGCCATTGGCTGCTCTCCCACAGATCAGATTAGATCTGGGTCCGGATCTCTCTTCATCCGTCCCACCTCATTTTATGTTTTGCCGCCAAGGGTTCTCAGGAGAGTCGCGGTGTATAATATTTTATCAAGCCCCTTTGTCCTGTCCCACCATTTCTAGAACACCACCATTCTTCCAAGCACCCAACCGCAGTTCCCAGCATTGGACTTGTGCACAATGGACGGACTTGGACTGTAAGTTTGACCTCTCGAGACTTCCCCTCTCTCGTCGCTATTTTATCGCGAGGACGCTGCTGACTTTCTCCCGAACCAGAGCCACAAACACGACCCTGCCAACCGGCCAGGGCTACTTCAGAATCGTCGATACCGTATCGAAGGAAAACCCGACTCTCGGATACTTCGAAGCTCTCTGGACCGTATGTCCTGTCCTTGCGCTTACCCCTTGCTACGAAAGCGAACAGCTACTGACCCTATCTCCAGGCCTGGTACCTCTACGTTCAGAATGACACCTACGCGACCGGCATCATGAGCCTCGCGCTCCACGAAATCGTCTACTTCGGCCGCTGTCTCCCCTTCTTTATCCTCGACTTCTTCCCATACTTCAACAAGTACAAGATCCAGCTAGCCAAGATGCCCACGCTCAAGGAGCAGTGGGACTGCGCCCGCCTCGTCCTCCTCATCCACTTCACCGCCGAGCTGCCCCAAATCTGGTTCTTCCACCCCATCGCCACCTACCTCGGCATGCAGTACGGCGTGCCCTTCCCCCCCGCCTGGAAGATGGCTATCCAAATCGCCATCTGCTTCGTCATGGAGGACACCTGGCACTACTGGGTCCATCGCGCCCTGCACACCAAATACCTCTACAAGAACGTCCACAAGCTTCACCACACCTACTCCGCCCCCTTCGGCCTCGCCTCCGAGTACGCCTCGCCGATCGAGACGGCCATCCTCGGCATCGGCGTCGTGGGCACCCCCGTCGTGCAGCTCGCCTTCACCGGCGACCTGCACCTCGTCACCATGTACGTCTGGATCATGCTGCGCATGTGCCAGGCCATCGACGCCCACAGCGGCTACGACTTCCCCTGGAGCCTGCGCAAGTTCCTGCCCGTCTGGGCCGGCGCCGACCACCACGACCTGCACCACGAGAAGTTCATCGGCAACTACGCCTCCAGCTTCCGCTGGTGGGACTACATGCTCGACACCGAGGCTGGCAGCGAGGCCTACCAGCGCCGCCGACAGAAGAAGCTCCAGAAGATCCAGGCCCAGAAGAAGGTCGAGTAAGCGGTTTATGGCATTGCCTTGAACGAAACCGTGAACGAAATAAGATAGCAGTACCTCCCCGAGTCAAGTATAGGAGCACAGTAAGGAGCCATAATGTCGGCGGATGGGCGTTTTTCATATTTATCCAATAGAGTAGCCTGGAGTGGTTGGGCATCACTGCTGCGAGTGGGAGAAAAGCTACGACTAACCACGATGCTGGCGTAAGTGTCGAGGTATGACAAATTGCATGGTGGCATGGTATGCCTGTGCGAACAGCATTATAGACAGCGATGATAATTTACAACGAATCTGATTTGATGCATTCATAACCTCTTCCTTGGCTACGATTATTACATGTGGTGATTCGCGAAGATCGTAAGAGTGTTGAACATGTAAGACAGGCTTTTTACGACAACCCGACGCAGAGATACAAGCAGTCCAACTGGCCAGGAGTCAGTGGATTGACAATCCATTGGCCTCACTACGTATGTCGAGGCTATCAGCTGGATGGCTGATAGCACAACATTTACGCACGGCAGCAGGTCCAACGAACGCCTATGGCCATGATTTCCTCCATGAGTTCTTATATATTCATCGTTGTCGGCCGTTTCGTCTGCGGCAATGGGTGCCGAGCGGGATCATGGGGTGTAGACGTTCGCCCGACAGAACTCTAGTTCACAGACGGGACAAGCCACCATCCTTGCCAAATGGCCTGGGCAGCAACGGGTTATGTGGACAATGCTTCGCTTCAAGGACTACTGCTGGGACGATGGATTTGGGCCGAGAAACGACGAGGATCACGGTCGAGTCGGGTGCGAGCGGCGCGGGAGGGACATCAAGAGAGCTCTCAAGCTCGACTGGGAATCAAAGGGACTGGAGTTCGTGTCATTTCGGCATGTCTTGTCGCAGTTCCTTGTCGCAGTGCAGCCAGTAAGATTCTACTTGGTTGTCAATTACCTTGGACCGGGTGGGATGATTCTGACATGCTCGAGCCCGAAATAGAATCTATCGTGGCCCTATGCGAAATTTCTGGCAGAAGGAGTCAGGCGGCAATGACCGACCAACGAGAGGCCATACCGACTTATTCGAGCAGCAGAAAGGGCAGAGGTATAGTCCCAGTCTCTGGTGGGTTGGTCCATGACACGTTCGACCTTCATTGTCAAGCAACTGGGGAGAGTCGCGGCCGGAACAAATACGGCCCGTCAGGGTATCTCTGACTGTCCTTAGTCAGCCCCCTTCCGATAACAGATAAGATAAGGATCTTCGATAAGAATCAGCTTCAATCGCGGGGGGCAAACAGCCTCCATCGCAGAATGAACAGCCCTCTTCCCTTCTTCAAGGTAAAATTGGTTCTTGCAATCAGATTGCTGCCTAGAGACCAAGTTTACTTTTGTTTGCCACCATCGGAGGTATTCCTTTTGCTACTCACCGTCGTTGTTGCCATTTGATTGTTCTCTTGAGCTGGTAAACAACACCATTGTCAATAAGCAAGCACTAACCACGAAATCACGAGAAAAAGCCCGCTATATCAAATGCCTTGACAAAGAAACCCTCGACCCTACTTATAGTCAGTTAGGTCTCCCAGGATAAACATGTAAGCCTTTCTTTTTGCGCGTACTTCCTTCAATTGTAGCTGTACTCAATGAGCGCGTTTGCTTTCTTCCCATTTAGCCCTTGTCTTTCACGCACATCTTCTCGTCATACCCCAGCCCTCCCTCAACACCAAGAAGGTACCCAAACACCTATATATATTGCATCAAACGCAGGCGCAAGAATGATCATCACTCCCAAAGACATAAACTCTCTTTCTCTTATTCCTTTCGACGGCAATCTTACTACATAACGTATTTCGCCAGCGGCACACAAACAATCAAGCAGAGTCAGGTGCAACGCAGAGTCTTCTCTCTTTCCCCTCTTCCACTGAAATTATGCGCTCCGACGTAACTCATAAGCACCCCTCCCTTAAGGTTCAAAAGAGTGTTCTTTTTGATCGACTCTGCCTAGCCTGGGAAGGAGGTGAATGGCTTCCATCAGACGTCCTTGCTTGCAACCTCTCTCCCAGCACCGCAGCTATGGAGTGCATAGACAGGGCCACCACCATGGCCCAGTCTCAAAATCAGAGGCTTTCGTTCCTCTGGGGCCCCAACGGACCCCTCCGCATTGCTTTCGAGAGCGCTGGCCAAACATTATCCAGCGACTTCTGCACCATGGTCAATCACTTGGTTGATGAATGGGGGCGTATCAGCCGCACTGTGATGCAGCGGCGACATCCTCTGGACATGGAAGCTCAGAGGATGCTTGATCAGCTGTCCCAAATCCAATCCATGTCCAAGAAGTCGACGGCTAACGTGACAGGCCCTTCCAGATCCCTTGTTTTCGGGGATCGAATCCCGGGAGTTCAAATAGACCTCAACTACATTAAGCAGCGTTTTCAAGAGGCATGTAGCCGTAGATTGCACGAATTGCTGTACATCGTCGTTCTTCAATTCCAACTGCAAGAGCTTAGTGGCCTATTCCTTGGTGATACTGAAGGACCAACCAACGATGACCGTAAGATAAGAGACGCAAGTCTACAGTCAACCGAAACCACCTCGACTCAAAGCCAGGCGTGTTTACTTGAATCGGAAATAAATAAAGCAACCCAAGAAGCCATACTAGCCGAGGGAGACATCAACAATCTCGAGAGTCAGCTTCAAGCCACGATGAAAATTGTTCAGGAAATTGTTGAGGCACAGAAAGGAACATGATAGAGGAAATAATTTACTATAGAGTAGTCTTCTTTATGCCTCTTGAATTTCATTCTCCCTTGCTTGCCTCTTCTTCTCTTCCTCTGCTCTACAATTCCTTCTATAATCTAATTTTTTTTTTCGCTTATTCCTTCAATTGGTTTTCTGTTGTCCATACTTATTGACTCTCGGTGACCTGGTAACGCTCGCAAGTTATTTTCAACAATCGGTATGCGGTATAGGTAAATAGATAACGCTGGTAAGTGTGGAACGACAACCACCAGGTGAGTCCAGAATGTGATGCTTCGGGGAGCAAGCTCTCTCCCATTTTCCTTTGTTTTCCTCCTCTTCCAAGCTACCAACTTTAGGTTTTTTCTGAACTCAGATCCGTTCTCAGACCCCAAGCAAGATGAAGCAGGTACTACACATTTAATTTTTGAGTGTGCAAACATTGATGTATTGAGACCGGCCCTCTAGGGTATTTGAGTAAAAGCCTTTGCTGCACAATATGCCTACCCTGCATGCTAGACAGCCCCATGACAAGGAGGGAGCCGATGCCAGAACATGGCACATGATGAACTCTGACTCGTGATTGGACTCGTCGCAACTAGTCAGCTACACCTGGCTCGTTCCAAACGGAGCGGCTACGTGCGTATATTGGCGGGAGTAAAACAAGGTAATTGCTAGTCATGTCACCGGCTCGTAGCCTGGGCTCGGGGATTCTCCGGTGGCCCACTGTGAGGTTTTTATCTCGCATCCCAGAACGCGAGGGTGTCGGGTAATGTCTCGCATTGTGCGCTCGCTTCGGGTTGTTCCATTGCGCATGACGAAGGCGTGGAATTATTCGAAACCGAGTCTAATCAATCGTGGTGCGTGCCGTGCTGATCAGACGGTGAATGACATCAGCCCTCGGCGCTGTACCTGCATTCGTGGACGCAGTGGCTATCCTCAGGGAGTCGCTTACGTGTAGCGGGCAGCTAAGCCTCTGTAGCTCCTGAATGTTAGCTGGGGTCCGCAGAATACAGTGGATTTAGCCACTGGACGGCCCCCTCTAGCCTCTGTCGCCTTCACTACAGGTACTACCTATTTCTCTAGGTAGTGCCCTGATGTGGTGTTCGAAACTGCCCATCAGAAGAACACATGGAGGCTTTCCCAATTGAAGATATTGCACAACTTGTGCAGCCTACCGCTTGAGATTAACTACCGACTGGGCGCTCCTGATTGACGGAATGGCGAAGACAGTCGATCGCCAAGGCAACAAATGAGGGAGTAGGATCAGAACACGCTATCGGAGGCCGCTTCCCAAGAACGTACGCGTCGTGCATCTGCATCGGTACGTTTCTCTATGTTCGCTGCTTTCTGCTGCTGCCTGAACTGGTTTACCTGCCGTACTTTATCAAAATCCTCGGGCAGGAGTCCCGATTGACTCGTATTGACTCGTAACAACGCGTCACGAACGGAGCGGCGAATATGTCGTCGTGAACGATGGCCATCACCACCAGAGCGTGGGTAGAGCACGTGCAGCAACTAGAAACAGAACAAACAGCGGGTTACAGGCCTGAGCAGAAGACACTCCACACTAAACTACAGGGCCTTCCACTATTTTTACCACTAAATTAGGCCGGCCAATTTAAAATCGTAGCTCAGCCCCTGATTGGACGCGGGCAGCCCCCTTTACGGACCTTATTCGAGCAAGAATGAGGGCCATGACTAGGAGACCAGAAGAACTCGGGCAAAACGCAGGAGGGGAGGCCAATTGACCTATTGCTGTGGAGAGAAACTCTTCACAATCTTCTTGGGGCGGGGACCCATGCCCAGGGACCCGGTCCCAGTCATCTGGGCCAAGCATCGGTCAGTGCGGGATCCTGGTCCTGCCCCCAGGTCCCCTTCGCGAAGTGTTCCAGGCCTTTCATATTCCCGCCTGTTGAGGGGACGGTTCTGCTTCTGCTGCTCCGTCCCTGGGGTTCGACCTGGCTAGTCTGCTTGAGGCCCCGCTCCCGGATGCACAGCCTTGATATTCTTGAACCAACGAGCGAGCCCCTGTTCTAAGGGTCCTCGAGCTCCATTCTGGATTGAGGGCCGCTTCCTCCACCTTCCTCTTCCCACTTGAATCTCCCGCTCGCAAAATTGCTCCCTCGGTTTAACCTTCGCTCATGGCGGCGTTGCCCTCTTGCCAAGGATGCTGCCAAGGAACCAAGGGTGTAGGTGGCCGGAGTGAATCCTCATCTTTGCCGCAAGCGATTGCTTATCTCTCCATCTCACTTCGCCCAAGTAGCTCCGGGGAGCGTCTTCAACGGCTATGTTGATCATGTTGGCCAAGCCGTTGATGGCTCCAATGCTAGCTGTTCATCCGTCCGACTCATTGACTGGACTGGCCTCATTACCCACCCCCCAATTTCCACTCTGTCGTCAGCCCCTTGTGGCTTTGCGCGTCTCGATCAACGAGGACTGCCCATCTCTTTCTCCCTCCCATCAGCTAACGACGCACCCCATGGAGGTATGGGTCGTCAACCATACGGGTTGGAGATGAGTCCATTTTCCCAGGCCCCGACCCCTTCTTGGGGTGTGTCGGCAAATCCCCCTACTCTCCGTCGCCGGTACGAGTAGGCGGCCCCCCAATAGTTCCCCGTTCTCCTCTGGCTCCTTCTCCTGGCAGAGACGTGGCCGTAGGTCGGAGGCTCCCGGTCGGTGTCGCTCCCTCTCGCTCCCCTTCTTGGTTGCCTGGGCCGTAGATATATCCCTCGCCTCCCTCTCGAGAGATATCTGTGGATGCTCCCCTGTCGTATCGTTCCATAACTTCGACTTCTTTCCGAGACGCTCGTAATCGTTGTTGGCCACCATGCAAGCAGGGTCTTGACCGACTGAACACGTCTTGCTCAAAAGCATCCTCTAGCCTTCCCAATTGAAGCCAGCCGTGACCTTCTGCCCAACACCAGCTTCACCATCAACATTGTGTGTCCGTTGAATAAAGCTGCCGGCGACGAGAAACCGACACTCCTTCCGAAGCGCAACCTCCGTGCGAGCGACCCCTTTACCGAAATCCATCGACCTTTGCGACGCGACGCTACAATTTATACCAGTCGGAACCCATTGAACTTTCAAGATGGGTCGCGACGACATTGTGTCGCCATGCCAGGTGAAGGAGATGATTGCAGAAGGGAAGGCGATCGTAATCATGGACGATTACGTTCTCCGACTGGACTCCTGGCTCAACAGACACCCGGGAGGTGACTTGGTCATCAAACACATGATTGGGAGAGATGCCACCCATGAAATCACAGTGTAAGAGACATGCCCAGCCCTCCTTTCCATCAATGGGATATTTCGCTCCCAGTCCTTGATTTTTTCTTCTTTCCTTCGTTTGCCTTGTCTGCTGCAAAAACCAAAAGATCATCCCCGGAGTCCGGTGGTAGAGTGTTTCTTGGATGCGCCACGAGCAGCCCTGGGCTCGTGATAGATCCTTTGTCAAGCCATCTTAGTTTTGTCTCCTTCTTTCATGTGTGTGTACCTCAGTTAGTGAATGAAGATTTCCAAATCTTCGGTAGAAGAGGGGAAATAACGTTATTTTAAGCTCAAAGGCCCGAGATGGGGGAAGGGATATCTCGGGGAAGGGAGAGATCTGACACCCGGGGCTTCTTGAAATAAATTGAAGATCTGGAGCTATCGGGGCCTTCGGAGTTTGCTTATGAATCTTTATTTAGTCGTTTTTTCTGGCCCCAGCTGACATATGCAACTACAGGTATCATTCCGCTGCTACCGTGCAGAAAATGAAGGCTTTTCGGATAGGCCGGAAGCCAGCGGGACCGTGGCCCAACATGACACCGCCAATTAGAGGCGGCATCTACACCCCCAGCGAGACAGCCAAGACCCTCGAGTCGGATGATGATGAGGATCTCCTCAGTCACATTGGCGACGGGGCCTCGTCGGCGACCTCTGCAGCGTCCAGCAGCAGCAGCATCGTCGATGACTTGGTGGAGTCCCTGGACAAGAAGGCGTATGAGGCTGGCCTTGCCCCGGACTCTTCGGACTCTTCGGGTCTCCGGAGACGCAATGCTACGGCAGATGCCTCCCGTCCCGCCCCCAAGATCCGTCACCTGTCCCCCACAGAGTACACTGACTGGGCCATGCAGAGGGACATTGGCCGGGACCTGGAGGAGTACCCTTCGGTAGAGCCCATCCTCCAGCAGGACATCGCCCAGAAGTATGGTGAACTCCACCAGAAGATTGTCGACATGGGGTACTACAACACCCCGTACCTTGACTATGGCAAAGAGTGCGCCCGGTACTTTACATTGTTTACCTTGTTCATTGTCTTCCTCCGCTGGCAGTGGTTCGTCCCGTCGGCCATCTCTCTAGGCCTCTTCTGGGTAAGACTTCCTATACCCTTGGTGTTGTCACCTATTCATCAACGCGTTTGCTAATTGGCATATACTTGTAGCATCAAATCATGTTTTCAGCCCATGATTCAGCCCACACTGCCATCACACACAACTGGAATGTCGACACCTTCATCAGCTTGTTCATTGCTGATTTCTGTTGTGGACTTTCCATCGGCTGGTGGAAGAGTAGCCACAATGTCCATCATCTAATCACAAACCAACCCGTTCGTGCCACCCCGTCCATGTCTGCTTGACTATCACAGTCGAACGTCAACTAACTTGACTCCAGGAACATGACCCTGATATCCAGAACCTTCCCTTATTCGCTACATGTCCCTCTTTCTTCAAGTCCCTACACTCCACCTATTACGACTTCACCTACGTCTGGGACAAGGCCTCCGAGATCCTCGTCCCCTTCCAGAAATACACCTACTACCCCGTCATGGGCATCGCCCGCTTCAACCTCTACCTCCTCTCCTGGCTCCACGTCCTCGGCAACCGCTCCACCGGCCTCGGGACCACCACCGCATGGTGGATCCGCCCGACCGAGATCACCTTCATGGCCTGCTACTGGTTCCTCTTCGGCTACGTCCTCTGCTGGCGCAACATCCCGACCTGGACCTCCCGCGTCGTCTTCATCCTCGTTAGCCACATCATCACCATGCCGCTCCACGTCCAGATCACCCTCTCCCACTGGGGCATGTCCACCTCCGACCTGGGCGAGAGCGAGTCCTTCGCCCAGCGCCAGCTCCGGACCACCATGGACGTCGACTGCCCCGCCTGGATGGACTTTGTCCACGGCGGCCTGCAGTTCCAGGTCATCCACCACCTCTTCCCCCGCGTGCCCCGGCACAACCTGCGCAAGGTGCAGGCGCTCGTGCGGGAGTTTTGCCACGAGACGGGCATCCCGTACTCCATCCTGACGTTTACCGACGGGAACAAGAAGGTGCTCGGGCATTTGGACAAGGTGGGCGAGCAGGTTAGTATGCTGGTCAAGTGTCAGCAGTATATGGCCGAGACGGGGGAGAGCGGGCTTCATTAGGGATGGTGTTCTTTGTATTTCTTATGTGTTTAGACTATTTGGTATTTTTTTTTGAAGACAACATGATCATTTTGAGCTTCCATCTCCTTTAAGTGGTGATTTGTGTTTTGTGTACTCTCGTGTGAAAGTAAGCATGTTGCAATATTGCATTTTTAAAGCTATTCAGACATGTAATCAAGCTTTTTCATGGCTAAAAGCATGTTCTCTAAGATCTGTTAGCACGTGGACAAAAGAGCAGATGGAAGAGCTTTGAAGTTACCTCCTATTCTCCATCGTTTACTGAAAGTCTCTAGGCTTTTTTGTATCTCCAGAAATCCAGCTTTACTATCCTCGTGCATGTTCTCAAACAGTGCAATATGATCAGCTGCCAGGAAGCATGAAATGGTTGCCGGTGGCGCTAGGTTGGCTAACCACTCCTGATGCTTGTCCAGATGATTGTTGAAATTGATAGCCAAGTCGTGAATGAACCGCACGGCAAATCTCGTCGCGGCAAAAGACTGGGTCATATCTTCGTCGGTTGGGCTCCCCAGGGGCTCCTGCGGGTTGGCCCTAGAGTAGTGTAAATACGGGCGGTATAAGATAAAGAAAGAGCTACATATAATAGTTAGCAAGAGGCGTTCGAGATTTGGAGAATCTACTTACCTCATGAGCATTGCGAATCCGTCGCAAAACACCTCCCATCCGTCGCACTGAGACAGCATGGCCTCCAACGCGCTGCGAATGTTGCGGTCGATATGGGCGAATTCCGCAACAGAGGGAAGCTTGGTGGCGGAACGTAGCGCACTGTTCCAAAGATGGGCTGCGTGTAGTAAAGTCGCTGCCTGAGCAGATCTTTGGAACGTCCCTAAGTGCTCTGAAACGTCTACGCTCACAGGGAGCATCTTGTTAAAAGGAAGATAGCGACTTCCGTCCCAGAGAACACTGTAGGTGGGGAGAAGGTCGTCGTCATTGGGTTTGTCAAGAAGCAGTGGTAAATCTCTGGCAGCCGAGTCCATATGAATGTATCTATAAATATCTTGTATGAGAAAGACTGGTTGAGGCACGGTTATTCGAGGATAAAATAGCAGGGCTTACTGGTCGAGGATAAACATCCCCCACCACAGAGATGTGCTCTCCTCTTCAGCTGGGAGAAGGGCAGCTCTCTGGGTGTAGTACTTGCACTTTTGGAGGGAAGCAACGTGGGCCATGGTGACTGTCTCCCCGAGAGTCCTGTAGGCAAAAGTTGCTCTGCCGTTTCCGAATTCAAACAGGGATATCAAGGCGCCGCATTGCATCAACTCAACTGTGGGCGTCGACAAGCAGGTCAGTGATGCAAATGCTCGCTTGGCGCCCCGGTAGATAGGCCCAAACAGGTCCTCTTCTGATCTCGTAAGTGCAGTAGTATCTGTGACGAGATGGATACAGATGATAAGTAGGGCATACTCCTCGCTTCCTAAAGAGTTTGTCCAGTCTTGATCGTTAGAATCGGAATGTCGCTCAATCAAGACCTTGAAGGTATCTGGTCGGATAATGCTGAACCACTACAAGGATAGGTTAACAATACCATCACTCAGCATGAGCCCTGAATTGGGGACAGTAGATTGTTATTGAAAAGGCCTAGTTGGTCAAGATAAACGTACGCTGTGAACGGTTGAAAAGTATTGGACGAGAGACTGTAGCCAGTTGACGTTGAAAGACCGGAGCATTGTCCGAGACTGGGAATCATCGTCTGCCTTTACACTCGGTAGCTCGGACGGTGAGGCTTTGGTGGAAGCGGAATAGTTATCGCTAGTTGGGCTGCTATGAGACGACCTGACGGAGTAGTCATAGCTGCATGGACTCTGAAGTCTGGTGTGTTGATCTTCTTCAGCAAACTGGCAATTGCATAAATGAAACAGTCTCGGGCAGAGGGATGGAACACACCTCACGCATCGCCCACACTGCGGTAGAGCTTTATCACATTTTCTCTTGCTCTTGTTGCACCTCTCACATACTCGCGGCGAGAGCGAGGAAGACCCGGAGGTTGGTGGCTGGAATGCAGAGGCTTCGGCAGAGGCTCTCTCATCAGACATTCTGTATCAGCCTACCGCGTATCACAGGAGAATGAGGGCATTTGTCGTGTCTGAGCCAGAGTTGATATTTGCTATATGCAAGAAGCGGGGCTTTTGCATTTGAGCCAATGGTGACGGAATGAAGCCAGATCCTTCCATTGCTTAGTCGAATTAGTAGGATAATGTCTCCACTGAAACTCACGTGCAAAAAATCCATGTTGTACCTTTTTATTGATGGTTTCTGCCTCTTGTAATTTTCCCATTCTAGGCATTTCTCGCGGACACTGTCATATGGCCGGAACTTTAGACGTTTGTTTTTCGCTGACTTTTCTAATAGCCCCCATATCGGAGGGAGATACATGTTACATGGGCTCAGCGTCACAAGTAAGAACCTCAACCCGGCTTACAGTTAAGATAGACTACTTTATTTATACATCTAGAAGATATAGTCTATGGTGGTGGTGGCTTGTTGGAAAACTCCACTAGCGATTGTAATATGGGCTACTCCTGTCCGATAAAGTGTCGGCAAAAAGATCCTTGAGTTCAATCTCGCCTAGAAACCCACTACCAATTCGCGGACTATCCATTGGAATATACATACTGCTGCCATCAATGGATTCTATCCCTAGTTCCGGCAGTACTGAGCTCTGAGTTGGTACCGGTGAAATCGTACCGCTCTTTTCGGAGAACCACCAATCGATGAAAGGGGACGGGCTCTCATCTGATAATGACGGGCTTTGGGTTGCTAAAACTCCTTGATTGAAGCTAGTTGATTGGGAGTTTTGCTCTGCGTCAGAGAATGAAGAACCTTGTGAGAGGCCGGGCAATGGTGTATTGCTATTGTCGAAAGACTCGGGGGTCATGATTTGATTATCGCCAACAAGCTTGAGCGAAGAGGCCTGATCGTTACTTTCCGGAAGTTTACCCTCGGAGAGTGTTGTTTCTAGAATCATTTGAAGATGGATGTAGTCTCGTGCATCTGCGAAAACGGTCTTGATCCAACTCGATGACTTTTGGGCTTCCTCCTTTCGCGCTAAAAACTTCCTCAGCAACGTGTCAAGGCCATGATTACGAGAAAAATGACGAAGAGGCTCGAGAATGTATTGGATGTCGTTATGGTGATCGTCGGCAATATCCAGCAATCCTATCAGGGCGCCCAATGATTGGCGTCTTAGTTTTATTGCCTGCTCGTCCGTACTCAATGGAATGATGTAATCTTTCAGGTCGATCATTTTCGTATGTAAAATATGAACAAGGAGAGACGTGCCGGCAGACACCAGCCTTCGACCAAGAATGAGAAAGTTAGAGGGATAGACACTTTTCTTTGGATTCTGGTGGAAACTCACAAGTGAGCCGGGATCCATTGACTCATGCCGTGATGAGAAATTTCAACCAATTTCTGGGTTGCACTGAGAATTCCATCTTGTAATTGATCATGATACGTATCGTTTACATCCACCCAGGTAATTTCTTGAGTGAACTCATTGAACGGAGACGTTATCGCGGCCTTGAAAGCTTGGTATTGATATAGAGCCACTTTGGTAGTGCTTGTCTTATGGTCAGATGCCGTGCTCCTGCAGCTGTTTGGTGTTTTATAAGAGACTCACTAATATGTCGCAATCATTGAATTGATATGTAATTGGACCCAACGGTGTGAGGGGCTCTCGTTTCTGCGGTCTATTTCCTGCTGACGGCCTGAAAGCCGAGCACAGCATTCGAGATACCATTGGTCAATGGCAATTTCAGTCTCCTTGATTGTAGACCCTTTGCCACCCTGAGAAGTATCATCGGATGCGGATGGCCATAAAAGCAAGATCAAGTTGGTCATCGTGACACAAAGCTTGGCTGTTGATTCGATGATGCGAATCATTTGTTGTTTCTCCCCAGAGTTGTAAACCTCTGATGCACCAACCTCATTGTTTAGTTCAGAGAAGCCAATGACTTCAGGAGAATTCATATTACCCATTGAGGGCAGAATTTGTAAACTTCGTCGCCAACTTAGAGCCAGCGTGCGATCACGAATGATACAAGACCACCACAGCCGTCTCAAGAGGTTTCGACGGTTCTTTGGCGGCATGCCGTGTTTGGGCATTTTAGATGTAGAATCGTAAACTTGATGATGTGCTCCAACTGATATTGCGTGCCTGATGGCTATACTTAGCCAGAGGCTGTTGAGCTGTTTAATACCCGGCGATGAGAGTTGGGGACACCAATGACTGAGAAGCAGTGATGCTTGAGCTAGTTTAAGAGATGAAGACTCTGTTTGAAAGTCATATAATAGCTACTCTCACATATTAGTATTAGCCCCAAGTATTAGATTGTACCGAGGTGCCTGACCTTTGCTCTCCTATATATCGATGCTTTCGCAACTTTGGCATTTTGGAACCCCAATGAGCAAAGAGCTTCTTTCGATACAAACTGCTTGGTATAAATACTTCAATCCTATATCCATAGGAGGAATAGGTAATGGTGGTTACTTTCACTTACGCTACATGATGAGAACAACATGGCCTGAAATACTAGAAGGGACACTGGTCTTTTAGAGAACCCTGTATCCCGGCCTCTGTATATGTCCCAAAACTCTTGTTCGTCAATTATTGGCGTGAGAGGATGCACATGTAAGAAATACTGCTTGAGAAACTCGTCTAGGAGATTCTTTGTCGGAACTCGAAAGCAACACTGTGACTCGAGATAGTTAACATCCTGCGCAAGGAGGCTGTGGAGGTTCCCGATATGCAAGAAAGGATAGACCATATAAGTGATATACGCGGGGGAAACGTTGGGGTCGTTTAAAGTATTGTCGATCTTCTGCTGCACAGGAAATTGACGTTCAGAATCGGTAGGCCGAGATGGTTTCGTTACTGTATCGCTAATCGCGTAAACCTTAGACGCCGTCCTTGAGTTGTGCCGCATTAGTTATGCGTGTTCAAAGGTCAGGTTATTTGTGAGAGCAACAAAGCCGGGACAGCCTAGACAGCTAGAAGGAAGCATTGCTTTTTTGGCCACTTGACATGATTGCAAAGAGTTTGAAGATTATTCAATGGAAAAACTCACGTTTTTGGACGTCTTTTCGTTTCGACACAAGTCTTGCCATCCAGCCAACAGTTCGTACAAGGCGAACCCCGGTGAGAAACATCACAGCGCACTTTTCGAGCCCGACAACCTAAGCAAGCTCTATTAATTCACATGTCAGCTTGCAGTCTGCGACTTGCATCAACAAACTAGAATCCTACTTTGGAGCTCTCTTTCGTTGCATGGACTCATTTTTGGGATGATCATCTTTGCGTTTTTCAGTCATATTGAGAATCACTCCTTCCGAAACTGAACTCGCTACTATAAGCCTTTCGAGGATCGGAGTTCGGGGGGATAAGCCAAGAGTGGGAGATGAAAAGTAGCATCCGTAGCCGGCATAACCGTAGAGTCTTACGATAAAAAGTTCGTAATGACCACTGACCCATGTACACAGGGTACCTCGGGGAGAAGCCAAATGTATGAAGGGTAAATATGAAAATGTGAGAGCCTCACGGATCGAGACTCGCTTCCCGGAGATAATCGAAGGGGGGATCGTTGAGATTAAATCGCCGCGGAGATTTCGTCCCCACAGCCGGTTCCGCAACCACTCCCTGTTACGTCGGTAATGGAGAGCATACTGCTAGCTAGCGCCACCTACAGCTTTAAAATTCGGTAAAGGATGATAATCTTGCTGGTCTAAGATGTTTTGTGCGCTGGATACCGAGATAGGGGCGGGGATTTGCCATGGGGTTTTGCTACTTCCAAGTCTTCCCGGGGAACTGACCCCCACCGCAGCAGACGCCTGTGATCAAAACCATTAGAGAATGGAATCTCCAAAATGGTTGTCAGGCGATTCTTCGTCATCCTTGATCATACGATTTTCTCGTCTCGGCTCGACTATTGTTACATCCGAGAAGATGACCAACGAAGCAACCCCTCTCCCCAAACATGTTGGGCCTACCATTTTGCCAGACTTCCCGCTTTTTCACCGTTTGTTGTACATCGCTGTGGTGGAAAATCCTATTGCTTTCCACGATGTATTCCATGGGATCAAAGCTACACATGCTCAGTTCCTTTCAGATGTTCTCCATTTTCGGAACAAGGTGCAGGGCGAGCTGCAACCAGAGATTAGGAAGAAGCTTTTGAGAAATGAAGAGGTATTCATCTGCCTCATAGCAAATGGATCCTATGAGTTTGCCGTTGGGTTTCTTGCTATTGTTGCCCTTGGAGCTATTGTGGTGCCGATCGGTAAGTTGAGTCAAAAGCTCTCTGTTTTGTCATCCTCTCAATCTTTTGTCTGAAGCGCTAACAACCATGATAGCCTTTCATGTTCCAGTCAAAGAAGCACTTTACTTTGCGCAGACATCGAATGCTGTCGCCGTCTTCACCAACTCCACATATAAAGACAAGGGCGGTGAACTTGCTGTGGCTATGAGAAACTCCGGAAATGAGAGATTCTTCTCAATGAACGTTGCTACAGCTCTTGGCCAGCCCACCATTCCCTTGAGCCAGATATCAATTTCGAGTGATCATGAACTGCTCAACTCAGACCCCGGCATAGTCATCTTCACTTCCGGAACAACTGGGCCACCCAAGGGTGCCTTGAAGAAGCGAAGTTATTGTACAAACAATGCCGAAACATTCGCAAATTGGTGGAATCTGCAGTCGAATGATACACTTCTCCATGTTATGCCGGTGCATCATTCCACCGGTGTCAGCGTCAATTTCTTTGCTCCCATCGTGGCTGGTGCGTGCGTTGAATTTGGGGCATCAAAACCCAACTGGAGATTCTCCCCCAAAGATATGTGGGATAGATGGCTCCAAGGCGGGCTTACCGTTTTCTCGGGCGTGCCCACCATGTATCAGCGCATGATGAGATATTATGAGGATGAGATTGTATCGAAGCAAGGCCCTCAGGAAGCGCAGAAATATGCGGATGCAGCTAAATCAATTCGCCTTCTGCTCTGTGGTACTTCTGCTCTTCCGCATTCGCTCCAAATGAAATGGAGAGAGCTTCTGGGAGGCAACAGGAAGATTTTGGAGAGATATGGCGGAACAGAGTTCAGTGGCATCTTCAGCGCTCAGCCTGGAGATCAGAACAATCCTGATGTATGTTTCTGAGCCAATCTCCTTCCTTTATAACCATACTAATCCTTCAACCTAGGGGTCGGCAGGCAAGCTGTTGCCTGGTGTAGAAGTCAAGCTCTTGGAAGGAGATAAGGGTGAAATTTTGATGAAAAGTCCACATATGTTTATGAGGTATGTGACTGCCGAATTGGAAGATGAATTCCTTGAAATTCCATCATGAAACTAACGAATATAGGTACCTCGGAAAACCTGAGGCCACTGCCGCTGCTTTCACTCCTGATGGTTGGTACAAATCTGGAGATATAGCACGGAAGGAGGGAGATTATTTCTTCATACTAGGCAGAGAATCGATCGACAGTAAGTTCTATCATCTATAACCTTATATTCTCCAAACTGACCCTTCTAGTCATTAAATCTGGAGGTTATAAGCTGTCAGCACTCGATATTGAACGCGAGATCATTGGGCTTGAGTACATCGCTGAAGCGGTAGTAGTCGGAGTTGAAGACGAAGAGTACGGTCAGAAAGTTGCTGCAGCTATTGTGCAGCGTAAAGAGGTGAGAACTTTCTTTTAGAGGATGGCTGTAAAGATTCAATTTTGACAAAAACGTGACTTAGGGATTGAGTGAACCTCTCACTATCGAGAGACTTAGAGCGGATCTACGTAGTAGATTAGCGCCCTACAAGCTGCCCTTACTACTGAGAGTTGTAGATGAGCTTCCAAGGACACCGTCAGGCAAGGTGGTGAAGCCGAAAGTGAGCAAGGAGTTGTTCTCCACCAATGGACATCCTGATGTGCAGATGTACAAGCCCAGGAGGTCAAAGCTGTAGCATAGATGGGCAAATTGGTTATTTAGGGACTAAATATCGTTTGTTTCTAATAGAAGGCATACATTCGAACTAAGCAACCACGCCCTTCCTGACCTTCTGGGAGAAATCATAGCATCATGGCTTGTTAAATTGAGGCCACTTGTTGATTAATTATGGAAGTGATCAATTCATTACTGGCATCCGTGAGAAGATATCACTCAAGTAAACCCAGTAAGTCGATTAAGAGGTAGGAAATCAAATTTACTTATACATATACTTGAAACTATTTGTCATAGAATTTTTGTTGCTTGCTTCCCATACCCGTAGAATGGGCTTCGTCGCGTGGAATTTGAAGCTATTCTAGAATAAGAAGAATACTACGCTCGCATTTATCGAACTTATCTGACAGAGTACATTCGGTATGCTTCAATCCCTGATCATCAAGATACTACTGGCAAGAAATGAGTAATGAGATCTAATCAAAAGTATATTGACCACTCATAGTGTCAAGGGTCATTAACTGCTAGGATTCTCAGGTCCGTCAGTCGTCTTTCAATTGTATTCAATCATTGAACGGAGGCTAACCCCACATCTTTCGGCGATTTCTACTTAGCCGAACACTGCCGTGAAGCATGGATCAAAACTCCGTGGCGATATCATCTGCTTTCGTAGAAGAACATACTGCCGGAGTAAATAGCCAGAATGATGCGGCTTGTAGACTGACAAAAAGATATAATGCCGAAGCTAGAAGGGTTAGACATGTAAACGTACACGTCTTGAAGGCACACCAGCTCAGTCTGCACACTAACCAATCAACTAAACCTCACAAACAAAACGGAGACTGCACCTGACAATATGGCGAACAACAGCTGGGTAGATCAACTGAAGCCGTCCCTCCCAGATGGACCATCCACTCTGGCGCATGAGCGTAGTGCCTCTTCCATTGATGTCAACGCACTTGCACAACATGTCCTTGGCAATGAGTATCTCCAACGACAGCAGCAAGTGCTCGAAATTCTCCAGAAAGACAAAATATTCTCTAAAGAGCAGCAAGCAAACTTGTCACGCCCTGAGCGTTACATGCTGGCTTTAGCCCGAGGGAAGCGCATGCGGCAGTTGCAAGATAAGCATGGATGGTCCGACGACGATCACGAGATGGCTAAGTATCTGGTCGATGAGATATCTCCGTTCCAGTTGCAAAATACCATGTTCCGTCAGACACTGCGTGAGCAGACCGATGAGGCTCAACGTGCCTACTGGCTTCGCCGCTGTGAGAGCTGGGATATCGTCGGAGCATATGCTCAAACTGAGCTTGGCCACGGCAGCAACGTCCAAGGAGTGGAAACTACCGCGACCTGGGATCAATCGACCAAAGAATTCGTCATCCACAGTCCCACCCTGACTGCTTCTAAATGGTGGAACGGTACTTTGGGTAAGACTGCGAACCATGCGGTTGTTATCGCTCAGCTCATGCTTCCGGACCCGGATGCTCCTACTGCCGGAAAGACAAAGTTTAAGTCATTTGGCCCGCATCCATTCATCGTTCAAGTGAGAGACATGAAGAGCCACCTACCTTTAGAGGGAGTTGTCGTGGGTGATATTGGTGCGAAGTTTGGGTATGATAGCATGGACAATGCATACATGCTCATGAATCAAGTCAGGTTAGACATACACATTGGAAACCAAGAGTGAGAGTTACTAACCATGCTTATATCAATACAGGGTTCCGCATAGTGCTCTACTTGCTCGTTATTCCGCCGTTGACCCCGAAACCGGCGCATACCGTGCTCCGGAGAATAGGGCAGTGGTTTATGGGTCACTCACTCACGTATGTGAAGACAAATCTCTCTTTCCCCTGATAAATCGAATGTCGCCCTTTAACATGAATAAGGCCCGAAAACGAATTGTCATGGCCGCTAGACTTATGCTTGCACGCGCTGTGACTGTGGCAATCCGTTACTGCGCTGTACGACGACAATTCAAGTCGAAGGATGACCCAGGAGCAGAATACGAGTCTTCTGTACTTGATTACACAACGGTCCAAATACGACTCTTCCCACTCCTTGCCACTGCGTTTGCATTGCATTATAGTGGTAAAGTCATGGGCGAAATATACGACCGCACTCGCTCCGCTGTGGAAGAGGAAGGCAATCTTTCGAGCTTGATCGATCTACACTCCCTTTCATCTGGTCTCAAGTCCTTGTCTACTGAGCTAGCTACCTCGGGGATTGAAACCGCCCGTCGGGCAATGGGTGGCCATGGGTTCGGTGGCGAAACGGGTTTGATCGGACTCAGTCGTGATTACGTATCGAAGCCAACTGTTGAAGGTGATAACTGGATGATTACTCAACAAATGGCTAGATATCTACTTAAGAAAGCCAAGTTAGTTGCATCTCAGCCGGGGTTGAAGCCCTCAAATCGTACTGAAAGTACGCTGGCCCAGTATTGGCAATTGAACGGTGGCAAGGAGCTCCCAAGGACGTCCAGGCCACTGGACGTCTTGAACAGCGACTCAGACATTGTGGTGGCCTTTGAGCATCGTTCGTCGTTTCTGGTTAGCATTGTCTTCATATATCCTAAGCCACCCTCACTAACATTAGGCAGACATTCCAAGCTTATGAAGCTTCCGAAGTTCATGGTAAGGGTCATAACAAGCTCATGATCCGACTACATGACCTGAGCAATGGTAAGTTATCTCTACCTCAAGATGAAACATAATCTGTGAAGATTGGCTAATATCTTCCCCAAAGCTCAATCCGAGGCCATACTTGTGTACAATTTCTACGACCAACTGACTGCCGACACCAAACTACCGTTCAGCACCAAACAAGTCATATGGCAACTGTTTAGGCTATTCGCTCTTTATACAATGAGCAAGCATTCACGAGATTTTGAGCGCTCCGGGGCAGTTTCAAAACATGATCTCGACGCTCTCGCAGACGATCATCTTGTCGACCTCATGGTATCAATTCGACCACACGCAGTGAGCATTGTGGACTCCTGGAAGTTCCCGGACTATCTACTCAATAGGTGAGCTTTAAATCTCGAAGTGAAAAACGCGCCAACTAACATAAAAGCTAGTGCTCTGGGTCGATATGATGGTCGTGTCTATGAAGACTTATTTCACCGAGCTCATAGACTTAACCCTCTGAACAAGTTCACGTTCAACCCAAATTATCGAAATGATGAAATCATTATGGGATCGGGTGATGCTGGGAAGATCTTGTCCAAATTGTAAAAGGGACCAATGGCACTAGTTCTAAGTACCTAGTTACATGACAATTGTGTATGAAACTGAGATTATTTATCATACTTCGTCAACGAAAACATGGTGTCAATGGTAATGAAGTCTATATTAGACCTGTGAGATCCTCATATTATTTCAATGCATGAGTTTCCAATACCCCCGGATTGACGGCACGAGGTTGAGAAATTTGACACTAGGTCATTTGATGGCCAGTCGGACAAGAGGGCAAACATCATTGAACTATGAAGCAACAACTATTGAGAAAAGAGTAGTAGATAACGCAGACAGGATTATTACAATTTGACCTTTGCCTCCCGAGATATAACACGAGAGTAAACATTGCTGATGTTTGAGAAGGCCCGAATAGCTTCCCCATATAGCTCGGATCTCAGCATGCCATAAACCCCCATCTTCGCCTTTGATTGCATCTTTTTTGCAAGTGCCAGAGCTTTGTCAAGCATCTCATCCGGAGAGGCTATGTCATCAATTATGCTGTCACCCAACGCTTCCGTGGCTTTATACTTGTGAGCTTGCAGCAGAACTTTTCGAGCGACAGTAGGTCCTAATTTGGCCCTCAACAGTGAACCGATCCCATCAAAATGCAGACCTAGATCAACCGGAGGCATGCACCAATATCCTCTCTCAGAATTCATTATTCGGTAGTCATGAGCCATTGTTAACAAGCAGGCTCCTCCAAAAACATGTCCCGTAATAAGACAAATTGTCGGGAACGGAAAATCAAGAATCGTGCGGACCAACTGGAGTTGTTTGTTTAATATGCTGACTTTCCTTCTCAAAATCAGTTCACTTACTGGATAGAAACCCTCTGAACTGGCATAGGGATTTGTATCACGCTCGTAGAGGTCGACGCCCTAGATGCCTGAGTAAGCGATGCAATAATGAGAGTAGAGGTATGTAAGTAGTACTGTGCAGAAGAATTTGGTATCGTTTCCTTTCAATATCACAGCTCCTTCACTATTCTGGCCCAAGAGTGCACGCGCTTTTCTGTAAGCTTGTATCAATTCGGTACAGAACGGAACATTGAGGCGGTTCTCGGGTGCCTTCGTCATTGTGAAGAGGAAGACATTATCCAAGCGCTCCACAGTCAAGTAATCAGACCGGCTTATTTGTTGTGACATGATGGCTGGCAAAGGAACTTGGCGATCAGTATTCTTTTTTCAAAACCAGTCTTACAGTACAGGGCTCAAAGGCAGGAGAGTATACCTAAGTATCTGGGGATAGACTCCCCAGAAACGGCCGCCCCGCGTTTTCGGCGTTATGAATCGCCACGGCGTTTCCGCAAGTTCCGGCCAATGTGTTAACCAAGGGATGGGAGTTCATGCCTCTGCCAGCCAAAGGCTCAATTAACGATAAAGTTCTCTGTTAAAGAGAGTGAAGTTGTATCTAAAATAAATCTTCTCCTTATACTGGTGATACTATTCACACTTGGTATCAATGGACTACGGTACGGAGTCCGTTATTGAGCTCGAGTACAAGGGTCGCTTCGCGATCCTTACGATCAACAAGCCCGAGAAGCTAAATGCGCTCTCTCGAGCACAATATTATGAGCTTGCGCAGAAACTTCGCGAGATTGCCGATCGCAGTGACGTTTATGTCACTGTTCTTCTGGCCAAAGGCCGGTTCTTCTCCGCGTGAGCTCCCACCCGTCCCTCTTCACTCGCTCATCGCGTCAACCCACCAAACGCAATCAAAATGGAGGTGATAATATACCGAAAGGCTTCTAACTATCTCGTAGTGGCGCAGACGTTGGCATGCCCCGTGCAACACCGGCGAAGGATAACAAGAACTTGCACAGAGAATATCTGCAAACGTTTGTCGCTTTTAACCTGAACATCGCCCATGCTTTTTATACACACCCTAAGATTCTAGTCGTCGGTTTAAACGGTCCCGTAGTGGGAATGTCTGCCGCATTTGTGGCTCACGCCGACTTCATCTATTGCACGCCTCACACATACCTGCTTACGCCGTTCTCGTCCATCGGACTTGTAGCCGAGGGGGGCGCTTCACGTGCGCTGGTTCAGCGCCTTGGAGTTTCCAAGGCTAATGAGGCTATGATTATGAGCAAGAGAATCTCCTCCAAGGACCTTGAGCAGTGCGGGTTCGTCAATGGTATCATTGATACAGGAAGAGAACAAGATGAATTATTCCGGGAAAAGGTCCTGGAGGAGGTGACCGAGAGACTAGGGGATCATTTGATTGGGGACAGCCTTGTAGAAATCAAGAGACTCATCAGAAAGCCTGAAATGAGTATCTTGCAGCAGCAGAATGTGGAGGAGGTTTTCGCAGGACTGGAGCGGTTTATGACCGGGGTGCCGCAAGAACAGTTCAACAAACTTGCGCGCGGTGAAAAGAGACATAAGCTATGAAGACAAGAAGAGATAGGGTCAAGTTAGATGTGAATGATAGGGGATTCCAAGATGCGCACAGTGTAGCCAGTCAGTCTAAGAAGTCCAAGAACCTTTCATTGGGATAAAGGAAACGTGAGTCAGTCCTCCTTGAGTTCGGCAGCTGGATCCGATGTAGCCAATAAGAATGACCCAAAATCTCCATATTAATATCTCCGGATGTTTCTGGGATTTCCGGAGATTCCCCCGCATTTCGGCTTTTTCCTCTCGCTTTGCAACCGGTCGTTCTTGTTCTCATCCTGGGCAGCACCAACTACAGCATGAGCGAGGCAACACAAGAGAGTGGCGGTTCCAAAAGACCAGGCGTCGCCTCAGCATGTACAGTTTGTTATCAGAAGAAGGTACGAGCGCGTGGCTCAAACTCATCTGTTCATATGGCTAATCTCCATGGAAGATTCGGTGCGATTTGGCCAGCGGGAAGTCTTCCTGTTCCAACTGTGTGCTCTATAGCGTTGAATGCCGGTTTGTGATGTACCATGGTGATGATCTGTGCAAAATTGACTCGTTAGTAGACCCCGATTGCGGAAAAGAAGACGCGTCATCGGTGAAAGTCGAGATGACATCAATGTAATACAACAAAACCAGACATCGCCAACTGTCAGCACTTCATTTTCGCCAGGGTCGAACCAAAACCAGTGTCAAAGTTCGGCGGATCAGTCTCAAACTGCACTGGCTGAATGTTTGCTTGATATGGCGAGAGACGAGACGTCACTGTCGACAGACAGGCAAAATACTGACCTTCAAGCTCATACGGCAAATATGCCGCGGGAATATGGCGATCCCGCTGAAGAGGACGTGCAATCGACACCGATGAGCCTCGTTCATGATGGAAGGGCCCTCTACTTTTCCGCAATCGAAGGTCGTAATCGAGAGTCAACAAAAGCGTACCCGGAAGGAGATGGCGCATCACCATCAGACATTGCTATTCTGGAAGCAAGCAAGGCCTTTGATTTCCCCTCGCGTGCCATCAAAACTTTCCTCATTGATAGCTTCTTCAAGTACTGTTACCCTTGGGTACCAGTTGTGGAGAGGAAATGGCTGGAACCCTCTTCCACAGAACAACCCCCATCGCCTTTACTTGTCCAAGCCGTGCTTCTTGCCGGAAGTCGCGTCACATCAATGGGGTCTGTATCAAGCAAGGACCTTTACATGAAAGCAAAGGCACTCTTTCACTCCAACCAAGAGAAGAATCCGATTATTCTCATTATCGCATGTCTCTTGCTTCAGTGGTGGAATCCAGCTGGCCCAGAGCGGATATCACTGGATAGCAGCGTGTTCTGGCAAAGAACAGGTGTTGGAATAGCAACACAGATTGGTTTACACAGGGAAACGTCAACCCAGAAGAACAAAACCTTTCGGCGCCGGCTATGGTGGTCTCTGGCTGTATGCTCATAGCTCCGTCTCTTGTTCAGCAAGTACCTCACCGCTAACAACTTAACCGCAGGCCAGAGATTTTCAAATTTCAGCTGCACACGGCCGGCCCAAGGCCATTCAAACAGAAGAGTCGACTGTACCTCCTCTAACTATAGAGGATTTTCGGCAGGGTGATCCACATGCGTCATTCTCAGTCAACTATGTCTCCATCAGCGAAATATTTTGCAGGATAGGAGAGTGTCATAGCCGTGGGCTGATTACTGATGGCATGTGGCTTCATTTCAGGAATGATTTATACTTCTGGATACGAGAATTACCATCGGAGTTGAGACTATTTCGCCAAAACCCACAGCAAGGGCTAAAGGAGTACGGCCTGCTCAGTCGCCAGCTTCACATAATGTATTTTGTGGTGTTGATCATTCTATTTCGAAAGCCAACGATGTCATCTGGAACGCCGCCCATCGAGATTCATTCAACCTCAGGATTGATCGTTGCAGCTTCCTTTATAGCAGGTATATTCGAAGAACTCCTAATCCGTGATGAAATTCTCAACCTGGGGCCAGCCATCTATAAATTCTTTCTTCTGACGGCGGGTGTGGTTCTGCTTGAAGCCTCGAAGCTCCGAGTTCTTCCCGATAATGATGTTGCAGAAGACTTTGACATCATAAAACGATCATTGCGACGTTTTGCAGACCGCTATCCATCGGCGCTAGCTACCTTACATATCCTGGAGGTTCTGGAGCAGTCGCAAGAACGGCAGGATACCTCGGCAAATATACTTAGAACAGAACGGGACGTTCTCCCGCTATTCAGAGAATTTGGACCCGGACTTTGCCGAGCGTGGCCTCTCTTGGAAGGAGGAACCAAGTCTCACTCAACATGGGCTCAAACTCCAAACTTAGGTATAGATTCTATGCAGCTTTCTTCCTTTGCGGGAAATACAGGTGCGGAGGTCGCTGAGAGCCACAACTACATTGATGATACAATGGCAACTCTCTGGTCAGAAATGAATGACCCTTTGTCTTGGATATTGGAGAGTTCGATCTTCTCAGGCTAGAAAGACTATTCCTTGTTTGAGGCTCAATAATTGAATAGAGGTGTTTCGATACATGAACTTATGTCCTATAACAGAACCACGCCCCTGGTGCCTTGACTTAGCTGCCATGGAATAAATTATACCACTTGGCCTTTATCCCCCAAGCTCTTTCGGAACTACGCTTGCTCGTGGGTCGCCAATTTGTTATCCAACCGGTGTTCACAGGGTATATCTGAAGAGTGGAGAGCGGTCACCCATCTTTTCCAACTGCTCCTCAGTATAACTCGCCCTGATTTCTTCCTCGCTCTTCTTCGCTCGCCTCGCATTGACTTTGGAATAAGCAAGCTCAAGGCATACCGCGGCAACAATACCTGCGCCAGCAACCGAGAAAGAGCTTGCATAGGCCGTAGGATATCGAGGAGCTTCCTCGGTCTTGAAGAAGAACGATCCCGGAACCCCACCCAAGTTTCCAAGAGTAATCATCCAGGCAAGTCCAATGGCACGTTTCGTAGGGCCTTCGAGGTTGCTGATAGCCCAAGCGTTGGTACTTGGGAGGATTGGCAAGAAGCCGATACATGCCAGAATGAGAGCGAAATAACACTCTGGCACCCGGCTATCAACCGTCGGTCCATAGGCAAACAAAATAGCATAGCTGATGATGATGAGCGTTTGGCCAAAGACAATGAAAGGGAATCTCCATGTATAACGGTCCGCGATCCATGACGACACCAGCGCCGAGACCGTACCCATTGCATAAGGGGGGATTGTGAGTAGCTGTGCAGTGGACGAAGTAAAGCCCATTCCTTTGATCACTGACGGCATTGTGAACTTGAGTCCATAGTTTGGCATCGCGTTGGACCAGTAAATCACGATCAGCAGATATACCTGCCAGTCAAGAAGCACGTTCTTCAGAGTCTTCCACGGAAAGCCTTTGTTCTCTCCTTCATGGGAGTTTTCTAGGTGGCTTCTCGAGGCTGCTCGGGCTGATTGGCGTTTGCGCAGCTGGAGAAACTTGACTTCATCAGGGCTGAGCCATTTAGACGATCGTTCCGCAGAGTCTGGCAGGCCAAAGAAACAGACGATTCCGCCGAGTACGGAGATGATGCCTTCGATGATGAAGATCCATCGCCATCCTCTGTACCCTGCGGTGCCATCTAACTTGGCGATGCCGAAGGCCAATAGGCCAGAGAAGGCACCTGCGGCAGCGCTGGCGCTGTAAAAAATGGCGATGCGCATCTGAACCTCTTTGTGCGTGTACCATCTACCAATAAGGTAAAGAGCACCTGGGTAGAATCCAGCTCTGGAGAGGGGGTCAGTAGCGAAGAGCGTATGCTTAGAGGTGGTGTATACATACTCTGTCAGGCCAAGCATGAATCTAACTGCGAGCAAACCCCCGTAGGAGTTGATAAAGCCGGCGCAAGTCATGACAATGCCCCATGCGATGACGAGGGAGCCCAAGTACCAAGATGGGCGTTTTGTGCGGCTGAGGATCCAATTACTTGGGATTTCTAGTCTGCGCTGAGTGAAATGAGACACATAGGAGTCTGTCTTGCTATGAAAACTTACCGAAGAAGCAATATGGCGCAAAGAAAATGCATGTGGCAACGTTGTATCTATCCCCACGCAGGTCGATATCGTCCATTATGCCTTCGATCTTGACATTTCCTAAACTTAGATTAGCCACTAAATCTGTCCGGGATGAGGAAAATGAAGTTGCCCATTACCAATATTCGTGCGGTCAATGTAGGACATGAGATACAAAAAGGCAAGTAGAGGGATTAGCCGCCAGTCGAGCTAAATCACATCTCTATTAGCTTCGAGGCAAGGAGACAATCTTGCATCGCTTAACCAACCTTGCTGAGGGCGCGCTTCTTGACTTTATCGGGTAGATTGTCTAAGAACGCCTGTTCTTCGGCGCTCAGGCCATACGGATCGCGGAACTCATGATGGGAGGCGACTTCCGTATCCTTGGCTTGATTATCAAGGCTGAGCTTTGCATCCTGAGTAGGGTCCTTAGCCGTGGCCATGTTGAGAAGATGGACAGGAGGAAAAGAAAGCAGTGAGATTATCAGCTAAGAGTACTTATGCGTTTGAGTGAGGTCCCTGTTGCACTGCTACCACATTCTTGACAAAGTCAAAGAATTTGGGGGGATCTTATAGAAAGTCAGAGAGCAATTCAAGTCTCAGCACGAAAAGCTTTTAAACCTGGACCAGACCATCCGAGGGGAAACCTGTCCTAGCCCTGGTGGGGACGAGAAAACCCCACGGGGAGAACTATCTGCTTAGTTCTCTCCCTCTGACGAAACAAAAAGCCCGTCTCCCCCGCACCGGAGGGGAAGAGATGGATAGGCTAGATTGGACCTACCCCGCGTTTAAGACCCATGGGTTTACGAGTGTTCTGTGGGGAGTTCCTGTGAGCAAGGTTTTAGTCGCCACGACTCATACTCTCAAATGATATGCCGTGGGTAATTCGGCTCTCCTCCGAGATACCTACTTCTATAACTGCTGCCGTCATTCGGTGATAATGGTCACACTCAATGGAGGATGTTGTCTGTCCTGTCCGGCTCGTCATAAGCCAGCTCGTAGCCAGCTAGTCTGGACAGTTTACAGTCTTTCACATGAACTCCTTGATCCACCAAGGGAAATTACTATATGCCTTGAGACCGGCCATTAAGCACAGCGGTCCGGTCAGCCTTCCCCGTATCACCTCACACAGGCAATTTTGCCCCGTCGATTTCATAAACATTACGCATTGCGCAGCTAAGCAACTGATAGAGTGCCGGTTTGCCACGAGCTGCAGCAGAAAAGGTGTAAAATAACTTTAGATTCAAAGTTAAGATGCATATGGTCACGCTTAGTTGTGAATGTGAGTGTAACCTCGCGATAATGCCGTGGAAATCGAACAGCGGTAAAGCATGTCTGCTTTGAACGCGAATCGGCTCTTAACAGTAGAGGGTGCGCATGTGAAAGTAGAAAGGCCGATGAAGAGTAGCGCCAACAGGAATTTAGATATCATTTATACATCAAAATACAAGGGAGTAGGAATATATCCGTGGAGAAAGTGGAGGAAATGGCGAATTGGCATCCCCCGCGGTATAAGCCGGATCTTTCACCATACTAGCATTATTTACTCAAACCCAGTCGTTCATAGACCTCTAGCTAAGTTTAGTCATCTGTGATTTATCTAACTTGCTTAAGATCCACGAATCATGGGAACTGGGTAACCCGTAGTCTCTCGGTGTTTGCACGACAGTAGGCCCGGGGAGATGGATGGCCACAAGTATTCCGTCCACACTGCATTGCTTAAGGCCGTCTCCATGCTGAAAACCTCACTACGCTCGGTGACTCTGACAATTTCTTTGGGCAAGTTGTCTTCCCCAATGGCTTACTGTCTCATAATCTCATCATCGGCAGTTTGGCACGGGAACTCCCATTTCTTAATTTTCGGATCTAGGAGTCAAGATTGACCACAGAAAAGCGTGCAAACTGGCACTATACAATGTTGCTTCAGGAGCTACGTGCAGTCTCCAACATTCAGTTCTAGCTATGACGAGAACCTTCAGTTTGGTTCACTTTCGGGTTACCAATTCTGGCGAATTCTTGATATCAGGGTCATTTCTTAAAGTCATCTGCTGCTTATAGAAGAAGATGAATGGATCCTGTCATTCAAACAGCGCGGCTGGGTTATCAATCCAGAATTTTCTCCAAACAACTTCATCCGGGATCCATTCACGCAAACGCGCCACATGCTCCGCATGAGGAACCTTTCTAAAATCCTCAACGATGGTTAGTCTTTCCTCTCGTGTACGGCCCTCGCGATCCGACGCCAGAGCAGTGTTGGGCCAATCCGAACCGAACAGGATCCGGTTGGGTCCAGCCTCGGTTATAGCTCTAGCCATGTTGTCCAGAGACGAGATGCCCATATCGTTGCCGTGATATTGGCGCTCAAACGCGGACAGCTTAACGTAGACTCGCTGCCGACGTAAGAGGCCCAGGAAGACCTGGAACTCAGGGCTTTCTTCACCTCCCGAGTGGAAACCTGCCCAGTGATCCGCAACGACTTTAGTAGATGGCGGCAAGGCTTCTATTGTTGGTGCAAGAGCGGCCCAGGCCTTTGGATGCATGTAAAGATCAATAACCCACCCCAGCCGGTTGAGACGTTGGGCGGCGTATGCGATCTTCTCAGCCACGGCATTATCGCTGGGCTGGTCTCCGAAACCCCACGATACCTCGTGCATGCGGACACCTCGCACACCAGCAGCATGCAAGCGATCAAGCTCGCCGTCAGATACATTCTCCAAGTCAAGTACGGCAAGGCCGCGCAGGACACCTCCATGCGGCGACTTTAGGCTCAGCGTATCGAGCAGGGGTGCCGGGTCGGTGCCTTGGACGGTGGCCTGAACAACCACGATGTTGCTGCAGCCAGTGGCATTCTTGGGATAATCTGCTAATGGAGCAGCACCTGGCGTGTAGGATCTGTTCGGGGAGTAAGGATGCTTGGAGGGGTCGAAGACGTGGATGTGGTTGTCCCAAGAACCACTGGGAACCTCGGTAGTATGTTGTGAAGCCATGGAGACGGATGTTGAGATGTGTAGTATTCAACTTTGGATATCCTTTGTTTTAGCGGGGGTGAAATGTAGATCACTTTATATTTGAGGTTGTCTCCGATTACCCCACGAAGCTGGCGCCGAAAGTCGGGAACATTAATCCCGAGACAGACGGACTGGCTGTATCGCCACGGAGCTTTGTTTCCCCTTTGGTAGAACAGTGCAGCCTCAGTTAAGTAGTACCTTAGTTATTCTCATTGGGTTTTATCACTTAACTAATTTTCACTCAATTATCGTAACTTCTCTTATCGACAAGAGGGAAAAAAGACAGATGAGTAGGTTTGTTGCTGTTAAATACAGCCTGAGCTGATTAGTCGTCTTCGGCAAAAGTATCTTGAAGGAACATAATGGGATAGTTGGCAAAGTTATTTAGAGACTGCTTTCATTACAGCAGGTTAGTTTCAAGAAAATTATATAAGGAGGAATTGTTCCTTGCATATAACGGTATTTGCCTGAGTGAGATGATTCCCATTTAAAACCTGGACTTACCCCAAAGAGGGCAGGTAGACTCAAATCATGACTCTAATCACAGTATTCTAGATCAATTAGGCCGGTAAAGGCAGTTTTAGAACACCTATGAGAAAAGAGAAGAAAATTATTCGACGGCGGCGGCAAACTCAGTCTTTGTCTCGCTGCAAAGCACTGCCCTCTTACGCTTGCATGATTTTATCTAATTTGCCACCTCTATCGTTCTCTACGTCTACCTGAAAGTTACCGAGCTTATTTTCTTGCTTTTCATGGAGACCGCGTGACTGCTGCTTTGGGCTAGCGAAGTCTATATTAATTAACCTTTCGAAATCCATTGTTGAGATGTCGGCTCTGGCATCTTCTATTACTGTTTTAACTTTCTACTCGAACTCTCTTTCATTTATGGGGAAACCCTCAATATTCAGTTTTTTTCTCTTCTTGTCCGTTCCGCCCAACAGTGCCTCGTCAGAGTTCTGGCTTCCATATAAATCGCCTCGCTTTGCCATCCACATTCAACACTGTCTCATCTTGCTCTTCCCTCTACAAGCTACGCCAACATAGTTCACCTGTTTGCCGCCTCCTTGATCTGTCTCCCACCTCCTCAACCAGCACCAGTGTCTGTTTCATCGGCTACTTTGTCACCTACTGCACCACCGACTGCCAAAACACCCCCACCTCCGCCATCGACTCCTCGATCTCGAGCTTCAAAGATGGAAGTTTCCAGCACCAAGTACCGTGTCGGTGTGCCGCCAGTACGGCCTCTGCCATTAGAGAACTCGCACAAGGTCGGCGATGTGTGCAGTCCCGATGTACTTGACGAGTTGTACGAGAAGGTGGCCGACATTCTGCATGCACACGACATCGCCCTAACAAAACCTTCAAACGTGGGTGACGTGGGCAATGCGGTTGATTTGATTGATGACTGGGGCTCATCATACGAAGATGAAGATTACACAGAGCGCCCCATCTCCCTGGTATACCGGTCATATCCTAACATCCCTGAATCTGCCCGATTAACGTTGTTGATCATTGCCCATTGGACAAACTCTCCAGAGGCTTGGGAGCTCGCTGTCCAGAACATCAGGCCTCTGGTACTCGAGTACCTGCGTACACAACAGGATGTGGATGTCGAGATGATCGATGAGGCTCACTTCGACTCATTATCCCTTTCACCAGTCGGTGATGACCCTGAACTCACCCGGAATTGGGACGGAATATCTGCCCAAATTGTGGATGTTCTCGAAAGCAACCCAGCCTCCCGAGGCAACATGACCACCGTCTCGATCTTCCGGGCGGGCATAACAACATCCAGCAATAATCCCATCAACGTGTACGTTTCGGTCAGTGATGACTGCTCCCAGGCTGACTGGCCTCCCATTATCGCTGATATTAAGAAAATCATCGATCCGCACCACCTGGAATTGATCTTCGAGCACAATGCCTGGGAGTCACTTGAGTATTGGGACTAACCTTCATTTGCGGTGCCGTCGGGTCGGGTCGCCACTGTCTTGGTAGCATGTGGATGAGAAGAAGGTTGTTGAACTTTAGTGCAAAGACTCGGCTGTTGTCCTATACCGCAAGGTACCTTGCTGCCTAGAAAATATCTTTAGATTGCTATTAGTAGTGCAGGCATAACTTAACCGAGAACAATCATTGTTTCGTCAATTCTGACCTCCCTACAATCGGTGACTGCAGTGATTACCAAGTCACTGAGAATGCCCTGAGAGACAACATCCTTCTCCGCCTCCCTTTTGCCTTGCCAGAATATGGAATCCTTGTGATATGGGATATAGGTAACAGTTATAGTAACCCTGACGAGTGCGCAAGTTCCGCCTAATCCCAAGATCTCTCTGAAAAGGAGACGTTCTATCATGTGATCTCTTTTACCCCGGTAGTTGAGTAAGGTAGCTTTTGAGGTAATAAAATGCTGTAACTGAATAGATTTAACCCTATATCTTCTGGGCCGATAATTACAAATGTTTGACCAAACACAACGAAAAGAAATTGCTCCTATAGATCTGCGACCTGTCATTATACAACCTGAATCTCAAAGGTCTGATTTTCCTTTGGCTCTTCAAACAATCCCCACGTGCGAGACGCAATGTTGGATGGGCTCAGCGTTTCATGAGCCGGATCCACGGGGCCGCCCACGAGAACCATGCCAACGTGGACGCCCTTGGGGCCATACACCTTGGCGAGCGACTGCGTCATGTTTCTTTGTGCTGCCTTGGCCATAGAGAGGGCGAACATGTCTGGAATGGGGTCCAATGGTAACAAGGAGCTTGTCACCAGCAGTGAGGGTCGTGCATCTGCATCTGCGTCGGCCAAAGACACTAGACGCGGGATCGCCCATTTGGCAGCAGTGTGTAGCGATTTGCAATTGATCTGGAATCCATACATGTGTCAAAACTATCCTCGGACTTCAGGATGGACTCGTGGTAGGGGTTTCATACCTGGAAATCATGTTCCATCTCCTTGGCGTCAGATTCAAGAAGTTTGCTGAGCGCGACCCTAGCCGCGTTGTAATAGAAAACCTCTGGTAACCCCATCTCCCTCTCGATCTTGTCCAGTGTTGCGATAAATTCATCGTCGTTCGTTATGTCAACAAGGTATGTCCTCACTTCTGCTTTTCCGTCCGTAGCGGCCTGGACTGCCGCCTGGTCTTCTGCCAGCCTCCCGGCATTCCGGGCGAGGAGGGCAACTTTGTTAAACCTCTTTGAGGCAAACTCGCAAGCGATATGTCTCCCAATTCCTGGACCAGAACCGACAAGAATAAGTAGGCGGTCGGTTTGCGAAGTCATTTTATGTTCTGTAATGGTAGGAACCGTAAGTTATAGGATTCTGGCGTTTCAATTGGTATTGTCAAATATTTACTGCCTTTCGTTTGAGCCTACAGAATGAGCTGCATCTTCTGATTTGGCTCGAAGTGAGTTCATTTATACGTATTTGAACACTAGCAAAAAGCATCACAGTAGGGCCGTTCTCAACATCATCAGGAACCATCACCATTACATCGATAGCTTGGTGCGGCCGCACGTGAATGTGCTGTAAGACCGAAGTAAGATTCGGAGTGGGATGCCGATCTTATGTACGTGCGGATGCGGGTGCGGGTGCGGGCGAGTTGGATTACACATCACCCAGAATACTCTCGCAACTCTACCATAAGCCAACATAAGCTTCGTTTCAACTCCATCTCACGTCTAAACTGTATCATGTTGTTTCCTTTATTCCCCATCCTATCACCAATCCAGTCGCCTCACACCTATCAAGCATGGAATCCTGGCTGTCTTGGGCCTCTAAGCCTCTCTTAGTGAGCGCCCCAATGTATGGCCATTCAAATGCAACTCTAGCTGTTGAGGTAACGAAGGCTGCCGGCCTAGGATTCATCCCGGGAGGATTTGACTTCCGGGCTGAGAGCCTACAGATCAAGGCGCTTGAGGACGAACTGATCCTTGCTCGCAGCCTCCTGGAGAAAGCTGGCATGGCCCAAGATCCTCTCCCCGTTGGCGTCGGCTTTATTACATGCCACCCATCGGCTTCTAATTTTGCCAACACAGCGCTGCCGGTGCTTCTCAAGTATAAACCCACAGCCGTCTGGCTCTTCGCCCCCGATCCTGACGCCCCGCAACGCGCCCACCCTGAGATAATCCGGCATCTTCATGCGTCGGATATCAAGGTATTTGTGCAGGTGGGCACGGTTGCAGCGGCCAGGGAGGCTGTCAGCGACGGTGCCGATGTCCTGGTCGCTCAAGGCACAGATGCCGGTGGACATCAGTTTGCCAGAGGGGCGAGTGTCATCTCATTGGTGCCCGAGATTCGCCAGATGCTGGATACCGAGTTTCCGCAAGCGGGAACTGGGCTGCTCGCCGCTGGGGGCATTGTTGGTGCAAAAGCAGTGGCGGCTGCCTTGGCTCTAGGTGCGTCGATGATTCAAACTATAGGCTCCTATAGACGCAAAGCTAATGTTTCCATAAAGGTGCCGATGGCGCTGTGCTTGGCACAAGGGTATGTCACCTGCTATCCCATCGCGATACATCTGCTGAATAGGTATAGCTTCTTGTGGCACAAGAGTCATCGATGTCCAAAACTGGAAAAGAATCCATTATCAAGGCGTCGGATGGTGGCGCATCTACAGTGAAGTTCGTCTGCCTGCTTTCCTTACTCCGCCTTATGTCAACAGTCCTGATACAATACTGTGTAGGTCAACTGTCCTTGACGACATCCAGAGTACTGCCATTTGGCCCAAGCTCTACGATGGAAGGGCACTCATTGGGGAATCTTACAAGGATCATGAGGCTGGGATGCCGGTCAAGGACAATGTTGAGAAGTTCAAGGAGGCTGCTCAGGGGGGAGACGAATCAAGAAAGATTGTCTGGTGGTAAGCAACACGCGGATCGAAAATCGTTTTCATGGGCTAACGTTTACGAAGCGGAACTGGAATTGGGCTCGTCAATGAAGCTCTGCCTGCTGGTGTGATTATTGCGGAAACTCGAAAGGGGGCAGAATCTGTCCTGAAGTCGCTGTCCTAGGTGTAAGTTTACTGCATGGTGCAGCACTCCAAGGATTAGGAATTAGTGGCCGTGGGGTATTGAATAAAGTATTATATTATTTAATATCCAGGTAGCGATGTTAGTTCTATGACGCAAACACTTTTTCGTGTTGTTTGGTAACAACAGGTTGGAAAGGATGCTGAGGATATTCAGCCCTCGATCTGAGCTAAGTGTATATAACCATAATAAACTGCCACCTCAACAACTGAAAACGGTGCGCTCGAGTAGTCTAGGTGGTCAGGGCACCACGTTGTGGATAATTACTGGAACCGTGGAAACCCCGGTTCGAGTCCGGGCTCGGGCACTTCAATTTCTTTTTTTGCATCTTCTTTTTGTCTGCCTACCCTAAACCCAGACACAATTTATCCCGGGTTTTGGATACAACTGGCAATTGAGACAAGCAAAGGCTTATAACTTTCCTCGTTCACGTCATAATTACCCTTCCCGATTGCAACGTATGGAACGGCCTTTTAAGTTTTACTTGTCGAACACAAATGTAAGATGTCAAAGCGTTTTCCGGTAATTCAGAAAAGGCTCAAGTTCTGTTGTCATAACTTTCTAGGTTTCAAAAATTTTTCATTGTCATCCCTTAACAAGGAATTGTGCGCACTCAATGACATCCTTATACTCCGCGCCATCCTCAGACATCACGAGAGTTTGTGCCACTTCTGCAACTAATAAGCTCCCGAAATCCTCCGCCCACCAGACCTGATGCCCAAGTTTATGTGCCAACACTCCCCAAAACATGAGGATGGCAAAAGCAACACAGTCCTTCTCTTCGATAGCCCGCATATACTCTTCGCCTGCTAGATTTGGCCAGCCGAGAGCGTAACCCTTCGATAGATCGTCCACGCATTTCTCGTAGCATTCTCGGAGGATAGCCAGGGCCTTCTTGCACGAATCCCAGTAGGCGACTTGCTGCACTCTTCGCTCATCCGAATCCCGTACTGTCGTTGTGATTCTCTTGTCATTCAGGTCGTTCAGCCTTGACAGATTTGCTTCTAGCTCGGGGCTCATCGGAATACGAGGTAGATCCTCAAAGAGTGTCAACTTCTGAATGTGCACATTCCTCGAAGCATATCCTGGATCGATATTGAGAATTGGTATACAGCCGCGCAGGAGTCCAAAGTGGGATACAACAGCCTCTACCATGCGCCCTTTCTCGCCCTTAATGGGTGATGCCTGCGCGGATGCAAGAGCCAGACATAGGAGCATGAGTGACATGCAAAGCGCAGCCTCGTGAGTTTTGGCATTGACAGATGGCAGTTGCGATTGAAACCGGCTGAGTGCTAGACCGTGATACTCGACGGCTGCATTGACATACATCTGGGCATCAGGAGTCTTGGACGTCCTCGCCGTCTCGAATGCAGAGAGAGCAAATATCCCGTACAGTAGGAAGTCATGTTGTATGGCTAGTCCAGGGACCATGAATTGCCATACATCATCATCATCGGAGCCAGGGGTAAGGCAGCTCTTGTACGTCAATGCGGACCAGCGGTGCATCAGTTGCAGCTCCAGGAGGTGGCGGGTAGCGGGAAATACCACCGCGTTTCTCTTATTGGAATCAGCCGTGCTGGCTATACTTGGCTCGGTGGTGCTCCGTGTGATCGCCGTGGCGGGAGAGTCAGCTTGCTGATTACTGGAGCTCGCGTATTGGCATTTGGTTCCTCGGGCCTGGCACCGTCCGCACGGTGGCCCCTGTTCGTCGCACTTGACGTGCCGGTTCTTGCAAGTGATGCATCCTTTGCGTGATTTGGGGTGTGAGCGTCGGGTGGACATCTCGAGACTTCCGTATCAAGGCCAGCTGGAAGGGGCTGTTGAAGCTGAGTCAAGATGAACTCGGAGGGGGATGCCGGCTGGGTTGAGCTTACGATCACGCAGTACGAGTACGATACGAGTACGTCAGGCTAGACCATTACTAGATAAGATCGACATCATCTTAGAGTTGCAATTGGCTGTATCTAGCTGACCCATCTGCAAGGTAACCTGGTCTAGAGTCTTCTTAGTGGAGTACATGGTGCAAACTGGGAGTAGCCCATTGCTTGAGCTTGGAAATTCCAGACAAGAGTGCTGAGGGATGCCGAAAGGCCCAAGAGTTGAATGGTTATTTTTAATTTAGATGATATCAGTATGTAAATTTTAAGCTATAAAGAGGCCCTGAGGAGCGTCGTTTTTTAGATTGCTGTACCTCCGCTGATTATTCGTACCAATTACTACAATGTCGTTTCGACCTTGCTTACACCTTCGAATGCAGAACCGAGTTCGCAGAATGACGACAAACTCCTCTAAGGATCACATATTTGAGCTTCCAGATGGGCGGAAGCTAGGATACGCGGAATATGGTAGTGCAGCCGGTAAACCTCTTCTCTACTTTCACGGATATCCATCCTGTCGCCTCGAGGCATCGGTTGCCGACGAAATGGCGAAACGGCATAACATCCGGCTCATCTCAATCGACCGTCCCGGGTTTGGATTATCAACACCGCAACTCAACCGACGACTTATGGACTGGCCTGAGGATGTTCTTAATATCGCAGAGGGCCTAAATATTCCACGATTCGCAGTTATGGGCTGTTCTGGAGGAGGGCCTTTTGCACTGGCCTGTGCCCATGCGCTACCAAAAAGCATGCTCACCGGAGTTGGTCTGTTTGCCAGCGGCCCCCCATGGGCAGCAGGCGCGCATCACATGTCACTCTATCGGAGGGTATTTGTTTCACTAGCAAAAGTTGTACCAAGTGTGGTGTCATCTGGGCTGGGCCTCTTCATCCGCCTACTGGTATGGGTAGTCAACACTCGCCCCGTGGTCAGTAGGACGAACCGATGGTTGGAGGAAGCCAGCAAGAAATCCCAAAATGAATTGTCCGGTTCGACTGACGGGGCGAATGATCTGCGTCCCGAGACGAGAACCCCTGAGGAACGGAGGCAGAATCTATTACAGATGCTTGTCTATGAGCCTTTTGTTCAAGGACCTGAGGCTGCTGTTCACGAGGCACTGATATTAAGCTCAAAGGATTGGGGTTTCAAGTTTGAGAATGTACAGTATGATGCGGTGAAAATCTGGCATGGGGCTAAAGACAAGAACGCCCCGGCAGTCGCCATACGGTACTTAACAGAACGTCTACCTCATTGCAAGTACACGGAATTTGAAGAAGACACGCATTATACGATGTGGAAACACTTCGAAGGGGCGCTGACTGATTTGATGTCAGAGGAATCGGAGCAGAAATCTGATGATCTGGGAACAAGAGTACACTATCGCTCTAAATAGATTCTTTCTCCTCGTGTATAATAGACTCATCTCCGGTTTCATACTCTGTTAATCCATCTAAAGCTGATAGGTAGCTGTATTATCCACGTATCGTGTACCAGAGGCTCGAATCCGCAGTGTGACAATCGGACGATGATCAAAAGGGAAATAGAAGAGTTGAACGCGAAGAGAAATCTCCCAGAGCGCATTGGAGGTCAGGCTTCAAGGTCGCAATGGAATTTACAGGCGTATGATCTGGCTTGAAGAAATGAAGACTTCAATGACGCGTAGGGGGTGGTTACAAAGCCGTCGCATTTGGAGTTAGACGATTGCACTGTGGAGTTTGAAGGGCAGCGACCTTACATAGGCAGTGAGGTGGTTGTGTCTAGGATAGGTCACCGGCTTTTTAGATGTTTATACTTAATCAACCACCCACTCCAAAGTCGCAAGAACGCGTTGAAGTATTCTCAACTAATCAGACAGACTCCAATTCTGAGGCCGTTTTGTCTTCTGCCTTATGAAAGGAACCCGATTGCAGGACTGAGCGCTGCGGCTGTATCAATCTCATCTAATCTACCTATATAAAAGGCTCTGTAGAAGGAAAGATGGCACAGGAAAGAAGGTTTCAGAAACCAGACACCCATTTCAGTCACCAGACTTAGCTTATTCAACAAAGAAATTGCAGATATAATTGGCGAGGATGGAATTCAAAGATATGGGGGGATATAGTCAGCAGGGCGTGGAGCGAGAGACGAAGGTTTTCGCAATTTGCTCTCCCCCGGTCGTATACCTGACCCCAAACCAGATGACCTGGGCAACTCCCCGAAATACTGAATCATTTTCACGAGAGTGATGGGAGCGGCGCGAACTCGCTGAAAATTCGGAGTTTGGTACACCAGTCAATGATAAGGCTCATGTAAGATTGGGAGGTGAGATTACAAAATATGACGAGTAACAAGAGGCCTGTTCCGGTGACGAGTTGGGACAATGAGTCACTTGGTGTGCAGCTCATGTGTTCACCCTGATGTTCATGTAAGATAGATGTAACGTATTCGGCTGTCCCGGGTACCTGTTGATCTGTAATAACCTGCATTCGTGACGACGTTCTCGATGTTAGGATTCATCTTACGCTTAAGGGGATTAAATATGAACCCGCAGAACGGCTGTGATTCTGCCAACCCGGTGATCAAATGTCCGACAGCCGGGTCATTTTGGTTGAAACGTTGCAATAGATGAGCATCTCACCGCCGCTGGTTGTGGCGTATCTCTATTATCTGCCCATGGGTCGCCTTCTTCGTGCCAAGATGTCGATGCCGAGTGTCGAATGCCAAGACCGTGAGAATCGCCTCCGGCCGGTCGTGCCGAAGGCTGATCATATGCATGTTGCGGTGGTGCATGGGCCTACGTAAGCTCCTCAAACCCTACGATGCGAATGAGAGATAAAGTCTTATTATTGCCGCGTAATCGAAGAAGCCGGAAACCGAGCTCCCCCCTATAGAGAACCGGCAGCAGATCCAGATGTGGGGTGCGAGATGACAGGAAGCCATGCAGGCGGGAGTACTGGCTTAATATCGCGCGTATCCGTTTCAAAAACAAACTGCATGACTCCAATTCGAACGAGGATTGGCTCAGGCGCATAAGAGCCGCAGGTATCGCGAGACATCGGCACTTGACCGAAGTAGGAGACATAGAGTCTACAAAAGGTTGGCCGGAATAAGATGGAGGAGAGAAAGAGGAAAATGGTGAAATAACGCCGAGAGAAGTAAAGAAACAACCAGTAATAAGCATAAGTTTCGCTCGTGCACAGAGTTAGTGACAAGCATAAGTCCGACCCAACGCTCGACATTGGCTAATTCGGGTCCGTCCTATTAGTTCCCCACGCGGGAGCTGTTAATGTTGACCATTATAGACAAGGCTCTTCCATCATAGGGCTAGGTAAATTTCCCCAAATTTCCCCAAAGCTTTTGGATTAGTTAGTAGTCTTGAAACATATGTCCAGGCCGTACCCTTGCCATCTCTACCCGTCCGACTATCGGGAGGAGGAATTGGGCGAAAGACTGTCAACACAGGATTCGTACTCTCCTCTCAAATAGCAAATTTCGTGAAAGATGGGTCATGGCTATCAAGGAAGTATGAAGTGACCGGCGGTCCAAATCGAGGCAGGCCTAACGTAGTCCTTGTCTATCCAATCATCTTTGGCCCAGTTGTCAGCACGGCAGGCAGCATGGCGATCCTAGCAATACTGATGACGACATGAAGCTATTCTCATTCCTTCGTCACCTAAAAGCCCGATATGCTGACGGCGACGACCGGCCCGCTGTGGAGAAACCTGCTTACGCTCCGCTCTTCTATTCCCAGTTTGCCACGAACTATCAATGCGATTTCGAGCAGCAGGCATCATGAAATTGCCAGGATTTCGCCGATATTCACTCACCTTCAGCTAGGAATGTGCATCACCCCCGTCCCTGTCGGCAGTGAAATGCCGTGAAACAATGATAGAAGGCCTTTTGTCAACAACATCACATAGGCAGTTTACATGACCGAGATATTAGTGTGTATGCGGGCATAAGTCGGCAATCCGTAGCCTCATGGAAGAGCTCTGGATATGAGTTAAGCCCGAAAACCGAATAACCCGGAAAGACATGCCACGAGTATAAAGATCAGCGGTATCCTCTCCAACAACTTTCTACCAGCTCAGTTTATCATTGAATTGAACTATTCAGCTCTCATCCAAACTTCAACCGAGTCTCTTGGTAGTTCTTTCATCATGAAGCCTTCCAGCATTTCCGCCCTTCTCGCGGGAGTTAGCATGACTGTTGCTCTCCCTCACATGGACAGTCCTCGTGAAAGACTCAGGCGAGGTCTGCCTCTTGAGAAAGGATTGGCAAAGAGAGACGATACCAACCCATACACGAAGAACTTCACTGACCCCTATGATTCTGCAATCGACTCCGTTGGTAAAAACTTGGACCCTCTTCCTTACCGCAACGGTGAAGGAGCATCAGTTCTTGGCCCTTGGAACAAGGAGCGTTCTCGCCAGAATCCCCCTCCCCTGCGAAGCAGGGGAGGCGCCGCAGGCCGCGATTTTTTTTTCGTTCAACGAGGCTGTGGCCTATGTGCACGCGATTCTCTCAGGATATTACTGCTGTGATTAATTTAGCAATTCGCCGCGCTGGCTGAACTGGGCATCAATCTTATGATGAAGCACAGTCCAGCAAGGCTGCCTGCAGCTGGGGCCCAGTGGTCTGCAGTAGCTCCAGTGGATCCTGACTAGAGACTACAGTAGTAATTCCAAGTATTGGTTAATTACTACTGTAGTCTAATTCCAAGTATTGGTTAATTACTACTGTAGTCCTAGTCAGGATCCACTGGAGCTACTGCAGACCACTGGGCCCCAGCTGCAGGCAGCCTTGCTGGACTGTGCTTCATCATAAGATTGATGCCCAGTTCAGCCAGCGCGCGGGAAAAAAAATACTGTGGCTTTACTGTGATCATGGGGATTGGTTTTGGGGATTTTGGGGATTGATTTTGCAGAGAAAACAGAGAGAGAAAAAAATGGCGGGTGTTGTGGTGACATGTCAAGCTGCAGGGCTTGCAGCTGCAAGCCCAGGCGTGCTGCGATGAGGCCGGTCCTAATAAAAACGGCCGTCTTGGAATACAAAGTTGGTTGACTTCCTGATAAAACAAGATTAAGTAGGTCGTTGGGATACAGTTCCATCAGCTTCGCATTGTCGGTGCACTAATAGCGTAGTTCCTCCATCGAAATACCTCGCGAAAGAGTTCCTCATCCGTATTGGGCTTGTTCATGACAAAGCTTTCGTCCGTATTGGCATTATCAGTGTACTAATAGCATAATTCCTCCATCGGAACGCCTCACGAAAGAGTTCTTTATCCGTGTTGGGCTTGTTCACAGTTCCATCAGCTTCCGCATTGTCGGTGCACTAATTCCTCCATCGGAACGCCTCACGAAAGAGCTCTCTATCCGTGTTGGGCTTGTTCATGGCAAAGTCGACTGGCACGGTGAAGGGATCGTCAATGGCGTGGTGGGACGTCATGTTGGCGCTGCTGCTGAGCTGTCAGGCTCAAAGGAGGGGGTCTGGTGGTTTGACTGTTTGTGACGCACAAAGGGAGCGGATGGACGAATATGATGGACAAAGGTGATGGGTCGAGGTGGCGGATTAGGGTGGTAGTTGGCGTGTAAGAAGGGTGGGAAAAGGGCCTTGTTATATGTCCAGTTGCCGGGCGAAGCAAACAAAGTGGTGCGCGTAGAAGCCCAACCTGGTGACAGCTGGCGACTGCTCCAAATCACCCTTCCCCCAATCTCTCTCGCATTTCATCACTACTATCAGAAGTTCTGTGCCCTCTCCCTCGGCGAAGCCATACAGCTTCCCAGTTAAGCTCCGGCCCAGTGGACCAGCTGCCGACCACTTGCCCCATGTGCTGCTGGGCGCGCCTGCTCGCACCTTCCCCAACACGAACTCGGCACGCCCAGGAAACAAGACGCATACGCGCCAGAGAGCAAAGAGGGGAAGCGTCCAACTCCATCCTCGTATTGTCCATCAAGTCGTGTCCCATCAAGGCCAACCCCAGCCTCGGCTCCTAGAGCATTGCGAGATGTCGATCGCGCGACGAGAGGGTGGTTTACGGCCATGCTGATAGCTTGCGGCGCCCTAGAGCAGCCCAGTCTCAACAAGACCCTTCCAGTATCTCCCCAGGAGGAGTCGACCGAGGGAGTTGGCGCATTGTCTGTTGATGACCCACGCTCCCAACCCCAGACCGACCACGAAGATGGCTTTTTCCAAGGTTCCCTCCAAGATACTGGACGTGTCGAGATGGCAGAGATGGCAGATGTGGAGGGTGTTGGAGAGGATGATCTGCTAGGTACCGCTTCCAAGAGTGCTGCCAGTGGTAGGTGATGAACGGTTTTGGGCGCATCAATCGTCAACCACTGCTAACTTTTTCTTCATACATCATCGGTCTCTATGAATTCACTACCTACGGTATCCGACTTGCGGGCGACCGAAACACTTTACCAGCTGGCTTCGATACATCTGAGCTTCGAGAGTTCCTGTTAAAACATGATGCCCAATTTATCCCGGGGCGCAGTATGATCCGGAGAATATATATCGTGCGATACGTCTTCTGGGAGATGGTTTCAGTGACCCCAGCCCATCAATCCCGACAGACAACAAAGTCAGCAACATCTTTCCCGAATACAGCGTGCCTCAACCACCCGAACCTGCGAGCCTGTTTGTCCGGCGTGTGGTGACCAAGTAAGACAGCTATATCACCATCGTTCCCTCGTGCCATACGCCCCGATCCGAGCTAAGCTTTAGCTTGCAACGTATGGCCGTGAGCAACGGAGCAAGACACGAGGTATTTCATATCCATTCATGCTATTCATATATGGACGTAGACTCCATCGTGACTCCCATCGCTCTCTGACGGAGGTATATGCGATCACTGCTGGAGGCATCCTTGATATCCCATTCATCTGCTACCTTGGCGACACCGCACATGCCTCAGCAAGGTAAAACATCTGGCTTTCACGGTCCAAAGACCCTCGAGTTCTGTCGCCAATACCGAATTGGTCAGCAAGCCGTTCAGTCGAGCGACCCACTGTAGTTCTTGACTTTGACATCATCGCCCACGGTCGCCATCATCATCGGACAATCCGCATGCCAGGATACAGATGGACGTCATCAAGATGGCTGTTTGCAGGCAAGGCTTTGGGTCCCATTGGATTTTCAGCGAGCATCGCCCGTCGTTGCTTGCTTGATCTTACACCAGCACTAGAGCTGATCTTATCTCGTCCACTGGATGCTACGCACTCGCAATTCAATACCATGACAGAGTTGATGCATGCCCCTGGTCCTTTGACATCACAACCCCAGCTACCCAGAAGGAACATACTGACCAACTTCGGGTATAGCTATTCTCGCCGGATTCGGAACGCCTCCAGTCGCTGATTCACTAATTGCGGAGCTATTCTCTAGCAGCCCATGTCCGTTGGCTATAACCGTGCCGACATTGCTGCGCGCGTGGCTTCAATCGAAACACGTCCATCAATTCTTCGAGAGAGATATCGGAAGTGATGACCGAGTAATGAACTCGGTTAGCAGGGCATTTGCCAAGCTTGCAACTGGCAACAACGTGCTAAGCCTCACCATCACCAGGGAAGAAAGGGGCAGAATTGGTTTGATTGTTCTTGACACTCGCCAAGCGTACCAGCAGCTTTGCATGTAGGCCGCCACATCCACTATTTCGAACGAGCGAGCATATTCCCGAGCGCCATCACAGCAACCATCGATAGCACCATCTATTGCTAGATGGCTTCAGGGTTCCATGGATCAATCAGCAGTACTGAGCAAGACAATACTGGCGAGCCCACCCCAGGAGGCAGCCAAGAAGGGCACACCATTATAACCATGATACAAGGCGCCCGAAGATCCGTATCCATTGGGCAAGTATCGCGGACGAGTACGCATTATCCGTCAACATGAACATACTGCTCGGTGAGACCCAATAACGGGAGAGTCGCGTACAATCTTGTCACTTACTTCCTCTCCACTCAATCTCATACGTGCATCAGATGGTTCAAGATCAAAGTCGGCGAGTCAAACCACTCCAAGCCTGAAAGGTGTTGCTCGACAAGGTCAGGATGGAGATGATGATAAGACTGATCCTCTGCAAAAGATTCTTCTGGTTTGATGCGGAGCTTACTCGCATGATGCAGATTGACCATTTTCCCTCTGACAAGCGTCATCTCAACGAGGTTGATGCAGAATTTACAGCGAGATGGATATCACTGTTGGGTTGGGTATCGCACATCACCGTATCGCCATGATTAGGCAAAGGTGAAAAGAGAAGGTGTTATCTGACACCTTCAGGGGTTGGATGCAGCTTCCAGCTTTGCATATTTATGCGAGGGTAGGTCGCTCCACACATCGATAGCTGCAGCCCTCATGAATACGATCAACAGCTACAGCCTTGAGCAGGCAAGTCAGATCCCTCCTCGATCCTATTCACCCCGGCCCTCATGAATGCAATCAACAGCCATAGCCTCGGGCTGCTTCGAGCAGATTAGTCAGATCCTATTTGCCGTGATCAGAATGGATGAGATCAACAGCCACAGGCTGCTTCGGGCAGGTTAGTCAGATCCTATCCGCCGCGATGCGATCAACAGCTGCTGCCTCGAGCAGTCTCGAGAAGCCAGGTCGGATCGTATACACGTAATACTCCGGCTTCGTCAGCTTTGCCTACCCCTGTGATGGCCTGCCAGCATCACCGTCTTGTTAGCGAGATTCCTGCCAACAAGGTCCGGGCGGACCTCCATGAAGTGGATGGGGTATTTGCCCTTGCCGAACAGGTACTCTGATTTATCCGATTGTTCAAGGGGGGGAAATCCTCCTCCCAACCCATGTTGTCGATTATGATCGGGATTGAATTTCTCATTTCGCCTCTTCTTGTATCCAATTCCCCAGCAAGTTTGGTTTCACCGACTAGTAAGTGATAATGGCGACAGGCGAGACTGATACTGACAGCTGTACATCCCCCACAAGGCCCTTTATCGATTTATTTTCGAACCAAACGAGACGACCATGTCATATCCCGCAAGACCCGTTGATGCTGGCAAGCCATCATAGGGTAGGCAAATCTGACGAAGCCGGGGTTTTGGTGGGTTAGGTCTAGGATCACGGTTATCAGGATCGAGGACTCACACGACCGCTCATCATCACATGATAGCACGCTCGGGCCAGCTTCTCATTATTCAAGTTGCTACCCTGGTCAACGGAATACTCCCCCTTCGACGGAATACTTTTCCTAGCTAGAAAATTAATCTAAAACCTTAGTAATAGATCCTCATCTATGAGGTCGAATATGTATGTATTTATGGTGTCTCATTTCTTATGTCATCCACTTTGGGGCCTCTCTTTGGATCAGCCTTGGAGTGGACTAATAATAGTTAGTGGGTAGGTAGCCGAAGGGTTCTTTGTGATCATGGGTGCTACAAGTATGAGCCGCCTTGCTGTGCTGGGCAAGATTTTTGTCTTATTATGACGTCCATCTCGCTCAAAGGTTGCATTGGAAAAGGAATAGAAGCGTAGAGATACATCAAAATTGCTGGCGCTAGACCAAGCCACCCAGTATCAACGAGATGATGTACTATAGCGTGCTTGCTAGGCAGGAGTAACATGAGCGAGCAAGATTGGTTAATCACTAAGAATAGAAACCAGAAATGGTGGTGTACCCATCTTATCAGCTAATCAAGCAGTGATTCACTGTCAAATGATGGATGGATGATTACAGTTGCGTACGGTCAATCTTCAATTCCCCGCCCCTTCACATTACGGCCATACACCTGCGTCGTTGAGTTGTTCAGCTAAAGGCATACTGATTGTACTTGTTTGAGTTTCTCCTCGCTTCTGGTGAAAATCTTGCTACCTAGGCAGAGGCACTTACGCGCCCTTACTCCGCGCTTCGCGTTCCGCGCTTCTCCCTCCTCCTTCTCCCTCCTTCTTCTTTCTCCCCTCTCAACCACCCAACTTTGCTTCTCTCCTCAACACATCAAAAACCCTGCTTCCTTCGCCTGCTTCCACACCTCTACTCTCAAGAGCTTCCATATTCTCGCGTATAATTTCTCTCGTTCATATATTCCCACTTCTCGTTACAATATCAAGCTGAGTCCCTGGTCCTGCTCCTGTGGTCAATTTCCAGCAACCAGCTACTCCCTATCCCATACAGTATGGCCAAGGCTTTCCCTCATTTCACATCATCTGAATTTGCTAATAGACTACTAACTGGTCGGTAGCTACAGATGGCAGACGACCAATCGAACAAGGCACCCCCTGGGCCTCGACCACGGGCTCAGTCGCAACTGGCTCGCCCGGAAAGCCAACAAGAGACTGGCCAGAGTTCGTCATCCAGGCCTACTTCTTTTGGTCCTCCCATACAACGCCCAACTTCACTGTCCGTTGGTTCTGGAAGCTCTACACCTAGACCGCCATTCGCTACATCAGGCGAGCAAGAGCATGCTCGTCGACAGTCGGCTGGCTTTCATGGCCCAGCACCTGCTGCCAACCCAACGTCCAGGCCGCCTGCCGTACAACGTCCGGCTTCACGGTCCGTTGGCTCTGCAAGTCATGCGCCTCCTGCGCCTAGACCATGGACTGCATCGGGCGAGCAAAGAGATGCTCGTCGACATTCAGGTGGTTTCTATGCCATGCAATCGGTTGGATCTGTTAGTCTAGCAGCGGGTGCCAACCCATCATTCAGACCCCCCACTGCACGAGGGCATGCTCCTCGTCTCTCGACAGACTCGCAGGGCTCATCAGGTAGTGCCAGGCAGCCAGCACAGCAGCATTCTACAACACCAGGGCCACAGCATCGAGCATCTGCTCCTGTTAGCGCTTGGAGCCCAGCACCGGGTGCCAACCCATCATTCAGACCCCCAACCGTGCGAGGGCATGCTCCTCGTCTCTCGACAGACTCGCAGGGCTCATCAAGCAGTGCCAGGCAGCCAGCACATCAGCATTCTACAACACCAGGGCCACAGCATCGAGCATCTGCTCCTGTTAGCGCTTGGAGCCCAGCACCGGGTGCCAACCCGTCATTCAGACCCCCAACCGTACGAGGGCATGCTCCTCGTCTCTCGACAGACTCGCAGGGCTCGTCGAGTAGTGCCAGGCAGCCAGCACAGCAGCATTCTGGCACAGCAGGTGCACAGGGGCTGTCTATTGGTCCCCAGGGCTCTACACCTAAACCACCTCAAACATCAGCTCGATCGACAGCCCCAGCCCCTCCTGCGCAGCAGTTGCGTCCCCCACCAGCTGTCTCGAAGCCTCCAGTGCAGCAGCCACAGCACCAGTCCCAACCTCAACAACAGCCCACCCAGCCCCCTGCTGCGCCTGCCCAGGGCGCGTCGGCTCGACAGGCACATCAAGCCCAAGATTCCCATCCTGGTCATGCTCAGATACGTGCCCTGGTTGTGACCAGCGCATGGCAGTACGATGACACTGCCGAGTATGTTACGGAACCTGCAATGCGATACAGCATCCCCGAAGAGTGTAAAGTAATGGGAGTGGTTCAGTTTGAAAAGGGCAACGAAGGCTACCATCAAGCCACAGACTCAACTGGTAAATGGTGCAAGGCGGTCTTCAAGCGTGGCAAAGCTAAGCTATATGGTATGTTCATTCCCACGAAGATGTAGCTCTTTGGGTAACGACTAACTGTTGTTTATCCAGTCCTTATTCCTACTGACCGCGTTAAGATTGGCGCTCTCAGCAAGACAATAGAACAAAGACTCGACGAGTCAAAGGAGGTCAAACTTTATCCATTTGCTGATGTAACTGGTGATACTCCTCTGGTAAGGTTTATCAGATCGTTCTGGTCTGGTATGCGAGCCCAACAGGCTACCCTCCACCAGTGCTATATTTCCGAGATACAACTTACTGCCATGTTCTCGGACCAAAACTTCATAAGCAATATTGATGCAATCACCTCGTCTTTTATAACGGTTGTACGGCATTCCATTGAGCACGGTAAAATTACCGCAGCATCACTGGTACAACTACCAAAGGTGACCGATCAATGGCCTCCTCGAGGAATGAAATGTATTTACCTGCGAGTATACACACACCAGGACCCAGATCATATCAATATCGAGGACTACGCTACATACTCCGGGCAGAGCTTTCGAGTACAAACACGAGATATTGAGCATCAAAATGAAACAGAGAAAAACAAGACTGGACATCCGCACTACCGCCGTGCAAGGGCATCACCGAAGGATCATAGACATATGATCCCTGTAATGCTGTTTGACCCATCCACGTCCCATACACTGATAGACATGGCTGAAGAAACTGCTGTTGTTCTATTTAATTGCGTCCACAGCCTTGGCTATACCGATAACCTCCCTGCAGTCCAGAAACTCAATATACTCAAGAGCAAGATCGCCACAGAAGCTCGGCAGGCGTCTTCATGGCCCAAGCTTGGAGTTCGAGGCTGCAATATCCGTTCACCAATCATGGGAATAGGGGGAACACCATACTATGGCATATCAACACCCGCCGCGTTCCCAGGGGACCGTGGGAGGACAATATACCGAAGGGCTGCGTTTGCCATTGGACATCCGAATGACACGGGTCACCACGTGTCTTTACTACTCCAGCGAGACGGAGTCGAAACAAGATATGCATTCACTCTCTCATCGGAGAGATTCAATCGGACATATTCCCGAACCAAAGTCCCCGGCTATATTGTTTTCGAGATTATGCACGATGGAAGGCCGCATGAGACACCGTGGATTAGATGTCCACGTGTCGGGACTTTCAAAAACTTCGACTCACCATCACGACTCGGTGTCAGATTTGAATGGTTTGAAGAATCGACCAACAAGTGGCAATCAGTAACAAGTCACCAAAGGTTTTACCGCGGCAATTTCGCAGCTGGATTAGAGAAAAAGGATGAATATACTGCCCTCAAGTCTTGGCATAATGCAAACGATATCATCCGCGCTCTAGAAGGTATTACATACAGTAACCCCTCAGGTGATTTCCCTGCTTCGGTTTCAGTTGGGATGAAAGATATAGTCATGCTTGAATCAAACCATTTAGAACAAACAGCCAGCTGGGTCCAACGAAAAGGCCGAACCGAACCGATTCCGGAGAGGGCCAGTTTTCAGTATAATGCCGAGATGCTTGAAAAAGACGTGGATGGACCTGAATCAGATACAATTGTGTGTCTAACTAGCGTTCCGCAATCGGATGAGTTTTGGAACAGAACACCAGAGAACTATGCAAGACGAGCAATATCCGCACAGGTGCCTAAGAAGTGCGACTTTACTATGTATATGGCATCACGCTCCAAGACCAACAGAGCCCCATATCAGCACATCCCCCCGAATGCCCAGAATAGGTACTGCTCTTGTCAGCGTTGCATGGTTCTCAATCGACCCTGCACATTTACATCTCCATTCTTTCGCAGAGTGCACTGGGGGGAGGGACCCCCGTACCTAACCAAGGAAATGGCAGTTATCGCTCTCTGTCCAACTGGTCCCCACCGTCATCTTGCTTTCTATCAAAGCGAGATAGTTGAGTACCAGGAGGTAGATACTCCATATGGGGGTAAAGAGTTTCTTCAGACAGCCCTGAATCTGGCGGATGATTTGGAGATAGAGGGTGAGGAATCTGGCCCAGAGGATGAATAAAATGCCACGGAGTCTACATTGCAAAATCCGGAGTAACTACCGGTGGGTTACAGGGGAACTGTACGTCTTGGTTCCTATTCCGACGGAAAGGGTACAGATTTTGCTGGAGTGGAATTGGTGGACGTCTTGCAGTAGATAAATGGTTCCCTCATATATGGGATGGTTTCTATGATACTCGTGGACGATTTACAGATTACTTTCATTCGTTCTTATTTCTGTGTTTATTCGATACGTGGGCCGGCGAGCCCTGGGAATAGGTTCGAAAGGCATATGGGTGGACGTGTGGCTTTGATGACAAGGAAAAGATGATAACTAAAAAGAAAGAAAAAGGAAAAAAAAAAGGAAAAAAAGGGAAAGAAAGGATAAGGACACAAAAAAAAGTTAATATATAAATCAGATAGATATAAACTATGTTTGAGCCTTGTAAACCTCCTGACCGGCCAGGTGCTTACCTTGAGCGTGGCTGGTTATGATAATTACCTACCATGTGGAGGCAAAATAGCAAAAAGTCACCCGAACGCCTAGCGTTCGATTCCTGTGGTATTCTGTCCATTTCCATTTGGAAGTTGTTTGGAGGTTGTGAAGATGACCTCCAAAGAACTCCCAAATGGGGATGGATGGGCGTTACTTATTATGAGCAAGAAATCATGTGTATTTTGTCTCGTACGGTTACTTTTCTTTTTTGGGCTGGCTGATCTTTGCTTCACTAGATACTCGTACGAGATATCTAGCTACTGACCCAGAACACCACGAGAAGGTGTCAGCCATCGCTCTGGGTTGGCTTGCACTTGCAAGCCAATACCTCCACAAGCAGACCACTTGGTCTGCTTGCTTCATTGGCCGGGCGGCCCAATACCCGAAGAAAAAGAAACAAGCTCGTATGAGAAAGAAAATAGAAATATATACTTACTCTAGTCGAGGACAAGAGGGAAGGCTGCGGAACCAGCCGCAGACCCCCCCTCCTCGTCCGACGATACTACAATACTCTCATCATTATCTTCAACCTGAACTGAGTTATCTTCCCCTTCGGCAGGAGGAAGTAACCCGACAGATTAGACATCTTCTCGGCGTCGTACAGAAGCCCCCTGCCCATCTCTGTTTGAACAACGGAGTGCATGGTCCGTCCACTTGCAATTTCCACAAGCACCTCCAAAGTGCCCCGGCAGATTTATACAAGTAGGTGTAACGGAACTAATGTTAATACTGTGGCCAGTGCCACTGTAGGAGCAGCTGTTCACTACCTATACAAGTTGCGTGCTCGAGCAGGGGCTAGTTTGGGTGCACAACCGGAGATATTACTTACGAATAGGTTCGTCTTAGCTTCCTATCATAGGAATTGATCATCGACACTGCGTAGAAGTGCGAACCTGTCGTCGATGGTGGTTTGTTTAAGAAGTTTTCCTTCTCCTTTTAAATTTCTTCCGTTACTCTCTATCGAGAGAGAATGCTGTATCAAACTTGCGTTTGATATTGTGTCGGGGGCTGGCGCTTTGCGCCTCGGCCTCAAGCTTCTTCTTCTTGTCCCAATCCTATAAATATCCCCAAGGTTAATATATATAGATATGTAATAATAAGATTAGCCAAGGTGGTCTTACCAGGTGTTTCCGACTCAGGAAATGATCCATATGATTTCTTCCTCTTACAACGCAGTCAATGTCCTTTATAGGACATTTTCCATTCCGGAATTCATCAATCGACACAGACAAGTCGATCTCCGAGTATTTCAAATGGGATGTAAATTTCTTAAAATAGGACATTCGTCCTTCTATAACTACCCGCTCTAGGCGGGCATTGGCCTTCTCAATTAAGACCTCTATAAGACTATGATTAGTATATAACTAAGAACCTGTATTATTGATTCCTCATACCTGGAGTTGGCTGCTCCTTGGGCTCCTCGGACTGCACTTCGACTGAGGCTGGTAGTAGGGGTGGCGGTGGTGGTATTCCCTCCGTCCATTGTCCAGAATCCGGTACAATGTCGAGGAACCAGTTATTAAATATATCAGACATTATAGTATAGATGTATGTATAATATCTAATGAGTATCGTACTACCTATGGAAGCTGATTGACAATTCGAAATCCGTGCAATCGTCCGACTTGATGGGTTCCGCCTCAGGCACCAACTTGCAACATGGAAGGAGCAGCCCACCCCCAGGGCCTTGCCTATGCCAAAATTGCCACCCTGAAATGGTCCGTCCCCCGAGTACCGACCACGGGGACATGCAGAATATGCGATGGAGCTTTGCCGACTCTCATATCAGGATCGAGGTACGTGAAGAAACATTGGAACTTGTTGAGACCACTCTGCTAAAACCGGTCTGGCCATAGGAAGGTGGATGGACCCGCCAAACTACATCCCGTGAGATGGCGGCCAGTTCGGAGATTGCTGGTGTCAATATGAGGCTCGATAAAGGTGTCATCCGTGAGCTTCACTGGCACACACAGGCTGAATGGGCCTATGTTCTTGACGGCGAAGTCCGCGTCACAGCCCTGGACTACGATGGAGGAAACTACATCCAGGACCTAAAGAAGGGTGACCTGTGGTACTTCCCAACAGGTGTTCCCCATTCCCTCCAGGGTCTCGGAGAGAACGGCACGGAGTTCTTGCTCATCTTCGACAGCGGCGAATTCTCCGAGGAATCTACATTTCTCTTGACTGAGTGGCTTGGTATGAAATCATTCTCATTCAGTGACTTCTGTGGAACGGGATGTTAATATTCATAACTTTTTTTGCAGCTCATACTCCCAAGTCTGTCATCTCCAAGAACTTCCATCTTGCCCCTGAAGTTTTTGATCACCTCCCGAAGGAGCAAAAGTACATTTTCCAAGGAACGTACCCCGACACCATCGATAAGGAACGCCCTTCTGGAAGTGATGCCAAGATCTCCGACGTCGAGTTCACTCATCGCTTCCTCGAGCAGGAGCCGCTCAACACCACCGGGGGAACTGTCCGCATCGCCGATTCTACCAACTTCCCCATCTCCAAAACGATTGCTGCTGCCCATGTCACCATCGACGTCGGTGCTCTCCGCGAAATGCATTGGCACCCTGTTGCTGACGAGTGGTCTTTTTTCATCAGCGGCCGCGCTCGCGTCACTATCTTCGCCTCGGAAGGTAACGCCAGGACGTTTGACTACGGCCCCGGCGATGTTGGTATCGTTCCCAAGAATAACGGACATTTTATCGAGAATATTGGTGATGAGCCCATTGAAATGCTTGAGATCTTCCGGGCTGAAAAGTTCCAGGACTTTTCACTTTTCCAGTGGCTAGGCGAAACACCGAAGAAGATGGTCGTTGATCACCTGTTTGCGGATGACCCGGACAACGGAGAGAAGTTTTGGAACTCGGTCCAGAGCGCCCACAAGGATCCAGTTACGAAGCCTTAAGATTTCGAACGGGAGAACTCTTACAGAACACTGAATGGGCGAGTGGCGGCGAGGTATTGCCCATATGCCTATGCAGAATGCTTGTGCCTTGGTTGTTTGCTTTCAGAGAGTTTAATTCCCTTTAAACATCAAATTTACTAGCACTATAGTTGCTGTATAAATTGAGGAAACTATGATCTTTATGGTATCTTAAGTCACGTGTGTGTAGTCATACAGCGAAAGGTCGAGACCTGTAGCGCACTGATCACTATGTGGGTAGTTTACCATCGTTCATCTTCTCTTGTCCTCTTTCTCTCTCTTACTCTAGTTCACAAAACTTCTTCTTGATTCATAGACTTTACTTCTATATTTCGAAACATTAACGTATATATACCTGCCCACCAAGTGAGTCATCGGTATGACGGTTTACGGCCTCTTCTTCCGCATGACTGGAGCCTTAGGGCAGCGAAGCTTCTTTGAACTTTTGTATTTATTGTGTTGAGTTGTCGAGTCGGGCATCTTTCATTGCTATTTCACTGTATATTCAAAATCTCTTCCGTACGTAGTTGCCCGCATGCCTGCTATCCAGCCAAGCGACTGACATCAAATAAGGCACACTAAAACTCTTTTCAGGCAAGTTAGGGACCTCACTTTCTTGTTCAGAATACTAAACATAATAAAGAGTCAATTAAAAATTATTCTATGATATTTACCTCGATATTGTGTTCCTTATTAGGTTAGTTGTTTCAAAATTGTGTTAAACTTCAACGCTGAAGGTTGTAGGCGTGTTGCACTTTAGGCTCTATAAAAGCTAGTAAGCTTTCTTTTCTTGCTTGTTCAAGAACAGCATTGATTATTCAGTTGTTCTCAACTGTCCCACGCGCATTGTCTCTTAGCTTGCGTGTTTTATTCGTCCTTCCGCTCGTATAGACGGCCTTTGCCTAGGCATTGTCCCTTTGCCAATGGCATGTATTATGCCGTTGGACGCTATCACACCACCCTCTGTGTGTAAACTACCCACTTGCACGAGGACTATAAAGGCCTTGCTCCCATCTGATCAACCCACTAACCACTTCCCCCTGGATAGGTTACTTATATCTGCCCCGCTACCGGCTCACAGTAAATTTCCCTCAGCGAAAACCAATAAGAACACCTGCTCATCGCCATCTGAAGCAGCAGCGCCCCTCTCACACTACGACCACTTCCCCGTTATCGACCACTTCAATGTCAGTTTCAATTTCAAGCACGAAATATCGTGTCGGCATGCCGCCAGTGCGGCCTCTGCCCTTAGAGGTAGACGATGTGAGTTTGTGGAGTGAGGCTGAACTTGACGAGCTGTACGAGAAGGTTATCGAAATTTTGGCCTCTCACGAGATAAGGAGGCCCGAGCCCCAAATGTTAGGTCCGTGGAGCTGGGATGAAGATTACAATCGTTTCCTTTTCTTGCTGTACCGTAGCATTCCTGGTGTGCCTGATTCTGCCCGGTTGACATTATTAGTCACCACAGAATGGAACGACTCATCGGCAGAGAACTGGGAGCGCGCTGTCCAGGAAATCAAGCCTTTCGCTCTCAGTTTTCTAAAACAAGAGGTGGATGTAGAGATAATCGGCAGCCAGCTCACCAAATCTCGAGACATCAGACCTCTCGGTCACCACCCACTCATTCAGGACAACTGGGACGCTATATCGGGCGAAATCAAAGAGGTTCTTCAGCGCCACCCGGCATCTCGAGGCACCATGACTGCGATTACAGTTTTCCGGATGGGAAACTGCGACAGAGATGAAGATATGCCCATCACAGTGTACGTCTCCGTCAGCCACGACTGTCCCGAGGCTAGTTGGCCGCCAATCATCGACGATATCAACAAAATTCTCGAGCCCTACCCCCTCGAACTGTTTTTCGAACACAACCACTGGCAGCCGACCGCCTTTGAGCCTCTTCCCCCTTCCTCTAAGGAACTGTTTCCTTATGACTTTGTTCGTCGACCTTACCAAAGTTGCCCAGATTTGGGCGCTGATATTGGCGCGGCCCAATACATTGAGTGCGATGGTCAAAGACAGAGCCCGCCGATGGGAACGCTGGGCTGCTACGTCGATTTTAAGACCATACAGGGGGAGCAGAAGACCATGGCGCTAACTTGTTACCACGTTTGCCGGCCATGTGCCCCTGGGTTCACCTATGAAAAGGGCAAACCGGGGACTGAAAGTGTTATACCGCTTCCAGCGGGCCTCCCTGAGGCATTTGATAGAAGTGGAATTCGTCCAGATCATGCATATGTTTTATCAGGCATGGAACACCCTAGTCGGCAGAGGCACAATGTCAATATCGCATGGCTTAATGCTAAACTTCAAAAAGATCTCAGGGAGAACAAGAGACCCAATGCGGAAGAGAGGTTGGATGCCGCCCATAGAGCATTTGATGAGGGTGCAAACATTCTAGGAAAGATCTGGGCAGCTTCGGGTTTCGGTCATCGCTCCGCGACAAACTTCTTCCTCGAATGGGCTCTGATTGAAGTCCAACCAAGTCGCCAGGGAAGGAACCAACTACCTGGCTTATCCGTCTGGGAGAGTCAGTATGATAGCTTAGACTGGCCTGATGAAGAGGCTGGGGCCATGGATCATCTGAAAATGTATCGCCATGGTACTGCCCTTGGTACATTGGAGCCCGGCACAAAGGTTTACAAGCACGGAGCCGCGTCCGGACTGACAGTTGGCCACTACCAAGGTGTGAAGTCTCACGTCGGTCCTAGCATGAATAACCCATCGGGAGCATCCACAAATGCATATTTAGTCGAGAGCTTCGGTACTCGTCCGTTCTGTGGCCCCGGAGACTCTGGAGCGGTAGTCTATGATGCGGAAGGGCATGCTTTGGGCTTGGTTTTTGGTACGCTTCACCCTAGTGTGGCTGAAGGGGAAGGCTATCTCACCTTGGTCATGCCTATGGAACAGATTTTTGGGGATATCGAGAGATGCTGCGGAGTTACCGACCTGCGAATTTCACCGCCAACTAGCTCGCCGTCTGACTCAGAATTTAGATGAGAGGATGAAGGCGGATGAGAGGATGCGAGGGGGGCCTCTTTTTTAACGAAACACAATAACAAAAGGACAATAAATTATTCTACGATATTTGGCTTAATATTGTGTTTATTAATAGGTCAATTATTCTGATATTGTGTTGAAATTCAACGCTGAACTGTCTAGATGTGCCGTGTTTTATTTTAGCCGCTTGTTCTCCTGTCACCTACCTGAAGGGTGGTTTTCATGCTGCCATTGCCGAGCAGCCTATGGAAATTTTTCTTTCACCGTAGACAATGAAGCTGTAGAAATTGCGTGCTGAATAGGCCTACCATCCTATTGTTCCCAGGGCGTGAGGCGAGGGAGCGTTCTGTAGATGGCTGGTGATATCCCCTCTGCCTGAGGAGAGGTGGCGTCATACAAACCCCACGCGTTCAGCGCTGAGCCTTTTAGGACTAGCAGATTGGGCTGACCAGAAATAGCAACTCTCACTCAAATCAACCACCCCAAATTCGAATTGATTGATTGATGGCCGGATGATTGATCTGACTGCTTTGAATCAATTATCGTCTACGGATCTTGCAATCCTCACGTGGCTGAGAAGAAGCCGTAGCCGTGATATTGAGGCTCTTGGCAGATCCTTTGTGTCATGGCTCGTCTTCCTGTCACAGCAGTTGAGATTGGGCTCTCCACAGCGGACAGAGAGCCCTGTGAGTTGCATCATTACCGCTGTAGGTGACCACTGGACGAGCGAAGCCCAAGCAGAGGCCTACCCTACAGTTCACGGGCGGGGATGGTGACAGCGCCACCTCGAGATTCGACCAGAAAGCAGTTGAATAATGTAGGAAAGGGATGATAAAAAACTATAAATATCAATTATATCAATCAAATACCTACTGGGATTGTTTGATACTTCAGTGGAACTGATTTTGTTGCTTTGAAAGGTCGGATTGATTGGAAGTAATGCAAGGTGCGCTGGAGATCGGTGAGAGGCCAAAATACAACACAATGAAATCGCCAATGCATCAACATGGCTAACGTTTGAGATGCGCCAATTTAGACGCGATTCGTCCAGTCTTGAGTTTCTATAAATGCTCTAGAAGTCTCGCCCGACGCGATGTGCAGACCGCACACCTTGCGCAAAGTAGTGGTCATCAATAGGATACATGTACCCAGCAGCCCTGGCCACCGTTGCAAAGTATGAAGTTGTTTGTGAAATCCGTCTAGTATTGGAAGCGACGCTGTATATCTATCTGAGGTTCAAGGCTATTCTACCTGATGCGAAATGTATGTCTATCTCGCTCGCTGCCTTCGGCTCCCGGCCGGCCAATGCATCGCGCATTCCAGAATGCGACGAAAGAAACGCAAAATCCAAGTTGCGCCAGAGGTTTAGAAATGCGCCATATCAATAAACAATCTATGCAAGGGGTATCGTGTCTGTCGTGTCTGTCCGTGCATCCCGTGCACGTAAAAATCGTTCCATTGCTCCCTTCAGAAGCTTCGTCGTCGTCAGTAAACGGGAATTCCTCCTGCCCGACCGTTATCTCTCATCGAATGCTTGCAAATTCTCATTCATCCAACAACGATTGTCTTCCCAGGCACGGCGCCAATCCGCTCCAGCCACGAGTTTGGCACATTGCCCTGCAGCCGGATGGTTCGTGCAGGGGAGCATTTCTGGATATGTCGGAGGACCCGACCGCTGTTGCACTCCCCAAAGACGCACGTCTTCTTCTGTCTGGGGCTGTCCCATACGAGCTCGATCTCCTTCAGGTTCGGGGCGGCCTTGAGCACGCCGATGAAGAACTTGAGCCATTCTGCCGTGGCGTCGTCCCGTTTGATGACGAAGCGGATGCGCTGTACACGGTGCCACCGGATCTCTTCTTCAGATGCGAGGCCGATCCAGTTGGCAATGAACTCCTCGGAGGGCGGTTCCGTATCGTCTATTCCAGCACCAGGCTGGGGCGTCTTGGCAGACAGCAGGGCGAAGTTGGTCGGGTCCTCCTTGTGGTGCATCTCCCGGAGCACGCGCTTACACGACACGGCCAAGGGCGACAGGAGGGACGTGCTGAGTTCTGTGCCTTTGACGCCTGATGATTTCTGCCTCGGGACTAGGAAGGCGTAGGCGTATGAGTCTTGGCCCACGGAGGCTGAGGCGGATTGGAGAAGGCCATCTAGATACTCGGCGTAGATCTGCGATCTGATCTCAGCCGGCAGCTGTGTGAAAAACGGGGACGTTGTCTGTGAATGCATGGTGGGTTTGTAGCGGAGTGTATATACAGTTGATGAATAAAATCTGGAGAAAATAAACGTGAAATAAGTTTATTTAAAGAGAGAAAAATGAATATTTGTATGGAAAACTCTGAAAATGCACAGCCGTGATTGATTGACTCGTCGTGTGGCCTGATTGGCGGTTAGGCTGTCACACCCGTTGATAAGGGAGAGGCATTTTCCGTCTGGATTTGGCATCTGATGATGGGCATTGCATCATTGCTCATCTTGGTGTCCAGGGGCTGTGGACTAGCGGCCCGAATCGTGTGTGAGAATTACCTGCATTGCCTTTGGCGGCGGTGACCTCGGCCGCTGGTCTGCTTCTCCCGCTGCAAGCCGGCTACAAGGAATGCAACGACTGGCCGGCATTATCGCCAAGACCCTCCTAGAGAGCCGCTTGTCGCGCCTGTCTGTGTCTGTCCATCGGATCAGCCAGGCCGGAAGAGTGCCTGGAGGAGGAGAATGACATCGGCCGAGACGAATCCCCTGGGCCTCACAACGGCGGCTTCAGGGGTACGCTAAGAATCCTTGCTGACTCGCTCCGAGATACATATGGATCATGTATCATCCCTGCTACGTTCGCTGTGTAAAGTACATGCCTCGCGGTAACTGCGCATATCACTCTGGCTGGGCGGAATCCACCGCAGTCATACAATGGCGTCACAGCACATGAGGCAGCGTCAAACGCGGTCTCAGCTGTGTTTTTCGGTTGCAGTCACTGATTTTCCCATGTTGAAATCCAATCAGACTTCATCATCGCGCATGGATTGGGCGACACTGACCCTGAAATCACCCTGCCTCTGTCACCGGGAATGTCCCAGCCCTCTCGCTTTCCCGCGTATTATCCCGGTTCCGAGAATAATCACATGTAAATACTGTAACTTGAAGCCTTACGTTGGACATATTGAATTTCAATCACCGACTGTACAATTTGACGCCAAAGCAGGTTCATACCATGGTACTTTGTGTCGTAGCTGTAAAATGCGTAGAAATCTCCATAGCTAGGGACATCATCCCTTGTTCTTCATGTGCTCCATCTTCTCCATCTACCACGAGGCCAACAGCTCCTCCTTGCTGGAGCCATGAATTGTAGATTAAAGATAGAATATGGATCGCGGGGCCCCGACTTTTGCAAGACTCTGACCCGCTCTTGATGTCGTGCGTTAATTCTGGCACTATCACTATGGCATATGGACCATTTGTCGTCTAGATTCGGCTAGAAGATGCTCGATGTGCCCAATATGTGCAAGAACAGACGAGGAAATGCATTCAAGTCACACTGTCTATGAGCATTGGAGACCATGTGGAGGTGAGGTCGCAATTGAACACATGAGAGCCATAAATTCGAATTGAAAAATGATCGACCTGGCGGTTGGCTTTTTCCTTTCGCCCGCCCTTTGACAAGACAGTCGGAGATTTCAACGGATAAGAGCCCGCTTTATATCTTCCCAGAATAAATTTGAGGCTCGACCTCGTTGCGCATCCCTGTCTTGCTTGTGATGCGGCGATGCTCGGTAATGATCGTGATTAGTCCGATTTCCCAGATATAGATGCCTTGACTGACTCACATTACCGATCGGAGTTCATTCTGAATCATCGGAATTTGAAAACTACTTAATTTCATGATGTCTTAATGACTTATTATTATGATGAACCATGAGCACGAGTAGGCCTTAGTCTACGCGATGAACTTACACTGGTGATCATCACATCTAAAAAATATTGAGAAAAAAAAAAACGGCGTCGAGGAGGCTTGTTTAAATGTCATTCAACTCTACATATGGCGTATAACAAGCATACCTTGGCGTATTCGGAATCCCGGACTGCGAGCTCTTTTGCCCGCTTGGTATTTTACCTCTCATCCGATTTTGCACGCTTCATTGTTAAGACATAGGGCGTAACCTAGACCAGTAAATTTGCCACCACATTCAAACTTTCATCAAGTGGCAATTTGTAATTTTTTTTTCTTCCCTTGAGAAACTTTCTGGCCGGCATATGTAAGCGGTGGCATATTACCCAGAGAGTACAGTGTGATTACGCAGTTGGAGCCTCTCTCGGATCCGAGGCTTAAAAAAGAAAAAGGAAAAAGAGTCAGGGCCAAGCCTTGAGTATTTGAACGGACAATTTATTTAGATCCTACAGAGTAACGCCGCATTGCACGCTATCTGCTTCTCGCGTCCTAGGTGACCAAATACCGGTAGTACAGTTGGTGCTACGGGAGATAAGAGGCATGTGTCTTGAAGTAGACCAATAGAATCCTCAGTTCATGTCGAGAGGCGGCGTGTCTCAGTTGAGAGATGCAGTTTTGGGATCTTGTTCCAGCAATCGTTGGGGCGGCGCACATCAACGCTTCAATTTGTTTGGATGATGCATGCAGACCGCTCCATCGTGCGTCCGGTGAACCCCCAAAGGATTTTTCGGTGTATCATTAATGGTCAATGGCTGAGACATTGAAATTCGTATTTGTTATCTCACATTATACTAATAACCCCATCGGAACAATCTGCAGCCATCCGGTGTGTATTTCATACCTTATATTCGCGATACCCAGTACGAGAAGCTACGCAGCGACGTGGCAGTATTCTCTACCTCTACGCAAAGCAATCTTGCCTGAGATTAAAAGTAATCAGAAATCCTGCTATCAGTCGCGTGACCGAAATAAGAACCTGCCATTGGCTGCAGCGTCGTACCGCGTCTGAGGCTTGCATTACGGCAAACTTTACTTCGGAGTTGCAGGTTTCACGGTCCCTCAGCGAGTGCTACCCAACCTACGCGGATGCAATTATAAACAGAGCCCGCGTAGAGTTTCGATCTGAGGATCAGTCACCTCACTTCCTCCTCGCGGAGTGGACATGCTCGCTTTTTTCGCCCAGCTCCTCCGCCGACGATACTCTCGTCGTGTCTCAGAACCATTTCCGCCGTCGGATCCCAAGTTACCGACGGAACTTCTTCTGAAGATATTCGATCACCTCGACATCGATGGGCTGATTTTAGCGAGTCAGGTTTGTCGCACTTGGAGGGGGATGGCGGCAGCGCCTGAGTTGGTATCCCCCTTCTTGCGACAGCTGATTCCCAAAGCCGACCTGCTTGGGCTGGAGGAGGGGAATGACTTGATGCAGATGCTTAAGGCGCAGCGGCGAGCACAGATCAATCGCGCTGAAGGGAGATTCAGTGTCCTCGATCTGCCGATGGAGATGGGCACCAACATAGAGACCAAGCTCTGGATTACACATGACAATCGCTACGTGGTGTCGCTGGCAGACATGCGCGGCGATGATCAGAAGATATTCACCGCTTATCACATCGAGAGCAAGGAAGTTGTATTCACGAAGACGCTTGTCGGCGAGCACACTGGCCTCATTTTACCCAAGACAAACATCTTTGTTGGGCACAACCGCCTCGCCCGGGACTTTGACTACGTCGAGAGGTTGATCTACATCGACATCGACAAGCGGGAATTCTTCCACGAGCCGATCCACTTGAAACCTACCATCTGGCGCTGGAAGCTAGTTCTGAATGACCACGGCGCTGCTGTGGCCGTGGGCGACCGTGAGCGGTATCCGGCCTGGCGCAGTGTCGAATCAGCAGATGGGACGGTGCGTTTTGGATATCAGATTGGCTGCAAGCCTCACCCGACTCCAATGTGCGTGTCGGGAGCCCCGGACATCTACCACCAGGGGCAGAGTTTCTTCGGATTAGCTTCCTCGGCGACGGATAACCGATACTTGGTCGCTGCTGGCTACTCCGCGGCGCTGCTGATCGATTTCGATCCGCGGAAGCATGACGAGGTTTCTGAAAGGGGCGTGTATGCCGCTGAGTTCAAGGCTAATGAGTGCTGCAATCGCCACTGGTACGCTGGCCGTCCATCTTGGGAGTGTTGAGCGATGTTAGACTCAATTGGCATTTTTGCGCCACTCTTACCATTTAAAAATTTTGAGAGATGGGACAGTTATAAGCAGGTTTGCCTCTTCCCTCATGCATCGTGTAGTCAAATGGGTTAAGATATGACAACTGGCTGAAAGGGAAGATAGCCATGTTCATGCCTATCGCTTTTATAATGATATCTACGAGAACGAATGAATGACATCAGGTATCCCGATTGATTCAAATGCTTTTATCACAAATCGAAGAACTAGGAATAGAGAGCTTCGGTAGTGTTACGTACTAGGCTGAGAACTATTCGTAAATCTATGTTGCGTGCTTCCCAAGCCTTTGTTCGGCCTTTTCAGCTTTGGGATAATTGGCATGATGAAACAGCAAACTGGCGGATAGTACACCCCTGACGCGTTATTGTTTATAGATAACTTTTAATCAAATTCTATATATTATCTAAACCTTTATCCAATGTTTATCTCTTGTTTCCAAACTTCTTAAGAAAGGTACTAGAAGGAAAAATCCTGTTGTGCCACAGCTACTCCTTAAGAGCAATTGATCTCCACTCATACCCTTTCTTGTTTATATTCCTTTGTAATCCGTTTCCTTTCCTGGAAGAGGCTCTGCATCAAAGGACTGCCCTGATGATGATAAGTGAGGCCAATGAGCTTAGACATGGAAACTGTGCCTTTTGCTAATTGTCCGAATCTTCTTCCACAGTTTGCTTGACCTTTCGCTTATACTGGATATAGGCGAGGAGCAAAGCCGTGCCAGCATAGACTATTCCGAATGCACCAGCACCAAAATTGCCACCAACGACTCCGGGCTGATCAACGGTTTGGAAGGCGAATAGTGGACTGTAGTTTGGTCTTAGTTAGCTCAATTCTCGGCCAAGCGAAAAAAAAGTTTGGACTCACACAACGGCGATGGTAACGTAGCTGACGACATTGAGACCAGCTGCTCCAAATGCTCGTGTTGCTGGATCACCGGATCTACGGGGTCATTTAGCATAACATGACCACATCACAGTTCTTTGAACTCACAGTGTATCTTGAGCCCAACTCCAGTACATCGAGTTCGCTGCAAACGCCCAGTTTGTATTGTAGTACAGAAACCACCTGAAAGCTTTGTTTTGCGGGAACACGGGTGTCGCAGCAAGGGTAAAGCACACTGCGCTGGTAACTATTCCTCCAACAACTAGGAGCGGCCATCGGCGCCCTCTCAGAACCGAGTCACCTGAATGTCTGGTTAGCTTTGAATGGAGTGCTCAAGAAAGGTTAATATTACTTAGCCAGGCGAAGATAAGCATAAGAACGACGGTAACGCCGCCAATTCCGGTGGTGTAGTTGTCTGTCTCGGAAGTTAGGCGGAGATTTTTACTGGTGGTTCATATAGGACGTACTTATTTCAGCAACAGAGTAAGAGTTTGGCTTAATACTGTTCCATGCTTTGAACCAATAGGCCATCGAGTCTTGGGGCATATGGCAAATGGAATTGGACCTTGACATTATGTTAGTGAGAGTTACGGAAAAGGGGAATGCTACCCACATTGCGATGACCCAAAGCAAGAAGATATCTGGGGTTGTAAACCAGCGCTTGACTTGGGCAAGAGTAAACTTGCCCTGCTTCACCCGTCCTTCTTTCGGATTGCGGTCTCTAGCTAGCTCAATCTCCTATTCATTGGTCAGAACAAGCATCTGATTTCGAAAATGTAGAGGGTCTTTTCTCCTACGTCGTAAGTAAATATGAAGTCAGGCTGCTGCCGGGCAGGTACATCTGGGTAGAAGAAGAATTGTGGGATGATTATCCCAACCGAGACAACCGCATCAATGATGAACAACTATGAGAATGTATTAGCAAGTTTAATAGCTTTGTGGGAAAGGGAGACTGACCCATCTCCATCCAGCTCTTCCATGTACACCATTGAGTCCAGTGTACGCAGCAGATTGCAGGTATGAGCTGAACATGGGCCCAATTGACGTTGAGCAGTTGATGATTGCCACCCGCTTTTGACTTGATCAGTATGCGCTATGTCGAGGGTCCTAATTTGGAAAAATTACCTTTCCAAGTTCCGTTTTCTTATACCAAGCGCCGCAGAGATAAATCACTTTCATCATTAGTACCAAAGAGTCTCTAAGCCAGCGTAGCAACAACGCGCGTGATGGATGGAAATCTTACTGGCTGAGAAATGGCCGCTAATACTGTCAGTTGGATGCCTAGGGGGTTTCTAGGTTCTGAACTTACGTTTCAAACACGCCCAGAATGAATCGCAGGACGTACATCTGCGTAGGTGTGTGCATGAATGCCTGTCCTAGGGTACTTTGCGAACAATAATGAGACTGGGTTCGAGTATCTAGTGGATAGAGAACATAGTACTTACACAATGGTCCATGCGATTTCTAGGAAACTTTACCAAAGTTAGATCAGGTTTGGCTAGTTGTGGGGGTGAGAGAGTACTTACGGGATGAACCATCTAGGGTTGCAACGGGTGAGAGCAAGATTGCAAGGCCACAGCGCAAGAATCTATATGGTCAATAACAGAGTGAGCAAAGGGATAACTTTTAGACTCACATTCGCGACACTATAGGCGGTATTGGCATAGTTCATTTCCTTTGAAGTTGTGAGCTAGGCTTGTGACCACGTAGGCTTGCGGACTGGATGACTTACATTTCCATAGAGGCTCATGTCCTCTTTCATCCCTGAAACAAACGCCGATGTCAGGTTTGCTCTGTATTAGATCAGTACGCCATCTGTTTGCATGAAAGTCATTGAAACATACTTGTCAATATATTTAATGAAGGTTCCAAGACAGCCAAAGGTTAATATTGTGAGGTCAACCTATGATGAGTTAGAATAAGTCCCCATAATGCATGCTGTAAAGGATCTGCGGATTTCTTGCCTTGAGAAGAAGACGGCGTTCTGCAGGAGGCATGTCAAGAGTATCCCAAATATAGCCTTTCCATGTTAGCTTCCTGGTTTCGGGATCAACCGAAGCTGCATGTCCAGAAGTAGTCGGAGGAATCTCCTCTACGGTTGTAACCGGCTTTGTGTCCACTGCCATGGTGGCGGCTATTATTACGCTGTTAATTCTCAACGCAGAATAAGACAGATTTGCCCTGTTGGAAGAGCAGGTATCGCTTCGTTTATCGATTGATGAGTGCTTATATAAATCTTGATGTGTTATTGCTATTTTCACTTAATATCTACTAGCAGGCTACCAGCCTTGACCGAACTTTGTCGTTATCCAGATAAATATTGCGTGCTTGATATACAAGGGTAGGAAGAGGTCATAATGGGACTAATGGCGTGGTAGCCTCACGATTTCCTCCCATGTGGAGTCACCGGCTAAGATCTTTGGACCCTGGAAACTGACCCTGGTCTAGTTTATCCATTGTGCTGGATCAGAGCACGAGCAAGAGGGCTCTGTCATACTTTGCTATTGGTCTGGCGTTTTCTTACGAGTCCGAACCTTTTTAATCATCGTCAGTAACAGGTGAAAATCCATATCCTTCTACATTTTGTCATCAAGCGACTGGCGGTTTGCTCACAAGTTCTACTGAAAATATGCCCATAGGTCTTTGCGCTGAAACTACTTGGCTATCACGGGGCTGACTGGAGAAGTATTTTTAATAATACATGAGCTGACTAGCTTCATCCTTTTGATTGAAATGTTTCCAACTGGTTATGTACTCCATCCCACTTTCCTTAATATGCTCCAATAGGCGTAGGGCCTTCCCACATAGACACAAGCAGCTCTCTTTCTCCCTCCCATGGCTGTCTGCCGTGAGAGACTTGGTAGTTGTCTACAAGGAGAATATCACCTTCCTCAAGTGACAAATGAAGCTCTTCCTTGTCGACGACGTCAATCAGCTTGTCGAGATACTCCCGCGGGATTGGTGTTCCATCACCATAAACAGATGGAAGATCTATGCCTCATCATTAGCCTCATTACAAAAGAGAAATTGGAGGGGTATCCGTTACAGGTCATGTTGTCCCGTCCAATGTATGGAGGGTCCAGAGCACCGATATCCCTTGTAGTTCCGTGACGGCCCAAGAGGCCATTAAACCATAGGGGCCTACCATTAGCAGGGTGTCGGCGAATCCCTAACCAATTTCTGGTCAGTATATTCCGTCATTAGTAAATAAAATGATCTTAATCACGTACCGGGAATATGTTGCGTCAGCTCGATGCTGTTATCCTCAGTCCACTTGTAGTCTGAAGTAAGCCTTTGAACCTGCTTCTCGACCTTTCGCTTCTGAGTAGCCTCGTCATCTCCAGGAACAAGTTCCTTGCCAAAGCTGAACTCCCCTGCCCAGTTAAATTGATTGTCATCTCCCTCATTTCCTGGGGCTCGGAACAGCATCTTCATGGCGAGTCCGCGCTTCTGCACTCCCTCAACCAGCTCGGGGATTTCAGCCTTAACCTTGTCGAAGACATTGGCCGTATGGGCGATTGGTGACAGTCCGCCTGTGTTTCAAACGATCAACATATTGGCAATGTGCATAGCTGCAGTGGTGTGTTGCAAACCTTTTGGTGCCTTCTTCACAGAGTAGAAATGAATGGTAGATGGGAAGCGAGTGTATCGGGCATACTATGCTTTGTATTAGCCTCTAGATATTAAATCTATTACTGGTTGTCAAACCTCGTTGTGTTGATAGAATCTCTTAGCAGAAGATCCTTCATTTGCTGTCCAGACATGTTCAGCTTTTGCTGTTCGCTTTCCTGCTAGACCAATCTGCTCAAAGGGGTGAAACCCTCTCGCCTCCTCGGCCGCTGCGACCAACGCAGAGAAGGTTTCGGCAGAGGGACGACCGAAGCCACGGATGAGCACAGCGCCGTGGCGATCCAGAAGCTCCTGAAGCTTCCCTGACGCGGAGAACTCGCGGATGGCTGCTACGGACTCGGCAAGCGGAGGCACTTCGCCCGTGGAGCTCTTAGCATGGAGGCCATATGGCAGGGCATTGCCATAGTATGTCCTGGCCCCGGGGACCTCGATGGGTTGGAATTCAATAGTCATGATTTTGGTGAAGTAGCCGTTATCTCACAAACTAGAGCGATATTTGCAATGACGCTGTTTATAGGTAACAGGGTCAGAACATGCATGCCAGTATTATTCTCACGCCTGTCACTGTCAACCTTAAAACCCATAAGGACACAGGGTGTTGTTTGTGGGGGCTTTAACGTTGCGGGGCTGTTTAGACGAACGGAAGATGAACTCCATCGCGGTGCCGCATATCCGAGTGCTTCGAAGGACGAATTACATGGGGCCTGCCCCGAGTTGGAGCATTGCTTCCTATAAAAAGCCTACAGAAACGAATATTACTGGTCTGACTCCGGTAGAGTTCTTATCCGGTCTTAATGCTAGGGAGTGAATCCAAGTGGGTTTTGCAGGAATCATCATAAGATATTGGCTGGGAAAATAGCTCAGATGGTCACGAATATCTTAGCTGTATTGCGTGCTTTGGACGCTTATCATGGGAGAAATGATGATTGGATAAGCCCAGCATCGACATACCCTTTGCAATCTAAACCCGCAACTTCTCATATACTTTCATTTAATAAAGGAATCAGAATCTTTTGATCTCTTCAGCCTTGTGGAACAAATATGCAAGGCAAAGAGACAATCCTACAATTCTCGCCTTGTCTTTTCACGTCTATATCGAGTCAAATGTCAATGGCTTCATATGTGATGGCATCGATATAAGACACCATTTCAAAGAGAATCATTGAAATGAAAGAAAATTCATATAGCAGTGTCAAAGACAACAAGTCATATATGCAGCATCATCCTGATATACCATACCATGTGGTCATGTAGGGGCCAGGTTTGCACGAGCGAGAGCTACTATACTCAAGTTAGTTCTTAGTTTGTTGGTAGTATTATTTCATTGATATTTGATCTGGCAATGATTCTCATCCCAAACCCAGAGGACTTTGACATAGTAGTATGGCTACTAGTATAAGTTTTCAGATCAAGCAAGCACCCTGGCCGAACCTACCACCAACTACAACAGATCTACTCGCGTAGTAGGAAGTCTTCCATATTTAATCCCTCAGTAAGGTTAAGAATTTCGTTTGGTGAGATGGCGAAGTTGCCGTCACTTCCAAGGAGACCCCAGGGAGAAAACTCGTCCATCTCGCTGCCAACATTGGGATCCCAGAACGAATCACTTTGTCCTGGTGTGCGGCAGGCTGAGTCTTGGGTGTTGTTATTGCCCTCGCCTTCCCTCAGATAGGAAGCCATTATATGCTCCAGTCGTTGGAAGTCACGTTTTCGGAGCCGCGCAGCAGGACTGCCCCTGGCAATCATCATGTCAAATATTCGGTGCGCTGCAGCAAGCCACGTCCTATCTTCGACAAAGGTCGGGGCCACTGCAACGATTATATGCAGAAGGAATGCCGATGACCAAGCTGTCTCGAGCTGGAACGGTAAGAACGAATCTGGAGATGATGAAGTAACGAGTCAGCGATTCAAGCTTTATCAGTGATAGATATCAAGGAGACAAGGTATTCACCTAATAAGTTACTATCTCCCAAGGTCTCTAGTGCCCTGAGAATTTTCAGGGCGGAGTGAGCGCAGGATTGTAGTAGAGAGCTAATGGGACCCTCCGGGATGGTCTTTTTGTCATCACCCAGGGCGATTCTTCTCTGCAAGACGCACATTACCAGAGGTCGAGTGGTAAGGACGACACACTGTCATAGTTAGCTACTATTATGCAATTATTGTGTTTAGGGCTGCATCAAGAAGACGAACATGATGATAAGATAGAATTAATCTTGTGGCTAATTTTGACGTTTTGATGTTGGTTCCGTGGAGAGTTGTCCCCAGGTACGAGGTCAGATCTCTGCAGACAGAGGCGAGCTTGTGCAGCACCGATTGTGTCTCTCGCAGCAAGCTCCCATCGAAATTTCGATCCACACCATATACACCTATTCCAATAAATTTATTAGTTGAGTTAAGCATAGCCTGCGTAGTTTTGGATTTACCTGTCAAAATAGTGGCCGTGAGACGAGAAAGCCGAATTTGAAGTGTCATGGCGGCGGCATTCATCGAGTCGTCAATTTCAGATGGAAGCTTTGTCGTGATATCTTCGTCACGGATGGAACTTGGAGCGCCCACCAAGGTCGAAAAGTCCCTGTCGATGATATAGGCAATCCAAAAGACAGTGTTACATCGGTTTGAGTGAGCCCAACTGACATGATCGGTGGGCATGTGTCTGTGTAGACCGTCGCCGACACAAATGCGCAAGGCATGTCCTATCTGTAATGAAACAATGGTTAGAAGACTATGAAAATGACATAGGAGAGAAGACACTCATGCTTTACCAATTGAAACGACATGAGCCGCGAATCCAACGACTGCAGATATAACGCTCCCAGACACAACGCCTCCACTGCGGCCAATGGGTTCTTTTCCATCGGGATAATGCTAGGAATTAGAGACAACGCACGAGAGGCGTATTGGAGCCCCGGGATTGCCTGAGATGATCCTGTCTGCGCATAGGCTTCTCCAAAGGCAAGAGTGAACAGGAACTGCGAGTACCACATTCTGGATTTTCTCGCTACAACGGCAGGGTTTTCGTAGAAATCCTCGGTTTGTTTTCGGAACTGAGGGTGATCAATAATTTTTGCAAATGGCGCGAGATAATACTGAGCCGTAGATATCAGAAATAGTGCATAGTCTTTGGAGGGGAGATCCGAGATGTCTGGCTGCTCGTTGAGCCCGATTGGGTTCCAAGCAAGATCGATGGTCTCAAGATCCCATGGCTGAATAGGCGGGTCCGGTTCTGATATTCGAGTGCCTAGAATGGCGAGAACCCGCCTACAAAAGGCCCAAGATGAAGTTGGTCCCATATACCCTGCCAATGGTCAGCTCCTATACTTGGGAGGAAGAGGCCGGGAAATTCTTTAAGTATGACTGACAATATTTTCCAAATGGGTCTCGAGCAAATGTCTCTCCGTTGTCAACGAGGGGATTATTGCTGTATTCTTCAGGAGAGGCTTCGGCTATTGTTGAGCCATCAAGTTGGTTGTCGGTGGAGTGAGTAGGCTGGGCGAGCATATTTGCTTCACAAACGTCAACCCATCAGGCCACCTCGACGTATTGAATAGAGGAGATCACATACCGATTGCAGAGATGCTGTCACTTTGGGTTTCAACAGTCGGTAGCTCGGACTGCTGGGTTGAAGGCGATCGGGACAGCGTAGTATGTTGCCGATTTCCTGATCGCCTGGAGTGATAAGTCCTGGTGCGAGGACCCTGGGTGCCATTCCGGACATGTGATTCCAACTCTTGAAGATAGCTTACTAGAGGCTTAGCCTATATGATAAATAGTATTGTATGAATAAGGATAATGGCTACCTTTGGGATATGGATACGCGGGGTCCCTCGGGCTTGAAGACACAGGGCTGGCGTTTCCTCTCGCATCGCGTGCATGGTACCGAACCCGAGCATCTTACCTTCATAGAATGACACCGAGTGCATCTATACCGCTGGGACTTAGCTGGTGAAGTGGAAAGAAAGAGGTAGGTGTGGACTAATCCGAGATCTTACGCTCGCATGCATCGCCTGGACATCCTTCCAGTGGTTTCAAGCGGTTCTGTCATGATGTTGGATGTGGCCGATGGTATCAGCAGAAGATTATGGATTAAAGTGAGATGAACAGTCGGGTTCCAGAATGATTCCCTGGAGGAGCCCGTTTTCAATGGCTACAGGGCGAGGCCTTAAGAGTTGAGTCGTTCAAGATCTCAAGGGAAAGATAAGACCTGAATGGATACACATCATCAACGCTACTGCATGGAGTCGAAACCCCGCGTTTTAGCCTATCTTGCTCGGGTCCAACCCGAAATCTCCGTTGGCATCTGAGATTGACCTCTACCATGTGCCTATTTGAGGATAACTTGAAAGCCCAATACCGTCTTATTATACAATTACATCAAAACGTAGATATTGGACAGTAAAGAATGTTCTAATAGCTGCAACCGGCAATCTTGATGCAGATTTGGAAAGGTTGCATCACCAAAGAACATCAGCATCATCGGCTTGTGGGGCCGACTTGATTTTTCCTTGATGGTCTGGTAGAGTTGCTCCTGTGATCTTCCTCAAGATAATATCTTACTCGAGCAGCTATGACATTCCACCTGTAGCTTACTTGAATCAGGTCGCCCTTGAGATAGACTATAAGACAACTGCCGTCATAGTGGTACACAATTGCAAGTTTTGGGAGATTGACAGCAAGTCTGTTTCTCCGCGTTAGTCTGCTCAACAGTGAATAACCCCTCCTTTGTGCCTTAACTGTAGCACTGTGCCGGCCCCATAAGCCGACGAACAAGATATCAGCTTAAATCTTTGATCAGGTTAGGGCTTAAAATATCTCTTTGATGTTAATGATCGTTGTCTGATAATTGCAAATTTGCAAGTGCAAGTAAGCCCTCTGGGCGCAGGCCACATGGATCATAATAAACTGAATTCTTATGTATCTTTTCTATCGAAGGAGAAACCCAGGGTAAATCTCTTCAGCCGGGTCGATATAGAAGCTCATCTTCCCGTACAGTTGAGCAGTACCCCTAACACGCGGTATGCTGGCAGGAAACTCTACAATAGGGCTCCGGGTCTCCTCTAAGATTTCTGCTTCGAACGAAGTGGCGATGATAGAACGGTGTCTTAATGTATTTTTCTTGGGCCCGAGCCTACCCTCCGCGTGCAAAACTGCCAGACGAGCACAGGTTCCAGAGCCACACGGCGATCTGTCAATCTGTCCATCAGCAAACACCGTGACGTTTCTTTGTTTAATAAGCAAGTCTTGGCCATCGGTCCTTTCTTCTCCTTCCTCGTCGAAGAAGATGACACCGTAGCAGTCATATTTGCCGTAGTGAGCGCGAGTTCCGAGCGATGCCTTTATCTCTCTGCCGAGTTTGATGAACTCGTTCACATTCTTCGGCTCGACCTTGAGGCCGACCTGATCAGCGTTCAAGGTTGCATAGACAGCGCCGCCAAAGGCCAGATCCACGTTGAGCTCCTTTTGGGAGGAGGGAATAACCACTTGAAGACCTTTGGAGATTTGATAGCTGGCAACATTTATAAAGTCGGCGTGGATCGCCTTGCCATTCACAAGATGCATAGTTGCAGCAACGCGGCCTGAGGGCACATCTATCACAACTTCGTAGGCTCCATTCTCCGGGGCTTTCACGACGCCCTTGGCTATGGCCCAGTAGCCCAGAGCAATAGTGCCATGACCACATGCAGTAGAGAAGCCATCCTTGTGCCAGAATAATACGCCGAAAGCGGCTCCTGGATCATTTGGGGGCGTGATAAAACCGCCGTACATATCGGCGTGGCCTCGCGGCTCGTGACATAGCGACTGCCTGAGCTGATCTAGTGGGTGTCCAGTCGCCGCGATGATGTCGAAGCGGCGTTGGGCAACGGTCGAGGCCGTGGGGAGGAAGCCCGGTGGGAGTTTCTCTACCACGCGGAAAGGCTCGCCGGCAGTGTGCCAATCGTCAGTCTCGATCCAGTAGGGAGCAGAAGCCATTACCGAAGCTGTGTGTGGGGGAGATATGCCCTCAAAATAGAATGACGAGGACGAAGCTTTTTTGAGTAATGACTATTAGACGGCGAGCCGTTTAGTAACGAGCAACTGTGAATCCGAGATAGAGGGGCTTGCGCGTAATTTATTTTCTACAAAGCAACCTCCGATATCGTCTCATTCGTCCGCATTCTACACCCATTCGCCGGAGAAGGGCAGTGGTTATCAGGCGGCATCGGCATGTGGATCCTGTCTGAGTACGTATATATTAAACATCGGCATGTGGGTGCCGACGCGATGAAAACAACCTGTGGTAAAGGAACTGAAAAGGCATTTGCAATTCTTAATCATATATTAAAGGATGGTGATTAGAAGGCATTGTGGCTCAATCAACCACGCTCAAGCTGTGTCATCGACTATTTAGCTCCGTTCACCCTCAGCTCTAGAAGTAAACTGAAGAACTACTTTCTCTATGATACTCCTCAAGCTCTGCTTGCTCATCATATCGAACACCGTCACATTAACTCCCAGCTCATTCCAGAACCAGCCTCGCAGCTGTACTGCAATCAAGGAGTCAACACCAATTTCATAAAGTGGTTTATCTAAGTAGATGGCTTCTTCCTCCAGCCCCAGGTTGTCTGCCAACTTGGACACGAATGCTTGGGAAATGATCGCCCCGGTACTAGCTTCTGATGTTGCTTCTTTGAGCTGTGTAGCTACGGGGACTTTCTCGGGCTTAAGCAAACGAGCGTCGCGGTCAATCACCTGGCTCATAGTATTCTCGCTAAAGACTTTTGCAGCTCGCCAAAGAGGCTGATCCAACGGACGTGGCGCTAAAGGATCAGTTGGGTTCGCCAACTTGATACCGGTGATGATTTGAGCAGGTATTTCGTTGCCCTCAGGGGCTGACTGACAAACATAGTCTAGGATACTCAACATCTCAGCTTCCGACATGGGTGCGAGGCATCCCAAGCTTGCTAGATGACGTCTAAGATCCTCTGATTCGGCAGCCGTGCCAGCAAAGTCGACCCATCCCACGTCTATAGAAACCACTCGCGTAGCTGGTCGCTTGTTGTAATGTGCAAAGGCATCGAGGTAGGCATTGGAAGCGGCGTAGTTTCCTTGCCCACGATTTCCAAGCACGCCCACAGCAGAAGACATGAGAACGAAGAAGGATAGGTCCGGCATCAAATCATACAAGTTCCGCGTCCCTGCCACTCGCGGACGGATTGCTGCTTGCCACTGGTCATGAGTCATAAATTCAAAAAGAGCGTCCTGAAGTACCAGCGCGCCTTGAATGCAACCCTTGATCGGAGGTAGTTTGGAAATGCTCAGGGTTCTTTCAAGGGTTGCAATCGACGTAATGTCACATGCGGGAGACTCAACCCTGATATTTTGACTGGCCAGCTCTGCAAGCAACTTTTTTGCAGCAGCAGATTTTGGGCCCGACCGAGAGAGCAGAAGAAGATTTCTTGCTCCCTGCTGCACCAGCCACCTGCAGATTCTCAAGGCAATGCCGCCAAACCCTCCAGAAATGGCATAAGTAGCGTCTGGGTCGAGTCTAGAGTTAAACCTGCCGTCTTGGACATATTGATTGATGCGTACGGAGGGCACGGACCGGCTGATAGAAAGTTGGTTGCCCTCTACGATATATTCTGTATCATTCTTTGAAGCATTCAAAGATGCACGCAGCATATTCTCGGTCAAACGGATGAGATGGGCGGTGATATCATCGGCATTAGAAGTCGTTAGAGTAATATAGGCAGGGTCAGGATTCTCCAAGCGTAGTACTCGAAATACTCCGTCGATCAGGTGGTGATCTGGACTGATATCCTTTCTGTCACGCACCCAAAGCACGCTTGAGGCGCTCGAAAGTAAACTACGAAGGGTGGTAAAATCCTCGTTTGTCATAGATTCCAGGACAGGTCGTGTAAGCTCCAAAAGGCTAATGCAGAATTTTCCTGAGAAATCATAGTTCTGCGTCTGCAAAATCGACAGAACCTTGATTGATGCTTTGATTCTACTCAATAGAGAGCTTTTGACTTTTTCGGCCACCCTCAAATGCTGTTTATCTGTGAGTATGACAAAGTCAAGCAGCCTGCGGTGCTTTGACGAAGGCTGAACAGCAGTCGTAACCAGAGTGCTGCAGATACGGTTCGCTTGATCATTCGAGTCATGAATCACCGTATCCAAGCCTGAAAACCCGTTACCCTTCAAGGCTTTGTCCCAGGTCGTGGTCGAAATACAAGGTCCACATGTACGATACTCGTCATTCCTGAGCCACCAGCCCGGCAACGTCCCGAAGATGGCCTGAGCAATCCATTGATTCTCGGTGACTTCTAGCATGACAAGCTTACCACCTGGTCTCAATAGTCGCTGAACATTGGTGAGTGTGGTGTTCAGATTTGGAGTAGCATGAAGGACATTCGCGGCGACGATGAGGTCGTAGTCGCCACTCTTGAAGCCTTGTTTCAGTGGATCTTTAGAAATGTCGAGAGTAGAGAAGCGCATTAATCCTTCATATGCTGCGAACTTGGTTTTCGCGGCAGAGAAGAAGGCGGGGGATATATCAGTAAAGTGATAGACTGAAATGGCTCCAGAGGCGATGTTATTGCTGTCTATGATATTGGCATGTTTGAGCACAACGTCGGTACTCGATCCCGTCCCTGCGCCAATCTCAAGCACCCGCATGCCGGGGTGCTTGAAAGCAAGCAATTCCACTACGTGGCTGAGGGCTGGCTCCGTCCGGATGTTCATCTCGGTGTAATAGCGTTCTTCGAAACCGGATTTGAATATGACCTCCAACGGGCTTAACTCTCCGTGAAGGATCTCAAGAAGATTTCGTCCGATTTCTACAAGTCCAACACCATGAGAGCTTGCCGCAGAAACCTTGTGTGATAGATCATCGACGGATATCATGCCATCATGACCATTCGTCAATGACAGGAGATCTGGATTCAAACCGGAAACACACTCCCGCATCCATCTGATATAGTTCTCTAGATAAAGCGTCCGTGGAGTAGTCTTTGTTGGATCGAATCGGCTCAGGACTTTCCTACAAAATCCTAGGAGTAGAATGGCCAAGTCTCGAAAGTGTGCTGTATTGTCAACTGCTTGAGCAAGTCCAGCGAGCATTGTCTCGTTTAAGAGATCGATATCAGGATTCCATGTAACCTCATAGCAACTGTGGTCTGTAACAGCTTCTTGTTTGGAAGGCGTGGAGTCGATGAAAGTCGTTCTCAGGCAACCGAGAGACATAGCAATCTCTCCATCATCACCATAGGCTTGTGCTGTAGATAGCGTGTGGTTCTCCGAGGTTTCTTGTACTCTAGCCCGCACTTGCAAACTTGGTGACTCTCCACAGTTGCACTTCGTGGCCGCTATCCATAAATCCTCAACCATGGTTGGCACTGCTGTTGACACCTTATTGGTGCTCGTTTCTAACAAAGCAGCGAGTACTGTTTGAAAAATACCATCCAATGTGATTGGATGAATCACATGTTGCTCGATCAAATGAAAGACGCGCACCTGAGACAGTGCCTCATTACTGCCGCTAATTGTCAGTTGGGTCAAAGACTGGAAGTCGGTGCCAAACACCAAGCCTATGGAGTCAAATGACCGGTAAAGTTCTGCAACATCAACATCTCGTGGCTGTTCACCATCGTGCCACCCATTCGGGTATTGTGAGCGCTTCTCGTATTCGATAGCGATGATTCCACGGCAATTCTCAGCCCAATCTTCCTCTTCGAGCGTGCAGAGGGTGAAATGCGCCACGGAAGATGAGCCGTGAGAGGTCCAAGGGCTTAGCTCGAGAAATGACTCCACGCCAGAACTGTGTTCAGGGACATAGATTGGTCGGAGAAATTCGGCATTCTCGATACGGAAAGCTGATACCTTGTTTCTTGAACCCGCAGTCTGGTATGCTGCCTCAATAGCCATTGACAACATGCTTGCAGCTGGATATATTACTGACCCATTGACAACGTGGCCGGCTAACCAGGGACTTTCTTGAAGTCTGGTGATTTTCCGCCATGTCTTCGCCACCTGCGGAGGCGTGTTCTCAGCGATTGGTGAGCCTAATAGGGTAGAACGAGGTGTTTTCTTGAGTCGAAACTCGCGGCTCCGCCTGCTTTCGTCCCAGTAGACTTTAGAATGATCGAAGGGATATGGCGGTAGGTTCGCCAAGGGCTTAATATTCCTTGTTGAGTTTAAGCCATTTGCGGCAAGCAAGTCCACCTTATGCCCAAGACAGTGCAGCCGACCCATGGCTGCTAGAAACGTTTCTGTGGCGTCGAAATTTCGGCGTAGAGTTGAGTCGTAGTTGACGGATATAGGGTTCTCGACAGATGACGCAATATCTTCGAAAGGCCCCCGTAGAGCTGAATGCGGGCCTACCTCGAGTACATCAAAGGATTCGTATGAGGATAGTGCTGTTGCAACTGCTTCATCAAACCTCACAGTGGACACCATATTTTGTATCCAGTATTCTGCTTTCCGAAGTTGGCTCATTGTGACGTGTCTTGTTGTCACTGAGGATACCATGCGATCTGTGTCGATGGTATCGCTAACTTTGCCTGGGTTTATTGTACCAATCAGGGCTTCGTACTCCTGTGAGATTCTTTGCATATGAGGAGAGTGATATGCAACGGAGACGCGAAGCTTGGTTGCTGCTATGCCGTCTTTGGCGAGCTCGGCCTTGATATCTTCAATCGCGTTGTCATCACCCGATAGTGTGACACTAGAAGGGCTGTTGATACAGGCGACTACGATCGTAGAATACGAGTGTGTTGCTTCAAAGTCGATCAAACGCTTGCTTGCTTCTTCGGCGGACATAGCCACGGCCAGCATAGCACCACGGACATCAGGAGATGCGTCCAGAACAGACGCAACTTGGCCTCTGAAATATGCGATTTTAATTGCCGAGTGGTGGTCTATCGCTGCCACAGCATACCTATTGATTTTCAGCTAAGCTCTTTGACATTGTATTGTCAGGTTGTAGGAACTCACGCTGCTGCAATTTCACCGGATGAATGCCCAACTACCATCGTCGGAAATACCATCATACTCCTCAGAAGATCTACCAGAGCTATTTGCAGAGCTGTACAGACTGGCTGGCTGAATTCTGGTTTATTAATCCTGGTCATTTCTTGTGGGTTTCTGATCTCAGCTGCTCATAGTTAGCATCTGTAATATGATATTGGGAAATAGGGTCAATGTGCTTATGGAGAGATTGTTTGTGGAATTCCTTGGAAGTTGTGGAGCTCTTTCTTACCAAGAAGATCCCACTGGCACCCTAAATCTTGGAGGTATTGGGATGAACGGTCCAGGCTATTCTTGAAGACAGGATACGAAATAAGTCCTAAGCCCATCTGGCTATATTGTGCCCCCTGACCAGTAAAGATAAACCCAAGGTTTCGATTTTCGCTAGATCGAATAGGAGCAGAACATAAAGTTTGTAGGTTGATAAGTTGTGTGGAGGAACTGACAACAACGAAAAATCTGGAAGATAACACGCTTCTTCGAGTAGCCAATGTGAAGGCAAGACGGTCTAGGTCAGTATCACAATCATTAAGTAGCTTAAAATTTTCAATATAGGAGTTCATGAGCCGGGAGCAAGCTTTGTTGTCAGAGGCAGACCACGTGAGCAGTTTGGGCCGACTGTTGCATCCGCGCTCTAACCACTCTTCGGCGTCCGAATCAACCAACTTTCCAGCAAAATCAGAATCAATGGATAGGTGATACCCTTTCAATCCCCGCAATCTGAGGAAATTGCAGGCGTCATCGAGCACAGCATGTGAATTTGCGCCCCCGAATCCGAAAGAGTTGATAGACGCACGGCGTAGGCCAGGAGTTGGCCACTCAGTTGGAGCAATAGGAAACTATCTGAGATGTGAGTTATCTTTCCCCCTTTCTAGATTAATTCACTACTAACCTTGATATTGAGTTTCCCAGCATCAATATCTTTGCTCGATTTCTCAAAGTTTGCATTGGGGGGGATAATTCCACGCTCCAATGCCAAGACTGCCTTGATTAATCCAGCAATTCCGCTGCCCCCTTCAAGATGGCCAATGTTTGATTTTGTCGAGCCTCTAGAAGATTAACACGTTAGTTTTAAGTATAGTACGATAACCCTCAATTTCTCAACTCACATATAAACCGGGTTTTGAACACTCCTGGTGCGACCGAATGTTGATCCCAAAGCCCGAGCTTCGATCGGGTCGCCCACTGGGGTTCCAGTTCCATGTGCCTCCACAAAAGCTGTTCTGCTGAGGTCAAGGCCAGCTCTTTGATAAGTGTCAACTATGAGCTTTTCTTGTGCCTCCTGACTCGGGGACGTCAAGCTTGGTGTTTTGCCGTCCTGATTTGTGCCAGTCGCGCGGATAACAGCGCGGATAACATCACCGTTCGCGAGGGCATCTGTTAGTCTCTTGACCACAACAATCCCATAACCTTCACCACGTGCGTATCCATTTGCGCGATGATCAAAACTATAGCAGCAACCGGAGGGAGAGAGCATATTCAGATTTGACATGAGCAGAAATTGCTCCACTGAGGACATGATATTGCTACCTCCTACAAGAGCCTACTTCGGAGATTAATACATGTATTGTTGAGAAACGTAAGTTGTAGGTAGGGAAACGCACCATTGATGACTCTCGCAGACGAAGGGACTGACATGCCAGATGAAGTCCCACCAGACTGCTGGAACATGCTGTATCGATATTCATGCTTGGTCCCTTCAGATTGAACCACCAGCTCAGGCGGTTTGCTAGCATTGAAAATGTTGTACTGCTGCCTGCATGCGGAGATAGCCTTTCGGCATCTTTGAGGGATATAATCTTGTGGTCATCTCCAAAAGAACCAGTAAATACTGCCGTATCAGTGCCGCTGACCGACTCGATCGGGATACCCGCTTTGTGGACGTTAGCAAATAATGGCCTTTTGAATTGGATAACAAGTCTGACCATCCTCTAAAGCATGATAGCAAGTCTCAAGAAGACCTCTTTGCTGGGGATCCATGGCGGCAGCCTCGGCCGGACTAACAGAAAAGAAAGGAGCGTCGAATGCTCCTATATCTTCTTTCAGGAAGTGCGCTTTCCGTAAACGAAGCTGGATCAAAATCAGTCTGTACCTTCATATGAAGGATAGAATCCATGGGAATGATCTATGCTTACCTTGTCGACAGCTTCATTATTTGCATCATAGAAAGAATCAATGTTCATCCGATTCGATGGAAACTCAGTAGCCAAACATCTTTTCTCATTCAGCACCTCCCAGAAGCCCTCTGGGGACGTAGCGTCACCAGGGAACTTGAATGCAAGACCAACTATCGCCAGAGGCTCCATTTCGCGGTGTATGATGGATCAAAGTATGCTTAATAGACCTCTAACATTTACGAAAAAGACAGAGTACAATGACCGAAGTCATCAATTGTTTTTATATGCGACTTCGTGCACAAATTCTACAATAGATGTCGAATACCATACTTCATTGAGGGTAATGACCGAACGTTGACACGCTGCCAGCTAATCGATCTGTTGGTCAAGCAGCCGAACCAACGTCACATTTCAACTAAGTGCCTCAGCTCATTCTGCATACCAAAAGGATTCATCCAGTCTTGGCGTGGGTGTGTCCCGAACACCAATATACTGAAGCGAGAGCAACCGTTCGGTTGGCATGTATGTGGTCCCGGTAAGCTCGTAAATGCAATGCTACTGTGACAATCACACCCTGCGGCCTGTGTCAGGCTACATGCGCCTCAATAAATGTCATGCCACAGTGGTAAATGGGGCCCATCCTCTTGGAGCAGGGTGTCTATATATTCTCCGCCCCTATGTGCATGAAATTAATTAATAGGATTTATGGCCACCGGATCCAGATCATTCTGACGCGTTCTTGGACGGCCATCGGCCCATACCGAGAAGCCCAGAATCCTACTACAAGGGTACTCACATATCAAAACCAGAAAACCTTTGTCGGTGATGATTCCAAAACCTCAACCTTCTAGAATAACCGTTTATCTGTACTTTGTTGTTTGCCCTTACTTCCCAAGAAGTCCTCCGCACACGAAAGATGAAATTTACCGTTGTCATTTGCCCCGGGGCTTGGCCCCTCTTGTCTTTCATGGAGCCTCTGATGGAGGCTTTCGAGAACCGGAGCCATCCTGCTATCACATCCATTGTTGATACCTACCCAACTTCGGATCCCAATGTGACAGTCAAGGTGAACCCGGACAGCGAGTATCTTCGCACCAAGGTTCTAGAACCTGTTCTGGACACTGGTGCTGACGTTGTCGTCTTCATGCACTCTTATGGGGGTACCTACGGCGCTTCGAGCCTCCAAGGCCTCAGTAAGGAGGAGAGACAGTCCAAGGGCCTGAAGGGCGGTATCATCGCCACTGTCCAAACTGCTGCCTTCATCGCCCCCACTGGTGCGACTGCCTTGGACTGCATGGGGGTTGATCGGAACAATCTCCCATATTGGATTGAATATGATGTACGTGGACACCTTCTTGATTCATCAACATTCCTAACACATGCTCCACATCTAGGCCGAGACCGATATGGTGGGAATCAACAAGGAGTACGCCAAGCAAGTTTTGTTCAACGACCTCCCGGAGGATGAGGCCGAGAGGTTGGCAAGCCTGCTTCCCAAGCAGCCGATGGTCTGCTTCACCACGCCCGCTCACTGGGACCCGTACAATGATCCTTACTACAAGGGTAAGCTTGGCTACATTTACACGGGGGCTGACCTCATCTTCCCATACGAGGCACAGCAGATGCAAGTTGCCTCGGCGGGTATCGACCATACGTACCTGCTTGAGGGATCTTCTCACTCTCCTCATCTTGAGCAACCCGGTCACTTGGCAGACCTGGTCATTGACATGGTGAAGAACATTACTGGCAAGTGTTAATTTGCCACTCTGTCAAATTCAATACCTCCTCAGCATCAAAACTTTCAACGCGGTGTGGTAGATGGAAGATGGCGATAGATAATATGAAGTTAGCTGTAGTAATTTGAACATATCTTTCTACATAAGAATATTGTGCTATGACTTTGTTTTGCGTTAACTTTGTTTGCGTGCCACATTGGGACATATCACCAATATACGGACATTCGATAACAAGAATGATATTCATGGGAGGAACATGACAACACCGGCATTATGAGATCCTTCGGTTACTTCCACATTATGCTTAGGTACTTCCGTTTTATAATGATTTTGTTGGCTTTTGCCTGCGGTGGGGCCAATGCAGCGTTTTCAATGTCACCCTCCAACAAATGTCGAAAATATATCCCCATTCAGATGCTGTTTCCGGGAAGCGTATCAATTTACACATCCTTCTCATATAAGTATCATCTCAGTTTACGGTCCTTTGGTGAGATTGCGCTTAAGCTAGCTTACGGAGGATTTTTATTGATGGCAGACTATGAGGTATTGTAGGTAAGTAGGGTTGTATTAGGTTTCTACGGTCCAAAGTTCGATTATGCAGTATCTCTGAAAAGACTCATAAGTTCTTCCTTATACAGTGCTACGGTGGCATTGCGTTGAATCGTACCCTTCAAGGATCGGACCATCGGTTTCTTGACATCGATGACGATAATGCGATCAGCAGTGATCCTATGATCCTCAAAGTAGTGCTGATTCAAGTCCTCCACATATGGCCAGATCTCAGCGACCAACTGCTCTTTCAGGTCGGTTGTCTCGCAAGGTGTTCTCTTCTCGATGAGGAGAGCAGATCCACGGTAGCCAGTTCCAATCATGAGGGCCGCTTGAAGTTGAGGAATTCGTGAAAGACCATCTTCCATCAGGATTGGGCTTAGGTTGGCCCCGGTAGACAGACAAATTGTGTCATCAAGTCGCCCGCGCCACTTCCAGAAGCCTTTCAGTTCAGGATGCTCAACATAGAGATCTCTGGTGCAATATTCTTCTTGGTCGGGGAAAACTTTAAAGATGGGCGGCTCTTTCGCGGGATCAGAGCCCTTAGTGATCCAAGCTTCGTGGAGCTCTGTGTTGTCGGTACCATGCTGGCGACGAAATTCCCACCTTGCATCCTCGTGTGGATGTATATATGCCCACATAGGGTTCACAAGGTTGCGAGTAGGCGAGTAGTCAGGAACGCTACCCACCTCGGTTGCGCCATAGAGTGTGATTGTATGTACTTTGGAAGCAACAGCATCGCCGTGAGATTCAACGATCTTGCCACCACCCGATATGATTGTCCCCAGTCTCTTCTCGACTATGTCGAGATACTCTGGGTTCAAGGCAATATGGCTAATCAAATGTGGCGGTATAAAGGCAGTATCAACCTGTGTGCTCTGAATTGCACCAATGAAAGCTTCGACCGTACATGGAAAGTTGGCAGGAGGGAGAATGATGGTGGTTTCGCAGGCTACTGCAAGGAAAGATGTGCAAAAGATATTTGCAGCATGGAAAGGTGGCATCATAACTAGCAGCCGGGTGCCTCGCAGATGGTCATCCTTGAACTCCCAGGAAGCTTCAACAGTTGGCGATGGCTCAAATGTGAGAGCATCCATGTATGCCGCAGCCCACTCATGGGTGTAGGTGATTGGTTTGGGTGTAGCGGTTGTCCCGGACGTATGCAGTACAAGTAATGCCTCGTGCTTTGATTCCTGGAACGTTTTTGATACTAGATAATGCGGGAACTCCTCAACCATAAGGTTTTCAAGAGTTGGAACTTGGAATGTAGGAAGATCTCCAACTTGTTGAAATGTTCTCGCGAAGGCAGAGCTCGGATCAGCCGCTAGGACTGCCTTGCAGTCGACTGTCTCGAGCAGCGACTTCAAGGCACTGCATTGACTCCTAGGCGAGACAAGAAGAAGCTTAATCCGCTGTTAGATTACCGAATCTGCATAGAACAGTCCATCGATGGCATACCTTGTAGCCGGCTTTCGAGCACGCAATGATCATGGCATTTTGACGCAAGTCGTTGGGTCCGACGTAAGTTAGCGCCTGCAAAGACGAGCTCTTCCCAATTTGCGCCGTCAACCACCAGGCTAAGCCGTTGACCATGTTGGCAAAGTGCCTATATGAAACCTTTTGGTAGCCTTCATTGTAGCCATTGAGCGCAATGGGGACAAATGCATAAGCAGCATGGGGCTTTGAGATTGCCAGACCGTCTACCATATCGGCGAGTAGCTGCTTGGGAGGCAAAGTATTGTAGTTTTTGAAACCGTTGACAGTGGACGAGCCCATTTTGCCTAACACACTTGAAGATGGATGAAGTTGGTCAAAGTAGATTGTTAACTCGTAGATAATTACTACATTCCAGCCTAACTAAGGAATATTCTTGCTAATATCCCAAGAGAGGCCGATTCAGAACGTTTAGTAATGGAACCACTCTAAGATACGTTCATTGTCATGGTCACAACTTCGTAAGGCGTCCAGGTTCCATTCTCTCAACGGACGCCCATCACCACTTCCGGATTCATGGTCCGCAAACAAGCATAACCGGACTTTGTCAAATCCTTGCAGTGATCCTTGTTACATCTCCCTGGTCCCAACCCCACAGCGAGGCGCCTTACCATTCACAGAAAGGGAAAAATAAGGCGAAGTATTAGAATGGCAAGTTTAGGAAAACAAGCGAGGTACTTTAGTCATTAAGTGCCAAGATGGATCTATGCGCCGTAAATATTGCTGAATTGGGCTGCATATTTTGTTCCATAATGGCACCATATAGGTGGTTGATGAAACGTGGTCGGAGGGTGGCCTTATTCTCATACCCAATAGGCCCAAAGTATTATTATACGTGCATGGAGTAGCATTTCACTGCCACTTAGCACGAAGGATTGGGAAGATGCCAAAAATCGAACGATCATGTATTTGCTCTGCCACGCGTCCTTTCGCATACACGCACAAATATACAGATGACTGACTGGCTTCTTTCAGTTCCCAGTCAGGAAATCCGTTAGCCGGACCATAACCTCCTCTGCTCGCTCCTGTGGGATGGAGATGGTGAGCCTTGCCCAGCCGAACTCCCTTGTCGATTGGTTGTAGAGCCAGCCAGGACTAACGCGGACACCTCCGTGTTGCTCCAAGTTCGCCTTGAACGCAAGTTCATCCTCCTGGGATTTCAAGTCTTTTCCTATCCTAGCAAATACGAAAAGACCTTCGCTAGCAGGTATGAAGTCCACACCGAGGCGTGCAAGGCCGTCAGCAAAGATCTGGTAAGAGGCTGTCAACCGACTCGAGTTCATCTCCAGAAGCTCGGGGAGAGCCGGGCTTGCTAGCAGCGTGTTCAACATAGAGGTGCTCAAAGCGGAAACCCCTGCGTATGCTAGAAGGGATGTCGCTGCGCGGAGTGGAGGATTGCCCTGTGAAACAATGCAGCCCTGCAGATGTCAATCTTTCAATTACAGCGACCCAGAGGCAGATGTACTTACAATCCGCAGGCCACCTAAGCCGAAGAGTTTACTCGGACTCCAGACCACATGAATCTTGCTCGGATCAATGCCCAGGCCGTCTTCTGGTTCTGATGGAATCGATAGGGCTGAGTGGAATCCGGGCTGGTCATTGATGGCAAAGCCAAAGGTGGCCAGAGCGTAGATCTCATCGGATATGAAATGCAGACCCTTCCTATTGCAGAATTTGACGCACTCTAATATCACATCCTTGGGATAGCATCTTGAAAGCGGATTCTGGGGATTCGTCAAGATGAGTGCTTTGACTCTGTTTGGCTCTTGGGCTGCCTCAAACGCTGCCTCAATAGCCAGAACCAAGTCTTCAGCATGCCTGGTATAGTCTGGTGGCGTGGCAGTAATTATATTGACCTTTGGTCGCCCAGATATGTATGGCAGAAATCCAACTTAGGGGAAATCAGAGCTAAGTTCTAGTCCGTGGGGAAGAAAGAAAGGACTTACACCAGAGCGGTGCTGGGACAATGACACTGTCACCTTCGTCGCATGTCGACTGCATCAGTAGTTCGATGGCATTTCCCGCACCAGCTGTAAGCACGATTTGATCGGGCAAAACCTTGCGAGCCGGGTCAAAGTAGCCATTGAAAAACTTGGCCAGATTTTCTCGCGCGTCTTGGTTGCCTCCAAACGTGACAGGAAGGGAAAATAGCTAAATCTGATTAGCTTTAGGGTTAACCATCAAGTGGACCACTGACCATACCTCATCAGCTGTTGCTCCTGAGTTAGCTTCTTGAAGCACTTGATGGAGCTCCTGTTGAATGAGTTCGTTTTCACCCCCAGAAATGTCAATGGTGTTGTCAGTGTCCGCGAGGCTCGGTTGCTTTGCTACCAGCAAGCTGGGCCCCAACCGCTGAAGCAATAAGCCGGTACGGTCCGAGATTGAAGCCATGTCTCGAAGTGCCTAGCGATGACTGAGAGAAACAACTTGAGAATCCTGATGTCAAGGCTCCAATGTCAATTCATCTGTTTCTGCTTCATGTATTCACATGTACATGGATATGAACTTTGGATATACCCCTTGATATCAGCACGCCCTATCAGTATTGCCCGCCCAGTCCACACCACCCTCTCAGTTGGTTCCTACGAAAGAACCAATGTTACAACACACGAGGCTTATGTTTTATTGCAGCAGGGTACCTAACATTTTACCGGATTCCGTATAACTCGCGTCATTATCGGCGCGTTATGTATGTTTTGCCAACCGCCATAACCTTCTTCGGAAAGGGCCGCATCTGATCCATGTAGCATTATTGGGTGGCATTCGGTTACAAACCACCGAAGGCACACCGGACTAGTGAGGGGCAAAGTATTCCTACAATACTGGGCATATTTTGGTAGTGGATATAGCGCTCCAGTAGGACCGCCCTGCTCTAGGATTTACTCTTCATTTCAAGTTGTTCTTCTCAGCCATCTAGTTTATCCTCGTTTGAGAGATACAATCAAATCACCATGGGAGAAGCTGCTAGTGCTGCACGTCATGAATTCGCCACAGTTTTATCCTCTCACGTCGTCATAGGTGCTGTGGCGACACTTTCACTAGTATTGAGGTTCACCGCTCGAAGGAGAGGTGGTAGCCTCTACGGCTGGGATGACTGGCTCTGTCTCGTCGCCGGGCTTTGCATGTGGGGTGACTTCGTTATGACCATACTCGGTGAGCCCATGCCTTCTATCGAATGATGCAGATCGGGAAGCCTAATGTTTGCATTGACATCTAGAATACCGTCCGTACCTTCGAGAAGTCGATATGGAGGAACTAAGCATCCCAAACCAAAGTCTTCTCAAGCAGGTAATAAGCCAATCTTCTCACAAAACTAGAAATAATCAGGGGATTAATCAAGAACAGCTGTCATTTGGATCCATCTTCTTCACTTCAGCTTGTGAAGTCATCGCAAGACTGTCCCTCATCTTCTTATACTATCGCATTTTCAGCATCAAGAAGTGGCTTGGATGGACGCTCAAGATAATAGGAGGCTTGTCTATTGCATGGCTCGTCGTGGCCATCGCAGTTGTTATCTTCCAATGCAAGCCAATTGCCGCCGTCGTCGACGCGTCGATCGAAGGGGAGTGTATGGATAATCAATTGGGGTTCGTCTTCGCAGAGGCCGTCAATCTCCTCCTAGACTTGGCTTTGGTTCCCTTGCCTGTGAGGACTATCTGGAAGCTGCAATTGCCCTTTGCTGAGAGGCTTGGTGTCGCCGTCATCTTCCTGACGGGTTTGGCGTGAGTTCAAATACAAATACATGCATATTCTCATTGAAAAGGACTAACAGCTATTGGTATAGGGTCATAATAACTCAAATACTTCGAATGATATTTGGGTACAATCCCGACACAGGAGGCGACCGGAGTGTCACGTCTCTATCACGGCTCTCTTTATGGACTGGTCTTCATCTCGGTTTTGCTATAATTTGCGCTTGCTTGCCGGTCCTACGTGTCTACCTTCCAGCGGACAAATGGATATCCAACTCTCACCTAGGAAACCTCTACAATAGCTTCTCAGAATGGATAAGTAGTGGCTCGCGAAGGTCCAAGTCTCGATCTCAAAGCGGCAAATCGTCACTACCTACCTCCCAGGAACCAAACATTCTTCCCCACACAGACCACCCAGGTCCCTACTCGTCTAATGACGAGATCCCGCTAACCGAACACCATTATATGAAGAAATAAGGTAGATATCCTGAGCACGATATATGTCCATTTTATAGTCCTATGGTTCCATACTATCTAGCTGTAGTCAAAACTCTTTTCGAAATAAACATACTTAGCTGCAGACTCTCTCAGTCGGATAGCAAAATTACATATCGTCCAATTCATTCTAACCCTAGCCCTTAGTGCAGGTACTTAGATATTGTTAATAGAGTCTTAATAGTATTATTGAGTATATTTATATAAGAACCGCTGGCCAAATTCTCTGCAGCTCGCACCACAGTCTTGTCAAACCATCAAGAAGTCATCATCGCCGACTTTTTAGGCCTCTTTTGAAGCTCGATGTATCAGATCTCCCTCGCTTCTCACTTCACGATCACCTTGTACCAGTTTGGCCAAGCTATGGGAGCGTAATTTCCAGGCAGCCGAGTGCCTTTTCCTGTCTATCCAACGCACACCGTCAGTCTTGATCCAGTAGGGGGAAGAAGCCATTACTGAAGCTGTGTGGGGGAGATATTCCCTCAAAATACAATGAAGATGACGGAGCTTTTTTGAGTAAGGTAATGACTATTAGACAGCGGGTCGTTTATTAACGAACAACTGTGTATCTGAGACGGGGCTTGCGTATATTTTATTTCCTGCAAAGTAAACTCCGATATCGTCGCTACAGTTCAGCCCTCGTTTGTCCACATTCTGCATCCATTCTCCAGAGAAAGACAGTGCTCATCAGGCGGCATCGGCATGTGGATCCTGTTTGAGTATGTACATCAATCATCGGCATGCGGTGCCGACGTGATTAGAACCACGAGTTGTGATAGAAGAGTAAGAGGACAGATTTACATTTCTTCATCAATTCATCATATGTAAAAAGCGTAAAGCAGTGTTAGCCAGCAAGTATCGCACCACAAGTCTTAATTAATTCATCCCTGTGGTATTTTGATTTTGAGAGAGCATCGGCGGAAAGCCTGGTCAGACTAACGGTCGAGATAGGCCGGATGAGTATCAGCTCAATTATGATTAGTAACATCTTCACAGCGGATCATAAGGGAGCGAATTCAGTCTTCACACGCCATGGCAACTACTAGGAGGAGCTCTGATTAAGGGGATGGATGATTGCCGATATAGACGGCGGTTGAGGAATAGTAAGGAATAATTCAGCCAGCAGATTATACTAGAACCATGTCTGCCCTACTGAATCAGTGAAGCTAAAATCAATACACTGTATTTCTTTCAACCCATAACAGCAACCCTATCTAGGTTCTACATCTCTTATCTCTCGATATTATATTGATTGCCCTTCAAGAACTGTATTCTGTGAAAAGATATGAATCAATATACTCGAAAGATTCTTTGATAAGTTTTCCGTCATCAGTAGTACCAAGTACCCATAGGTATTCGTTTTTATATGGCCCTCTGTCTGTCTCTCCAGATCCTGTAAGATGCATAATGATTCTGCGTTGCTTCTCGTCGATAATGGTAGGCATGTCCCCGACCTCAATCGTAGAATAATTGTGTAGACCGGGAAGCGAAGACACCAGGAATTCTGTCATGGCCGTGTTGTTCATTCGAGGAGTCACGTTCAGAGACGCGGGGAGAATGGTGTGCACGGCATCTGTTGTTCGGCCGATGCTGAAACTGCCTTCTGGGTCATTGAGATTCGCAACCCAAGCAAGGCCGGTTTGAAGAAGTATCTGACGAAGAGACGTTTGGGAACCCATTTTGATAAAGGAGTCAAAGTATATGAGAGAGAAATTGCAATTAACTGTGTCGATTGGAAGTGGGATAATCAAGTTTGAACGAGATACGCCAACATGCGAACATAGCTACGTACTTATACACATCAAGTCAGTAACTTGCCGGACTTAGGGCCTAGAAATGGCTCGTCCTGCAAAGTTTACGGTGATTGCTTCAAGATGCGAATTTATCTCCGTCACTTTCTTTTGCTGTTCGAAGACCTGTTCCCTTGCAGTTCTAAGTCAGATAGCCAAGCAAGTGATCAACAATTGCTTACCTATAAGGGAAAACAGTCTCTAATTCGGTGATAGCGATGGATACCATAGTAAGCAAATTCCAAACAGGGAAAGCAATCTCTCATTGGCTGGCAGATTGCTATGGCAAAAAAAAAAAAAAAAAAAAAACAGCGTAGATTAACTTTTTCCCATGATACAGCGGATTTGTTCAGCTCGAAAGTGTTAATTTGATCTTGTGACGCTCCACGAGCAACTGCGTTGGACCAGCCATGATGATGCTTGGATAATCAGTTGGTGTTGTTGAAGGGTTCGGCCATTTCTCAATTGGATTAATCCCTGCGGAGACCGAGCCACTTAGATTGAGGGGGAAAATCCCAGAATCCTCCAACCACCCTCATTCCAATCAACGAAGGCAAAAATGTGGCCGCTACCTGTTTCCCTGTTGTTGACTTCTGTCTCTGTGTTAAGGTTCTTTGCTACGGCTCAAGCAGCGGCACATGACAGGGAACAAGTCGTACTCAACGGGCTTCACCGACAAGCTATCAGCCCAGGTCCCCATTTCAGCCGCCGTCAGCAGTCTCCGGAGTTATGTGACGCGGGTTCTCAGCACTGGACCGGTACGGTCAATGTCAGTTCGGAAAAATCCATGTTTTTTTGTTCGTTTAGTTCCGGTTTTCTGTGGTGCCTAGCATTAAGTCAGCTTGGCTAACATATGCCGCAGGGTATTATGAAAGCCGAGACAGCCCTGAAACAGACCCAGTATTGCTTTGGATGAGCGGGTGAGTAACAGGGCTATTGATGAGAGAAAACAAGAAGGGATCGACTCTAATTGGGATACCACGAATCAGAGGTCCCGGTGCCACGAGTGAACTGGGCCAGTTCAAAGGCATTGGTCCCTGTGCTGTGAACGAAGACGGAAATTCAACTCGGCGCCTTGAATTCTCATGGATTGACCACGCCAACGTCGTGTTTATAGAGTAAGTAGCCCCAGGGTCCTGTCATTTCTTCTCGCTTCTCACTTATAGGACCACTTCTTCAGCCAACCTGTCGGTGTCGGCTTCTCCCAGATTTCCGATCGCAATCTCATCGCAACGAACCTACATGACGGGGCCAGAGATGTATACACGTTCCTTTCCACTTTCACCAAGGATGTCTTTCCGCAACTAGCGAATCGGACTTGGCACATCACAGGAGAGTCCATGGGTGGCCATTATGTCACATCCTACACAGAGTACATCCTGAAGCAGGAACGCGAGCGAGCCCTCCAGGGTCTTGACATTGGCATTCATATTGACTCTGCTATTATAGTTGATGGCTATATTGACGGTGCCTATCAATACACAGGGTACTATGACTTCTTCTGCGAGGATTGGAGAGCAGACGGAAGACCATATCCCTTGATGAACGCGACCGCCTGTCAAGAAATAGGCGAGGCTGTTGCAGCTTGCGAGAAGAAAGGCGCAATGTGCAGAGACTCTTATGATGTCGATGTTTGTGCTTGGGCTATGCAGTCCTGTGATCAGACAGTTGGTAAACACTTTGCCGATGGTGTGAAGCCAGGAGGGTGGAACCCGTATGACAGTAAGCATCTCTCAATTCTTTCTACCAGTCTTGCAGTCCCAGGGTTTCCCTAATATAAAAACGCGTCCTGTCTTCTCATGAAAAGCTAATCGCAGTCCAGGTCGATTTAAGTGTCAAGAGCCCCCTCTGTGCTCAAACTTCAGCACAGACGAGACGCTTATATTTCTCAATCAGCTATGGGTACAAGAGCAGCTAGGATTCCCCAACTACACATTCGAGTTGATCGATTTCGATACCAATCGTCGATGGGCTGCGGCAGGCGATCTCAACCTACCTGTCACACGAGAGCTAACATGGCTGTTGGATAATTCTGACGTCCGTGTACTATTCTTCAATGGCAATAATGATATAATAATGTAAGACTAACAATCATCTCCACAGACTGGTAGTTCTTAAACTAACCATTATCTACGTGTAAAGCAATACTCCTGGACAGATACGTCTGCTTGACGCACAACCTTGGAAGGGACAGGCACATTTCAGAAGCCTAAAATACCAAGACTGGTTTTATACAAATGGAAAGCTTGATCAAGGAAGAAAGGAAAAGAAAGGGGGGACTTGCAAGGGAGATGAGAGGTTAAGGCTCTATACTGTGGACGAAGCGGGCCATTTCTCTGCGATGAATCAGCCTGAGGCTCTTGGGGCCGTGGTGGCAGACTGGCTTCGGAAGTAGGCTTTTTGCCAGAGATCGCCATTCTATATTAAACTAGTAGGTACTTTGAAACGATGCTACTATCTTCGAATCGAGGAATTCCCCGAATTTTAACACTCGCTACAAAAACTGATTTTGATGGTAATTACTAAAGAAATAATAAGTGATTGGCGCTCTTTATTATACATTCGCGGCACGGAGCAAAGAATTCTCAGCATTACTACAATTCAACAACCAACGGCTCCTCTCCTCTGCGCTCTCTCCACCGATTCGTGGATTCTACTATATGCTGACACCCTTTGAATAAAAATTTCCACTTCTTGAAAAAGGCTGGTGTGACCTCATACCCTTCCATACGCCAAGGGTCACTCCACACGAGGATCCCCAGCTCTCTCTGCTCACTAAGCGAGCATCCAGGGCCGACATTCCAATTGGCAGCCATCGAGAATGGAATCTCGGGCTTTGGCATTGAACCAAAGGGGCTTGGGCGTGTTTTTCGAATCTCTTTGCATATGTAGCCCACCAGGTCGCCCTGAAACTCCACAGTGTCAAGAGTGCCTTCGGCCAACGCTATCAACACGTTATCGCGAAGTTGAGGATCGGGGATCAAGTCAACCCAGAAGTCGTGGGGGACTTGAAGCTGAATCTTTGTGGGTCTCAAAGACTCTGGAGTTTCCCAGAGAGTAGAGGATGGAGCAAACAACGGCATGTTCTCAAAATCGATTCCACAATGATCAGTCTCTATGAGATGATGGACGGATAGGATCATTGCATTAGTAGTGCTGGCTCGAACCAAGTTGTATTGGGCTAGACTGAGGAGATGATCTGATGAGAGCGGGAATTTGACCCTTGCAGAGAAGTCCAAGCGGGAAAATCGATTCCACTCAGTGCTCCTTGCGTAGGTCTCAATATTCATACGTGGTCCAAGTGGGGGTTGAAAGCCGTTTGGGAAGACAAGAGGAAAGGGTGCTTCGAAGGGTGGCAGTAGTGAGTAAGCATCACTAGGTTGCGAATGGATGTCTTGTAAGTCTGTGTGGTTGTCTTGTTTCGCTTTTCGTCTGCCTATTTTGGGTGTCAGTGTTGCCGTTCAGCCTGAACGGAAAGGCAAATTGCATACGGTGAGCCCGGACATTCAATCTGTTCTGCAGTTTCCTCCGAGCTTTGGGATCTTTCAATCCGGTCCAGTCCTCTTCAGGACGCGAGAACTGCTACCGACAAAAAGGGTCGACTCAGCACGGATATTCAGGTGCTTGAACAGGGGTTAACCTACGTCATTCCACCGGGCCATGGCCTCGCCGGGAACCAAATGAGGCGTGAAGGTTGAATAATGTGGGTTTTAAATGCGGAGTTCTGTACCAGAGATAGGCTGTAATCTAACGAGAGAGGATAAAGGAGGTGTAACGTGCAGTCGTGAAGATGAAGAGTCCAGATTTGAAGATGCAACCTGCTTACAAGGCGGAGTCCAAGAGGGAAACGGATCCATTTTAATAAATCTAGGATCAATTCAACGCTAATGCAGTGCTTACAGCGCTAAACCTCTTCTGACAGTCTGAATTCCGGATCGACCGAGGATTGAGGCCAGAGCTACAACTTACCCTAGAGGAAGGATCAGTTCAATGGCCTTTCCTTCATCATCTAGCTATGTCCTTGCAAGAGACACCTATTCTTCCCTGGAAGCAGACTAGCGATCTGGTCTTTAACATGAGTAGTCCAAGCACTTTGGTAATTGATGGTGTTTTTAATACAGAAAAATTGGACTTCTTGTAAACATGTCTTTCCCGATTCGTCCATGGTTCTTCAATGTTTAAAGAAAACTCCAGATCTCTATCTAGCATCCCTACAGTAAGTTTTAGTCTCTTCCATAAGGCTATTATTCTTATTTATTCTTCAAGAAAATATTTTATCATGCACCTATGGCAAGTCCTTGGGATGGGACGGCATAATCTTGAATCGCCTCGGATGCCGAGGAGAAGCGATGAGATGCCCCACTTCATCTCTTCCCCCAATCAAATAAATGCTAATGCAGGAAGCTTACAACGCTAAACCCATTTGATCTCAACACCAACTCAGCCTTGAGCATCGTGATATTAGACGCTGAAATGACGAAGTCCGCACTCTAATGATAGATCATGCATCGGATTTTGGCATCATGGGCCCTTTTCAAATCGGAGTAATATGATGATTTCTACCTAAGTCCGCATCTGTGCAAAGTATAAAACATGGCGGCACAACGAGGCATGCCACTGCTTTCTAACCATCTTAAAGGCTTCCAAGTTTCCATCGCATTCACTGAGAGAATAGTACCCGACACTTCCTTCTCCTCTCAAAGAGTTTCGGTTTGTCTCTATGGCTCCCACATACCAGGTCAGTGCGAAGCAGTTTCTGCAATCGCAGCTATGTACAACGCTCCCTGTCCCTACAAAGTCTTTCGAGGGCCAGACAGTCATTATCACAGGTTCCAACACAGGCCTGGGCTTCGAAGCAGCGAAACATGTTGTCAGACTCAAGGCAGATAAGGTCATATTGGCTGTTCGCAGCGTATCAAAAGGAGAGACTGCCGCCAAGGCGTTACGGTCCGGTTCAACAGGCTCGGAAAAGTCCCCCACCAAGGTAGAGGTCTGGCAGCTTGACCTCACCAGTTACGACTCCATTCAGGATTTCGCTTCTAGAGTCGACAAAGAGCTTGATAGACTCGATGTGGTCATCGAGAATGCAGGGCTATTGACGGAAAACTTCACAATGGCGGGGGAGGACGAGTCCACTATCAGGGTCAATGTCCTCGGCACCATGTTTTTGGCTCTTCTGCTTCTGCCTAAGCTTAGGGACACAGCTTCTAAATGGGAGAAGGATGTTGTCCTCACCTTTACTGGCTCCTTCATGCACTGGTCTGCCAAGTTTGAAGAGCGAAAGGCGGACGACATATTTCAGGAACTCGCTGATGAGACCAAGGCGACCATGTATGATTCTGAAAGGTAGGTCCCCCAATGCTCGCTCACAGAAATCGTTCTTCTCACGCAAAGTCTATAGATACTCAACCTCGAAGCTCATGGAGCTTCTTGCATTCCGCGAATTGGCCGCTCACTTAACACAACCCCAAAAGGGTCACGTCATTACCTCAATGCTGAACCCCGGGGGCGTTAAAACTGATATCATGAGGGACGAAAACATGCGGTTTGCCCAATGGATGACGGTCAAAATTGGTCGAGCCTTCTTTCTACGATCGACCGAGGAAGGAAGCAGAACGCTTGTCCATGCCGCTCAAGGGGGTCGGGATACGGACCGGCAATATCTTGACGACTGCAAGCCTACGCCGCCTCATTTGTAAGTGATATAAAAACATTGCTCAAGTGATTCATTGAAACTCAATATACTAATTACTGTTTCTCAGCCTTTCGCCCTTTGTGCGTTCGGATGAAGGACAAGCGACGCAGAAGAAGGTCTGGCAGCAAATGCTTGCTAGGTTTGAAAATATCAAGCCGGGCGTTACAATGAATTTGTAGAGGTATATATGCCGAATTCACAAGGTGAGAATTATCGGAGGATGATCCACATAGGTCATATAGGAATAAAAGGGAGTCCTGCACCGTAATTTGACTTAGACTTTTATTGATATTATTTTAAATTTGTCGACTTTCTATAGTAGCCGTGCTACTCAAACCAACGTCACCCTCCTCGGCATCGCCCCTGGGTCAAGAGTCCCCTCGCTGTTCGTTAGCCGCCCGAGGAACCGAAACTTACCATCTGCCTCTGGACGTAGTACAACCGCGCTTCTCATGCCGTTGGGCTTGAAGATGTGGTCTCCCTTCTGGGGCTGCAGATGGTCCAGCCACAGGTAATCGTGAAAGGTGAACATCTTGCCCGTGCTAGTCAGCAGAGAGGACCACGCAAAGGCGGCAATGTCCCTCCAGCCCGCGAGGGCGTAGGCTTCAAACCCCGGGCCCTGGGAGCAGAACTCCTGCATCTCGCACAGGTCCATGGTCTGCGCCAGCTGGAAGAGGTCCTTGTTGTACGGCGTCTCGGAGCCGAACTTGTACATTGGGTGGCTGGTCCCTGTGCGGGTTATGATCTGCCATTCCCATACACGCGAACGGTGCTTTGTGCCATCGTTAAGCAGAATGCGCTCTGCGAGCTGGCGCATCGTGTCGCAGAGGTCCTCGGACGTCCCCACGAGATGCAGGTCCTCCGGCCCGGACACGGTCGGAGGACGCTCCAGACGGTCGACGCAGACGCCGTAGTCCAGCCCCGTGATGGACATCTCGCGCAAGTTGGCTGAGAAGAGCGGGAAGGCGTTCGATCCTCCCTCCTCCATGTTCTGCTCACTCAGGCCAATGGCTGGAACCCACGATGGCACCCCGAGGAGAGGCTCCGTGTACCTCTCCAGGAGGGCCAGGCTGCCGGTGGAGTGGAAGATGAACTGGGCGTACTTCCAGTACACCTCCTCGCAGGGCCTGTTATAGTCCGGATACAGCTCCCTCGGAAGATTGTGCAGGGGCACCATGGCGAGCAGGCCGTAAATCTTGTCTACGGCGTCGCGGCACGCGAGGGCCGAGAAGTCCTCGATGACGTCTAGCAACCGCCAACAGGCTTCCCTGGGATAGTCCGCGACCAGCTGGTTCCTTAACGACGATATACCAAGGAACGACGTGGGAGGACGCCCGTGTATTTCCACGGACTCCTCTGGTTCAAGCCGGTCCTTGTGGGTGAACTCGTCCCAGCTCAACACGTGTCGACCCGCCAGCATGACGGGCCCATTCTTTGCGAGGACGGCTTCCTGAGCGGTCCAGAGCCTCTGAAAGTAGCTACAGTGTCGAAGAGCCGCTGCCACGGCGAAATGTATGAGTTGCTGCTTCCGAGGTTTCCCAGTCGGCCGTCGACTCAGACGCTGGATTGGAAATTTCGGGCTGCGGGTATACAGCACGTATCTCTCGAGAGCCTCTTCCCTGAGCTCCTCGTTCATCGCGCAATCCTCATCGTCAAAGCCCAGCCATGAATATTTCTCGTCGTCGATCCAGGGTTTTAGAAAGTCCGGCGGGATAGGCATGACGCCGAGCCAAACGAGAACTTCGTCGGCCGTGCTATAGATCTGGTGCATCTTGGGCACCTGCTTTGCCTTTTCGTCAATATCCTCCTGGTTAATGCAGATAGCGTCTACCCATATAGGCAACTTGGGGAGCGTCTCGGTTACAAACATGGACTCTCGTATTTGCCGCAGTCCCTCGTACAGGTTCACTGTCACCTCAAAGTCACAGTCATTCAGGCGGATTGCGCGACGGACGCTATCGTCACCCCAGACGTAGGACAGCGCCATGAGGCCCCGCGTGTGCTCTTTGACATTGCCCACCTCGACGTAGCATTCGATGGTCGAGTCCCATGGTCCGGGTCTGATAGTGACGAGGCGGATCGAGCCATCGTTGATGGGCTGATAAGTGAAGGGCTTGGGGGACTTCATTTCAGGGAAAGCCAAGGCGAAAGCCAAGTCAGTCCACGACCCCGAGCGGCGACTCTCGGAGGAAGCAGCAGACAAGATTGCTGACTGATAGCTGAGTACCTTAGGTGGTTGTCACATCATGTCAGCCTCGGGCCAAAAAACCCCGCTGGGGATGCTTACTGTGCACACGTGGTTTACTGCACATTGGCTGAACGAGCCGAATATGCATCAAAATGCGCTAAACTCCGAATGCCGCTTTTGCTTGTACAACATGTGACCATCGGGTCTTTTCCTAAGGGATAAATCAGAAAGTGATGGGGTTTATGTTGGCAAGAAGAACTATATGTCATATGGGCAATGGCGCGTACTACGTCTAGTCTGAAAACGATCAAAGTTCTTTGATATAATTAAGTGTTTTAGTAGTTATTAGTCTAATAGATCCAGCTCTAGAGAAGAATAAGATATATATATAGACGTACGCTCATCTGTTCTAGAGTGAGCGCTTCATTACAGGCTCGCTTGGTCCATTGTAAGCTGTGAGCTTTAGCTTATCTTTCGATACTATAGAAGAGTGATATTTCGATGTTGGTTTTATGGACATGTGCTCGATTTATTATAACCATTAAATGAGCTGAGACGGAATGATAACGATTAGACATCATATGATTGCTGATTCTCCAACTTCTGGATGAATCTCTGAGCAAACCGCGTAGCTGACGGGCTAGAACTATTGACTTGCCTTGAGGGAACGAGATTTGCTCTCTTTCCATCGATCAGTCTACAAAACTGATGATTCAGGAATGACCAGCTCATAATTCTTCCTCTTGTTGATTCGCCTTTCACGATAACAATACTAATCCTCTTCTTCGTTGTTGTCTGGACCCGCTGGAGCTCCTGTAGAAATCATTCCCCGCTAAATCCTTAGCTAAGCGCTCGCTGAAGTTTTTCCTGCAGCGAGGTCAAACTCAAAAGACACATCTTGAGATTGGGCATTTGTTCACAGGCATGATCTGCCTGTGAGCGCGGCCATGCCTCGTAAGGTGAGCAAATCCCCGTGCGAGATTAAATCATTTCTGTGTTGGCCTCGTCAATGTACCAAGTGGTGAAAAGCAAGCTCACCAACATTCCTGCCACAGCAAAAGACAGCCGAATCCGTCATCCAGGATCGCGAGAATCAGCGCCGGTCTCGCGCGCGCCGCCGCGACTACATCGAGCACCTAGAGGCGCGTGTCCGAGAGTACGAGAAAGCGGGCGCGCAGGCAACGATTGAAATGCAGAAAGCTGCTCGCGCCGTCCAAGCCGAAAACCGGTCGTTGCGTGCGATTCTCGCCTCTTACGGGCTTTCACCTGCTGCCATCCAGATGAAAATCGACGAGGAAGCCAAAAAGGCAGAGCTTTCTTCTTCCTCTGATTCGCAAGTCCATCCGGAACCCACCACACCATTAGAGAAACCGTGCGAGGAGGCCGCCGCTATTCTTGCTCAGCTAGGGAATGGATCGGACTCTTCCTCGATTCGCGACTTGCTCGGCTGTGTTGGGGAGGGGAAGTGCTTTGTTAGGAATACGGAACTGATGCAGATCATGGAACAAGAAACGCAACGGTAATGGATCTGAACTTGGTGAGGTACTTCTAGGCATGACGCTGAGCATCACAACTGTTGATCAAGTCGCGGGGTAATTTCAATACAAATAATGGTGTGGTGAAGTACTATCTTTGATAGCGCTTCGTGAACCGAATCAGTGATGAAATTGAAACACAATTGATTCTCTTAGACACCCCTCTCACAGGTCAATAGCGCATATTCAGGGGGTAGATGACAACTTAGGCCAATTGATTGGATGATCATGATGCTCGTGCTCCTTCGCGTTGAGCCCGAGAAACTCTATCTGATGGGCAAGGATGAGGCCATTCTACTTGAGCGACAAGCAATTGCTGCACTTGAATGCAGAATGGAACGCTGCTGCTGAATCGACCTTCCAGCTCTGTATATGGGAATCAAGATAGGCAACCGTCAGCGAGGCGTGGGTCTATCAGGGGCTAGAATGCAGTGAGCAACTCGACGGACTCATCAGAACACTTGACTAAATCGAGCTTCCCCAGCTTCTTATCAAGGGGAACCCCACCGGGACCGCCTCTCCGATGATAATCCATTGGTGAGAGCCAATCAGCGGCATCATTCACTTGCCTATCAGGCAGGCCACTGGCTATTCAACTTTAGAAGTGGCCTGGCCGTCGAGCTAACTTATCTACGGGGGGGCTGCCTCGGAGTCTGATGCCATGTTTACCCCCAGGCCTCCTGTAGGTGATCCCGGCTCATGATCATGCACGTCTGGGTATCTCACCAGGCTCAGTGACTGAATGTGACGCAGAACAATGTATAAATGCTCTCCCCCGGCAGGTCGGAAATCTCAAGCAACTTAATCAACCAATCCTTCTCCCATCATTTTCCCATCTCAACCCCTGCCAGTGTGTGGCATCGGTACTTCCTGAAACAGTGTTGATCAACATGACTTCATCTGAAGATGTTGAGTCTACCAAAAAGACCGTGCCTGTCCATGAACATAATTTTGATGCAAACAACGGCGTTCTAGTCAGCGGAGAGCTGGCCATCGACCGACAGTATGGCCGTACAAAGCGTGGCCTATCTCCCCGCCATGTGCAGCTCATGACCATAGGCGGCTCAATCGGCACGGGGCTGTTCGTCGGTATTGGAGGCTCCCTCTCTCGGGCTGGCCCTCTTTCTTTATTTCTTGGATACATCATCTGGGGCGTCTTCTTCATCTGGCCCTGCATGCTTTCCGTTGCCGAGATGTGTGCATACTTGCCCATCCGCGGTTCCATCTTCGAACTGGCCGGACGTTATGTTGACCCCGCGCTTGGATTCGCCCTAGGCTGGCTGTATTTCTTTGCCGGCGTGATGCTCGTCTGTGCGGAATATAGCGCTGTGGCGACTGTGATGGGGTTCTGGCTCCCTGATGTGAATCCCGCCGCGTGGATCGCAATGTCCATGGTGGTTTGTGTGCTTCTAAATGTCGTTGCTGTCAAGTATGAGAACAAGCCTTTTCATTTCCAGTCTTGCCCACCGCGTGCTGACTTTCCAATTTAGGTACTATGGCGAAGCAGAATTCGTCATGGCCTCGCTAAAGATCTTGCTCTTGGTCGGCTTGGTTCTCTTGACCATTGTGACGATGTGCGGTGGCAACCCCAAAGGCGATAGATATGGCTTCACCCACTGGACCAACGGACAAGCAATGCTGAGCTACTACGCCCCTGGTGATCTTGGCCGATTCTTGGCCTGGTGGAAAGTTGTTTGTTACGCTGCTTTCACCATCGCTGGCCCGGATATGATTGCCATCTCCGTAGGTGAGATGCAGAATCCACGCCGAACGATTCCTCGAGTCGCGAAGCTTGTTTTCTGGCGACTTGTGGGCTTCTACGTCGTCGGTGTTGTGGCCGTGGGCACTATCTGCAGCGCTTCTGACCCAAGGCTTCTTGGTGCCCTCAAGGATGGATCTGTCGGGTCTGCTGCATCTCCCTGGGTCATTGGTATTCAAAACCTGGGAATTGAAGGGCTGCCGTCATTGATCAACTTTCTCATCTTGAGCTCTGGGCTGTCGTGCGGCAATGCCTACTTATATTCCTCCAGTCGCACCCTATATGGTTTGGCAAGAGGCAAGTACTTTAGCTGTCGCACTTGATGATATCGCATACTGACATAATTTCCATCAAGATGGCCATGCTCCCAAGTTCCTCCAACGGTGCACAAAGACGGGTGTCCCAATCTGGGCTGTTACGGTTGTCAGCACTATCAGCCTAATCACCTTCCTGAGCGCTTCCAACGCAGCTATCGAAGTCTTCTTCTGGTTCGTCGATCTCACCACCACAGCACTGATACTTACGTACAGCCTGATGCTTGTGACATTCCTGGGATGGTACCGTGCCAAGAAGGCGCAGAACCTCTCCAACTCGGAGTTGCATTACGTCGCGCCGCTCAACCCATACGCTGCTTCTGTGGCCCTCTGTATGGGAATAACGGCCATTATCTTCATTGGATTTGACACGTTTCAGCCATTCAAAGTACAAAGCTTCGTCACAAGCTACTTTGCTATACCCTATGCCCTCGTTTTCTTCGTGGGCGGGAAGATCTTCAAGAAGACGAAATTTGTAGACCCTGCGTCCGCTGATTTGATTAGCGGAAAGAGGGAGGTAGACGCAGAGTGCCGGGAATGGGAGGAGGGCGGCATCGAAGAGAATTGGAGGCGCGAGCTGGCGGCCATGTCTTTCTGGAAACGATGCTGGGAAAGGATTTGGTAAGACCGAGAGCGAGGTTAACATACCTTCTCTTCTGATGTTTTTGAAAAATACTCGACTCAGAGACCATGTAACTAGGAATTATCTTAGCCTATACTCATGTTTTCAGAACATTTATACTTCATAATTGGGTCCAGAATTGAGGGCCATAGAACAAGACCAAGACACTTCCATCAATAAGCGGCAGCAATTCAACCTCGCCAAGCTGAACTGGTGTGTAGTCACTCTGCATCTCTAAGTATCCATATCGCGTGATTCAAAATAATATCACACTAGTTGGACGGATTATGATTGGTATTACCAACAACAGTATGCAGTCATACATCAAACTCGGTCCCCGCCAACAACAGTACGCAGGGGATAGCGTTAAAACCTATGGGGCCCCATCCTCTCCAGTTGGATTCTGGTTGGATGAGATATCATAAACAGTAAGATAAAGGTACTCTGAATACTTTGAACAGTATGAGGTACTTATATGTGAGTGGCTTCATCGTAGCCCCATGAGTATAATACCACTATAATACATGGAGTAGGTATTCTTTTACGGCTGGGGTATTGTAGCGACCTACTTCTTGATCCACATGTTATGATACTGTTCAGGGGATCAGGTTAGGCGTACTTGGTCCCAGCTAACAACAATATGCAGTCATACTTGGTCTGACCAACAGGAGTACACAGCCACCGGTATGCGAGTATCCGCCACCAACAGAATATGCAAAGCAACGGAGGTGCACGGGCAGTGCAGTTGTCTGCCTGTTGGAAAGAGGTCCTTTGGCACAACTTAAGATGGTCGCCCCCAGCGATAAACACTTCCTGGATATGCAACCAAGCATTGGTGTTTATATTCAAATCTCACCTTAACTATTTTCAAACATACGTCTCCTTTACTCTTGAATCCAAGGATGGATTCTTCTAAAGCATGGTCATGGTCGGTCTTTCGCAGGGCCCAAATCGACGAGATCATTCAACAGGGCCGACAAGATACCCTGTGTGGCACCATCAGCTCTCACCTTAAAACAATCAATATACAGTACACACTCAATAGCCGACCGGAGGAGTTTTATGCATCTGAACTCCGTGATATTTGGTATACCCTTATTCAAGCAGGCAAGAATATTACTACAGACGAGCTTCTTAAAGATGGTATTTCACAAGGGTGTCGCCAAGATGATATTGTACGTGAACTTGTCACTTTCAGAGCTCTTGGGACCCTGCAACGTTCAGTACAGACCAGCAACTTGGATGATAATTCCAACAATGGTACTAGTACTGTACAGGGGGTCATCACCTTCTCTGATGGCCATACACTTTGGTCTGGTCTACCCCTTCTCTCTATATGTCTTACTGAAGAGTTTACAAAATATTACTATCAGAAAGACTATAGTACAGAGCAGCGAGGAAATATGGCAGGCCTAATTGCACGGCTCTTGGCTGCTGGCTTTTATGATGGCCCTGGTTTATGTGCATTATCATTATTCCGGGAGACCTTGGAGACCCCGCGGCCGCTTGTTACAGATGCAGATAGCAAGGAAACCCCTGAGACACTCTTATCACTCGAAGATCTGCTAGAACACCTCACAGAGTTGTGCCAGGAATCTGGATATGGCCTTGCTATCTTGAGTAGTAGCCAAACATCAGCAGCTACTATGAGCATGATAAAGACTAATGCTGCCGACTACCCGCACTTGTCTAACCTCGGTGACCTAGCCCTTCGAGCTGGTACCGCCACTGGCTCCTCCCCCACTGGGTATAGTCCGCAGCGTTGGGGCTTCTGGGTCCGGCGACTCACCGAATTGACACAGTGTGGGATTGAGAGCATAGAGCGCTGTGCTAAGTTTTGTTTGGCCCCGATGCGTTGGGCAGGAGATGAGACCAATCTTCTCCCAGGGCTGATCAGTGAAGAACTTACCATATGTGAGGATGAAGATTATGAGCAGGCTTGTATCTAGATAGGCTGTGGTAGTGGAAGCGAGATTTCACAGGGCGGAGATGAAAGAGCTAGATACGGAAGAAAACAGGAATGTATTAGAAATGATAGTTCTGAATAGATTCACTCTTGTCTCTCGTCTACATTTAAAGGGGAAAGTGGCTTCCAACGCAAGGCGTGATTTACAAGCTTAAACACTACTCCGATGATTTACCTTCAATACCAAGACTACGATCGTCTCGCAAACATTATTAATGGGGCCGTCAAGTTTCCCCGAGTAAGTGCATAGCCGATGAGAGAAGGCTATGCGTAACAACTTTCCCATCGTGACTTTGAAATACTGCATCCCCCTCTGTGTACTGGTCGGCGGTTTCCAGACCAAATTTCTGTGTCAGAGAGAAGATGTTCGCCTGCGTCATCTCGTTGATCCATTTCAACAATTCATGGGCCACTTTTCAGGGGGATTGAATAGCTTCGGCCACCCACGCGGTTCCTTGCCTCCAAAAGAACAATCTCTAGGCCTGCCTGCTGCATTTCGTAGGCTGCCACGAGGCCAGAAAAGCCGGCCTCGACAACCACGACATCCGTTTCTACCGGATGCCGTGGGAAAATATCGGAGGCAGCGAGATTCTTCAGGCAAAAATGACCATTTAATGCGTTCCACTGCCGGAAAAGACCGCCAATAGCTGCGACAGCCTTAATCTCAAGCTTGGCTTGAGGAAACGCAAGTTCGGGTCCAAGCACCAGCGTTGTCAATGGCATGTTGACGCCGTAATCCTCTGTAAGGAGCGCCAACACAGGCTCGACAAGCGGTAAGCCAAGAGGCTCCTCCTAGTCAACGACGTAGAAGCGGAGCTGGACAATGTCCCGAGGCGTGGCTGCAACGCCCAGCAAGGCACTGGCAAGGTTGGTCACAGCCTGCTTCACTTGCTCCCCGAATGTCTCAGGGAAAGATCCGTCTAGGAGCTGAGCAATTTGTCCGGATATAAGAACCAGCCGATGTTGGCCACTGACAGAGGCTGCGTGAGAGTACGAGGCAGGATCCAGTACACCGAGCGCATCACGTAGACGATGTTGGGATATTCGGGGCTTTGGCTGTCCATAATTGGCTCGGGCAAGGTTCAAGTGATGTGGACTAAATTCTGAGTAGCTACTGATTTGTATCGTCACCGCGGTGATACTGAGCGGGGAGGTGACTACGGACGAGGGCTTGCTTGTAAGTTGTACTGCTTGATACCGGCGCCCCGCGTACTCTCATGTGCCAGAACAATGTAGCGACAGCCGGATGAAGCTACTCGATGACATGACATATGGCGATGCATTGAATGGATCCAGGCTTCAACACTAATACGGACGACAGCATTCTGGCTGTAGAGCGCGGCACCCCACACAAACCGTTGCCCTGTAAATCTTGGCAAATGACACTCCTATTCGTTCATTCGTTGGTTCTGGAGTTGCATCCCTGAAGCCCCGCTTCTTGAAAACCTCTTGATAATGCACACCGCGCGTAGATAAGAACAGCCGAGTTCCCCCCTCATCAGATTCAACAGCAACATCCTCATCTCAGTTCTTTGTTCTACTGGGTCCTTTTGCGTTCTTGCGGGAAGAACTTGCTGCCTTGCCTGTCCACTGGACACGCCTGAATCTTGGTGTCCACGCGGGGTTTCGTTCCAACACGGGGTTTCCGAGTTGCCCAGATTCATTGTAGCTAACACCAGGAGCAGTTAGGAGCAGTTCCCAATCTACATACATCAAATCCCGGCTCTCTCTCTCTCTTGATTACTCAGATGGGTTCGCATCACCTCAAACTTAGGCCCAATTATCCTCGCAGTAGGACAGGCTGTCTCACATGCCGTGTCCGCAAGAAGAAGTGCGACGAGCTGAAGCCACGCTGTGCTGGTTGTCGTCGCAATCAAATCGCCTGTGAATGGCCGAGCGTGGTCTCAGATCCTTTACCAGTATTCATACACCACGATTCGCCGCCCTCGACGAGTGTGACGATCAACGATCCCGGCCAGTCTGATCACTCCGTTGTCACCAGCGACCTGCTCGCCCATGGAGGGTCAGTACTAGGAATAATACAACCTAAACCGCAGGCTCTGAACACCGTCGACAGAGCAGCTGGCCTAACCCCCCTATCTCTGCTGCTGCTCAGGCATTACGTGCAGGAGACTGGCCCCGCCCTGGCCATGAGGACACCAAGCGACAGCCCTTTCCTGACCACCGTCCTGCCACTCGCTTACATGGATGACCTTCTCATGCATAGCCTCCTAGCATTAAGTGGAACTCATCTAGCCTACAAACAGGGATCCGATCACGGTATCTTGCACGCCACAGCACTGCATTACTCCAAGGCACTATCAGGCCTGCGACATGAATTTGCTCATCTCCAAGACGGAACCTCGCCACAGGAACCGCGGCTACTTTTAGTGCTAATGATAATATGTCATTATGAGGTAAGCTTGCATATTGGGAAAGTGTCATTAGAAGTAATTCTCCTACTTACTCGTTTCAAGTCATTATCAGCCGATGTTGGAGGTGCTGTATTCAGCCATCTCAAAGCAGGCCGACAGCTGGCCTTGTCGCTCCAGTCAAGGCTCAAATCCCAGCCCGATCGCCGGACGATCGATAATGAGATTGCCGGTTTCGCCCTTGAGATATATGCTTATCTGCTTTTCGTCAACAACGTGACGCCGTACGGGGCTATTTCGAATCGGACATTGCCGTTTGATGACTTCGTTCTGTCACTAGACTCGTTAAGCTCTTTCTCGACCTTTGGGACCATGTTTGCCGGTGCACACGAACTCTTTGAGCTAATTCCACAGATCAGCCTCCTAGCTTCCCAGAGCATTGCTGAGGAGTCCGCAGGCCAAAAGACGCCGTCTTCTGAGTTACTTGCCAGAGCAGAAGACTTGTCAGCGCGGATTAGCTCTTGGACCATGGCGGAAACAAGATGCACGGGACGTCCTGGAGACTGGGAAGGGAAGCTATTGGCAGCTGCGGCGCTTCAGCAAGGGCTGCACATATATCTTGCCACTGCCAAAGCCGGGTCGACGGTCAAAGACCCGGCTGTAGCGGTCCAGATTCAGGGTCACGTCGACGCTATCTTGCATATCACGGAGATGTTGACTGATTCAGAGTTCGACTGTACCTTGCTATGGCCCTGCGTCATTGGCGGCTCGTGTATGGTGATACCGGAGCAGCAGCGAAACTTCACGCTGAGAGTTCTCAATAATCGGCATAGAATGAAGCACCTCAAGACCATCTGCGATACTCTACAGTTGTTATGGGATGATGATAGCCCGAGTTCGTACGGCCCGCACGGCTTATCTGTAGTAATGGCCAGGAATCGACATTATTTAGCCATCACTTGATGTTATTTTCCATCTTGGTAAATACAAAACAGTTAATACTCTAGTGGCCGATCATTCAAGGGCGTCGATAACTTCTTGTGCACCTCTGGAGCCTGATCGTACTGCGCCTTCCATATAGCCCTTCCACACAGTTGCAGTCTCAGTGCCAACGAAATGGATGCTTCCATACGGAGTACGCATGGCTTTACCCGAGTCACTGGTGAGCATGCCAGGCATAGCTACAGGGCTCGGGGCACCTCGGCACCATTGCTCCTTGATCCATTCCTGCTCGATCACGTTGACGGGTGCAGGAACAGCAACGCCCTTGTCTCTCGCAGCTCTGCCAAAGACATTGTCGAATTGCTCCGCGACCAGCTTCCGGCGTTGGGCAGCCGACCACTTGGACCAACTTCTCCCAGAGTCGCCGACTATAAAACAAGTTATGCTGTACTGTCCATCTAGTTCTGAACAAGAATCTCGGGAGAATGATATGGGTCCTTGAGAAGAGCTCATGACACCGCTGAGCCCTGCTTCTCGCCACCAAGCACTGTTGAAGACGAAAATCGTCTTCGCATAGTACCCCAATGCAGTACACTCGCTCAATTCACGCTTCGCGGGCGGAAGCGGTGGCTCAAAGGTGATTGAAGGGTACAAGGTAGTTGGGATTGAAACGACGACCCGCTTGGCCATGTGTCGCGGCCGGAGTGGATTTTTCGTCTCCACGACGCACTCACCAGTCTCTGTTTGTGAGACTTTAGACACGGGCGTAGAGAGATGGATGACTTCTTGAGGAAGTTTCCCAGCCAACCGAACAGAGAATGTCTGATTGCCTGCATATCTGTGAGTACATAGTTGCGTCCCAGTGCTCTATAACCTTGATCATAAGGATCCTAGGTTTTGAGAAGAGAGGCACGGGACGAACTTACCCTGTCGGTTTCTCAAATACTGACCGCCATCTTTCCTGTCGGATCCCATATTCGCCATTCCTGTTCCACTTTGGAGATAGTCGACTATGTAGAGGGTGCTAATCTCGTTGGCCTCGACGCCGAGGAGGCCGCGTGCAAGTCCGTCCGCGATGCTCGCGGCGAATCCTCCGGGAAACTTCTTGTCAGCGAACTCGCGGAACGTCATCGAGTCCAGCATAGCAGCATCAGGGCCATCGGCTGGGTTCTCGGTATGCGCCCTCTCAACAAATCCATGCAGATGTGCAAAGAACTCTTGAGCGATGGCGTTGTTTTCAGGCGTGGTGTCAGGCAGCTGTTGCTGGCCGTATGGGCGGCACACGATAGTGCCATCAGCCATTTGTATCACGTCCTCGCCCGTGGTGCGCTGCTCAATCAAGTCAAACCCAAACTCTTGAGCTAGCTTGTACATCTCGCTCTGATTGGTATCATTGATCCAGGCGGCACCCAAGTCTACGGTGCCACCAAGAGCCGACGCTTGAACGCTCAGAGTTTTCCCGCCGACCCGATCCTGAGCTTCGAGCACGGTGACGGACAAGCCAGCTTCGTGGAGTTTGACAGCAGTTTGGAGACCGGCTAGGCCGGCTCCGATGACGATGACATCTGATTTTGTGATTTCGACGGCGGCCATTTCGTTGAAAAGGATATTCGATTGAGCAAGCGACCGGTAGAACTGGAAGGTACTGGATACAATGTCTCCTTTGTTGAAATAAGGATGCCGTTTAACTTGGTGGGGTATGAGAAGACCGTAAAGTTTCGATTTTAAAAAATAGACTAGATACGGACGTGTGTATACAGGTCGAAAGAGCTGAAGGAGGTGAGAGGGGATGAATCCTGACAGATAAATGACATCCGAGCCTACCGTCCAAGAAGTATTTATATACAACTACAGAATTGTGGAATAACGGTTAGGAAGACTCTGCCCCCTGGAGGGCGCGTCCCTGTCTCAAACGCCGTTTTCCAGAACTAGGTATCTAGCCGCGGTATGCATTAGCTCGTCCCATGCCCCTGACCGTATCTACATTGTCGTGGATGTGTCAAGCACAGGGTTTCCCATGGCACCGGACTGAACTACAACGCACGACCGAATGCGGATAATTGTACGTCAATCGCTAGAAATACGGTGATCGAATCTCTGATGATCAAATAGAAGTGTGTGTGCGAACGCCTAGAGTACAGCGCCACACACTATATGCTCTAACTGCATCTTCATTTGATAAATCCCACCTAAGTGACGATACTGGGAACACCATATTGGGGTTATCATAATGATGCAAATTAGTAGCAATAGGTAGAGAGTTGGTAGACTCACATCTCCTTCTCTTGTGATTCTGCGTCTTATCACGTTCCCTCCGCTGTCTCTCTTCTTATTCTCGTTGATCATCCACGACTAGTCGACGGAACTCTGCCAGGACATTATCGTGGCTGTTTAATGGTTTTCCTGCTTGTATATGGTCAGCGAGTATCCTCACATGGTGTGGTCAGAGTGGGTAATGCGTTCTTTTATGCTGCCAGCAGCAGCCTCCTTTTGTACAAGGGCGCCCAGGGTAGCGTATAAGAGTACATGTCTTCCTGATATATGTGCCGGCCCAACCGGCTGTTCTAGCCTCCAATTCTGCCTCTTGATTGGCTAGTAGAACACGAATGTGGCAGTGATGGTCTTGCCGTCATTCAGGAGCTTGGTCCAATCTTGAAGCTATAATAAGCTATAACTAAACGATGGGATGAAACATATGAAGATCTCGCCCCCCAGGCAGTCTTTCGCAATCAAGGAATATCCGCTGCATTCAGCCTCCTCTTAAACCGACTCATTGCACTGAAGGGAGTTATGTCAGCGGAGGAATCAACGCCGGATATAACCTTTGTTCATGCTGTTGTTTATAACTAAACCCCATTGGCTGTCGAGCAACAAGGCTGAATCTGAATTCAGGTGCAGCTATTGGCCTCTCTCTTACTGGGTTGATTTTGTTGTGATGTTTGGGTATAGCGTCACAATATCGGATTTCTTCTAGGATATAGCCCGGACTCTATCATACTTTAGTTCAACAAGACTTTAACTATCAGCCGTCTTTTCTATATCCTTTGACATCAAATGCAATGTTTCCTCTTCTGTCTCTGCAAAATCAATCCACGTACTTGGCCAAACATACTTTACTTCAACCCCAGTCTTGTTCCGCAATTGTAACACAAGGACATATCCCATAGCACCCTCCTCATCCTGCGTATGCTTTATTCGTCCCCATTCCGCATCGGTCTCCCCATCCCTAAACTCACACTGTCCAAAGTCAATTAAGACTAATCGGTATCTAGGCTCTCCATCTGTTTGACAAATCATCATGTTGGCCGGCCGTATGTCTTCATTAACAATAGGCACGTTGTTGAATACAGCCCCAACGACTTTAGATGCCTCGTTCACTAGGAATTCCCAATCTTTTTGCTCGACAAACTGGTTGATTTCCGAAGCCATGAACCCATCAATGAACTCTATCAATATTCCGTAGGCATAGAAGAGATGGGGGGGTCGGCTCGCGTCTTTTTCAGTGCTGAAATCCAGAATCACAGTCGTAAAAAGCTTGGGAATGTAGTTTCCTTGATGCTTGATGAGCGCATCATAAACCTTGGTCTCTGTCTCGAATTGCTCCTTCATAAGGTCTGCAAGATACGTCTCCTTCCTGGCGCGGGGCCAGTCATCGTCGAACTCATTGTTTTCTGGGTCATCGTCATAGTCGACCAGGAACTTTCCCGCCTCCCCGTTTCGTGAATATTCAAGCAGCTCAAGGTCAATGTCGGGAGTCCACGGGTCGTCCACCTTTTGATCTTGACGGCGCTGTGTCGCGAATCGCCGATCATAGAGCTTCAAAAAGGCCGTCGTGGGTAAAGACAGATTTCCCGGGGCATCCAGAATGTCTACCACCATACCACATGAGAGGGTGGATGGAGTGATGAGCTTGCGGATCTTCACTTTGAGCGGTGTCCTTTCTGGACCGGCCATGAGGGAGAGACTCTCGGCATTTTGATAGCTAGACATGATTTCAAAGCCTGCCAATGTAGTATAGCGTATGCGACTTTAAAACGGAGCTGTGTTAATGACTGAGAATGGAATTGAGGAATGGTGGGAAACAGAAGGATACCAACAAGTTTGGCTGACCAATGAGTAATAGTGAGTCAAGTTTTACCCCTAATCCTTGCCAGCAATACGCTGTTGTCATTCATTTGTGGCCATATCGCAAACTTCTCCTGGATTGCAATCGCGGCTTTTATTATGTCAATTTTCAGCATTCAGTTGACCGCTCTCGCAAACTACATTCACCAGTCCTAGAGTCATTAGGCATGAACGCATCTCTTTTCATGACATTTGAAAGTTGAAATCGTCAAAACAGTCTGATCACCTATTCTACCTATGAGGAGTGAAACTTCCATTCATATACTTTTGGCTTATTAATTCTCTCATGATTTTATTTAGTAGATTCCTAATATTCAAATACGATTTTACTTCCCATAGCCTATCTTCCCCCTGGATGTGTTATCGTGATATCAATATGTGAAGTGTAGGGTAGTTCAGATGATGGGAAAAAAGTCGATCAAACTCCACCTTTGGCGTGAAGCGAATGTGTCAGTCCCTTCTTTTGATTGGCCAAGCCGCTCAGCCGAATGGCCACCCTCCTTGGACACTTAAAATAACATAACCAGGGCCGGTACTTCTTCCAGTCAAACCTGAAATCTGGTGGTATTTTTTTTCCTTTTCCAACATAAATTTGTTTATAGCATCGATAGGTTGCAAATCTTTGCAAACTATCAGCCTCTGGCTAAGTATACTAGTCTGCCACCACTCAATATACAAAGGACGATGACGGTTCACACGCTCAGTCCGGAAGCCCAGAATGATGGCAAGCAAGACGAAAGCTACGACAAAGAGAACGAAACCGAATTCAACAGAAACTCTCCCACACGAGATGTAGAAGCCCGAGGCCTAGAGCCCAGACAGAGTGATGGTTCATCGACCTTCAAGGCCCTCGGCTGGCTGGACCGTCTGCTCGCTTTGTGGATATTCCTTGCCATGGCGGTTGGAATCATTCTGGGCAACTTTGTATCGAATGTTGGCTCAGCCCTCAAGAAAGGCGAATTGGTAGGCGTGTCTGTGCCGATAGGTTGGCTATTCCCCTGCTCACTTCGTTTCTGATCCCTCTCACTAACCGTAATTCGACAGCTATGGGATTACTTGTCATGATGTATCCCATCCTGTGCAAAGTCCGTTATGAAGCACTCCCTCAGATCTTCAAGGAGCGTGACGTTTGGGTTCAGCTATTGTTCAGCGTCATTATGAATTGGATTGTTGCCCCATTCTTGATGGTAAGCACAGCCGCTTTCGACTGCGTCTCTATTTCTAACCTTCCCCTCGCAGTTGGGATTGGCATGGGCATTTCTGCCCGACAAGGAGGACCTGCGCGAAGGCCTTATATTAGTCGGCCTTGCTAGGTGTATTGCTATGGTACGTTGGTCCCAATTTGTAGCTGAAGCAGAGCTAATTCGCTATAAAAGGTGCTGATCTGGAATGGGCTGGCTGGTGGCAATGCGGAATATTGTGCCATCCTAGTAGCTGTCAACTCCGTCCTGCAGATGGTACTCTATGCTCCCATGGCAGTGTTCTTCCTAAAGGTCATTAGCCACAGCTCCCACGACGCTTCGATTTCCTACTCGGTAGTTGCAACCAGTGTTGCAATCTTCCTAGGCATACCACTTGGAGCTGCCGTCATAACGAGATTCGCCCTCCGAGCTCTCGTCAGCAAGGACTGGTACGATCAAACGTTCATTCGCTACCTGTCTCCATGGTCCCTGATTGGCCTCCTCTACACTATTCTTGTCCTTTTCGCCTCGCAAGGAAAACACGTCGTGGAACAAATCGTCTCGGTAGTGCGGATAGCAGCACCGCTCATCGTTTATTTTATAGTCATCTTCTTTGCCTCGCTGTTCATTGCTCGTCGGATGGGCTTCAACTACGCCTACTCGGCTACCCAGAGCTTTACCGCAGCGAGCAACAATTTCGAGTTGGCAATCGCCGTTGCCGTTGCCACGTTTGGACCGGACAGTATGCAGGCCCTGGCTGCTACGGTTGGCCCGCTGATCGAAGTTCCGGTATTGATTGGGCTTGTCTACCTGGTGCGATGGGTGTCGAAGCGTCTATTCCGAGAGACATTGGATCAAGCACAAGTTTGAAAGAGTAACAAAATTGGTAGGATAGACGATACGTCTTGGTAGAATAATATTCTTATCGCTAGTTGATGGTAGCGAAGAGGGGAGGAAAGCGAACGGCCGAAGATGAATGAGAAGAGAAAGAGGCTCAGGTGCAGATGAATCTCACTCCGAACTCAGGGATTTACGCAAAGCTTGCTCGCGTATATTTTTCTGCAATAAAGCGCAAAGTTGAGATATTGAACGTGATATTTGGTTTGCTCGCTTTCAATCAAAAATCCTCCAACGCGCGCAGCCGCTGATGCAATGCCAACTTTTAATTCATTTTATTCATGATTCATTCCCGTCGTCAACCTCATAATGAAGACCTTGTCGAAACCAAAGGGACAAATGAGAGGAGATCAAAAAGAACGAAAAGACTAGGCTTAGGGCTAGGTAATCATACAATGCAAGAGAATCCAGGAAAGAGATGGAGGGATGCAAAGGGTATTAACAAAGAGGATGGGATGCGCTGAATGCTGAGTAGGGTGTAGGAAGTCAAGTGCTGGTGCTGACGGCTCTAACGTGAAGAGCCAAATGGACGGGTCTAGTAGCTAGCTGTGTAGCAAGGAAAATCTAGACATGAGCCAGGAGACCAGGGCAACGTCTAGGTCAACTATCTAAGACCTCGCAGCAGACCTGAATTCCTCGTACCCATGGGCTCCTCAAGAGCTGGGAGACGGTGATACGACGGGAGGGTCTGGGGTCCAGAATGCAATAGAGGACATTGCGGCAGTGCTCCTATAAAGGAAAATGATGAGTCGAGAAGTTCATGGCAGTGAAGGAAGTGAATGGTCAACTCACTTGCGATAAAGATTCTATGGGGGCGAAACCATCCTCGCCACGTCGATCCTCCAGGTATTTTGTGTAGATGCTGTCCTCGTCCTTCTGTGCAATGTTCCACAGAAGCTTGCCCGTAGCCATGGCCATGTAGATAATCCCACACGCCCAGATATCCAGCGCGCGACCATCAAATTCCTCTTGTAGGAATGCCTCGGGTGCAATGTATGGCTCCGAGCCGCAGAGCCCAGAAACTGGCCGGGCTTCAGTCTCCCACGCCAAACGAATGCATTCGCTGCAATCAAAGTCGCTAATTTTGAGTTGGCCATTCCTAGTGAGCAGCAGGTTCTCAGGCTTCAGATCGCGATGGGACACGCCCATCTCATGCAAATACTCGACTCCGCATATCAGCTGCTTGAAGAAGCAGTCTGCCTCCTGCTCCTCCAGCCTCCCTGCGGTGTGAACCAGCATGTATAGATCACCGCCTGCACAAAACTCCATCGCCTTGCAGTAATCATCACTCGGGCCCTTGAACAGCCCCAGTGTGCGGACCACATTCTCGTGATCCAGCTGCTTTGACATGGCGAACTCGGCCTGTAACCGCTTGCTGTACTTCTCCTTGGGCTCCGTCGGGACGCGCCGGACGCATTTGATGGCATGTAGCGCGTCGCTGCCGGTGCTGTGCGTCTTTTTGCGCGAGAGCCACACGGTGCCGGTCGCGCCGCTGCCAACCACCTCCTGGCATCTGCCGTACTTCTCGACCATGGTGTCCACCGAGTTGAGTGCTTCCTTCTCCGATGTCTGTTTGCCTCCCCCGAGGAACTTTTTCCATGAGTTGGCCCGTTCTTGGTATCCTTTAGGCTCGATATAATGTGCATGGCCACCTGGCAGCTGGGGCCGTATGGAGAATCGCTTTGACGGTGTGTCCGGGACCTTGGCCCGCTTGAGGCCTTTTAAGCCCATATTGTAGGAAACCTTTGGTGATTTGTCACCACGGAATCATAGGACGTGAGGGGGGGAGGATAATGAGTGTGTGAGATAGGGTGAGGCTGTGTTCGTTCACCGACAGCAATGCGCATGAGCTGGCCTGCCAAGCCTTGACGCGTAAACAGAGCCAGAAGACAGTTACTGTGCGTGAAGCAGCGGGGAAAGAGGTGCTTGTTTGGCGGTCTCAAAATGGGCTTCGCTGCCAAGAGAGATGCATGCAAGACACATCGTCCCACCCTGTTGCGGGCAGCGAGGGTGTGGCGAGGGAATAAGGCATCGTGATGATTCTTCAGGTGACTTTCGAATTGCCAGTTGGCACAGGCCACAGATTATGTAGTTAACGGGGTCTTATGTAACTATGCAGTTACGGTTGCGATTAGCCACCAAATGAAACACTGCAAATCCGTCAAATTAATCACTCATGTAAACAGAGATTCTTATTAATTTAGTCTTGCAGCTCCCACTTCTCTCACCGTCTTCTATCATGCACACTATGAACTGACATGCAAGCAGGGTGATGTCATGCGCTGACAACCAGCACCTTGAATCAAGGACAGAGATGCACGACTGCAGTTGTCACACACCACATGCAGAAGCTGAGAACCCGGTTAAGTATTGAGGCAGCCGGCTAAATAGCAACAAAATCTTGACGGGAGAAAATCTCTTTGTGATATGTTCATTGCGCCCAAAGACGCCTATCATATCAGAGAGCTGTTGAGAATAGACCTTCAACCTACCTATACATGGTGCGACACGATTGCTGCTCGGACTCGCCAAGATGAATGATACGATGGCTATTGACGATAATATAATGAGATCACATGCATCCTCGCTAAATTGTTCATCTTCAATGTCACTCCACTTGTGGCTGGTACTGAAGGGAGCTTTGATTGGATATGTTCACAACGCTGTGCCCCCTCTCGTTCCCTCCATAACTGCAACGCGGGAGGCCTCTAGAATTATTCTAATATGTGTCACTATGGTGGGCATTAACTCAAAAAAAGCAAATATATAGATTTATAAGCACTTGTCCAGTTATTTCGCTGCTTGGGCTTCAGGATCTTCCTAATCCTTATAGAAAGGATATCAGGATTCAAGTTTTTCTTAAGCCTTATTAATTCTTTCCGAGATACTTATCTCAACAGGTTCCATTTGAGCAAGAAGGAATAACGGTGGTGGTCATCATAAATGCAATACCGCAATTTGGAAGGGGCGGGTTAACGCCTTATCACATCTGCTTGGAATTATACTGAGAGGTGACTTTCATATATTGAACAGTATCGCGATACATGTGTCTCTCTACCTATGATATCCAATAAACAAGGAGAGGACCCCGTTTATTTCTTGCCAATGAAAATAGTAAGCTTGCTGGGCTTGGGGGTCGTGAGAAGGCCAGACGCGTCCTTACCACCAGTCGGGAGAACATCATCATATGGGAAAGTGTACCCCTTTCCGTCTGACTGATGGGCATGAACAATACGGCTATAGTGGTTGGTTGGGCTGACAGTGTAGTATTTGTCCAGGCCCAGATTAGGCTGGACATTACCACCGTTAAGAAGGAACGTAGAACGGTGGAAGGCGGCACAGAGACGAGGAATGATGGCTTCAGCGACCTTGTTGTCCCCCGCATTCAGCTTGAAGGGACCGTTGTCGCAACTCCAGATATCGTTGATCGTGGGCTTCGCAAAGTTGCGGTTGGAACCATCACACTTCAAGACGTTGCTGCTCACGCGGCATTTGACCTTGCCAGCGCTCATCTGAGTGGCAACAGTCAGAGATTCCCCAGTGTACTTAGTCCAGACCTTGTTAACATAGTCTTGGTAGTAGTTGCCAAAAGCAGTCGGTTTGTTGACTCTGAAGCTGTTTGGGGACAAGATACGGATCGGGCCGTTGGAGCCAGCCTGGCACAAGCCACCCCAGGGACGTCCATCTTTCTGTGCCTGTTCCTTGAGCCTCGCACACGCGTTCTTAACGACAGCTGGACCGACGCCATAGGCAGAAAGCTTGCCACCGCCCTGCTTACCAAGTTCAATGCCAAGAGGAAGGCCGACGAAATCGACGTAGCTAAGGTTAACCCAGGCACTTCCATCAGCGTTGAGGGTCAGCTCGACAAATCCCCAGTTGACTCCGGCGCTAGGATCAGTAGGATTCTTCTCATCAGGCTGAACGAGTCCTGCACCGCTGGGAACGCGAACAACGCCGAACTTGAGGGCACCGGCGGAGAAATACACGCGGCCGGAGCGCAAGGCCTTGAGAACCTTCATGTTGATACGCTCACCGACCTTGACCGGGATTTTGATCTTGTTCTGGTCGATCTGGACGGGGGTCGAGGAAGTAGTACTGGGGTAGTAAAGAGATCCATCCCGACGCACGAAGACGACGCGGTTGCTGCTGTCGAGGCCAGTGACATATGCATTTACAGCGGCGCCGAGATTGTTGATGAACTCAAGGGGAAGTTGTGCGGCAGCGGCTGTCAGACGTATCTGGCTCTGATCATTGTCATTTGATGGGGGAACCACGAGTTCTTCTCCCTGATAAGTACCGTTAAGAGTATTCTCTTCTGTAATCACTATAGATTCGAAATCTCCAGGCTTGATCTCGGTAAAGTTCTCCTCATCAGCCCGGATCTCGGTCGGACTGGATGGAATAAGAGCTGCAGAAGCAGCAGTGGCCAAGCCGAGGAGGCCTAGAGTAAAGTGAGGAGCTCGCATCGTGAGATAATATGGTATCCAATGGTTAGTGGTTAAGAAGTTGTGAGCTCGTCTGAAGATGAGTGAGATGCCACACTAAGGCTGCAGGTCTTCAGCCTTTTATAATTTAAGAAAGTGTCATCTCAACTTACACATTGGATTTATTTGGTTGCGCCGACATTACTAAAGTCCCTTGTAGTATCTGACTATGTCGAGGTTCAAAGTTCTTAATGTCCGAGATGGGTGTGCCAAGAGGGTTGTTTTGTCAGCGGCGCAACCAAAGAACCCTTCTTCCGCAGCCTCGCCAGAATCATCACGTTGATAATCTTTTGATACGAGAAGGAACAGATGAGTAACATGCCAAAATGAGCTATATCCGAGCACGTTACCTGCTTGTTTGGCTCGGGCTGGATTGTATCCTTAGACACCGGCCGGCAAAGAAGGCAGTTGTGGCAAGTGGGACGCACCTCCATCCCTAGCACTGGTCAGATTCTTACTGTCGGTATGCTCTTTAGTCTAGCCTCTCTGGAATGATGACAATCCTAAGCAAATATATTACGGGTGGTTTTGCTGGTAGCCACTCACTAGAATGAAAACTGCACCGGGTGATCAAATAAAGGTCAGACACTCTGAAACAATATTTCTTGGGGCTCTCTATAGTAGCGTTAAGGAAGGGATGTTGGGTTGGTTAAAGGCAATCCCCGAAATTATATTTCCATGTGCCCCAGCCGTTAATGTAAGACCAATTAGACCTTCGGCTTCCCACAAAGGTGTGCGGTCAGCGGAGGTTGTCCATGTGACTGCCAGTCCCTTTGCCAGGAGGAGCCAGTCAAGGCAGTGTTCTTTTTTGTCATCAGACCTTGGGGAAGTTCCTTAGCATTTAATTTCCGAAGCCTTCAAAAATAACGACAAGAAGTAGCTGTAGTGATTAAGGAAAATTGTACCTAGATATTCGTAATGAAAGATGCTACATTCCGCTACTGGTTGTAAGTACCTACCTTTTCACTCCCGAACTCATGACTTCTACTGTACCAGACTAAGACCCTTGATCTTGGAGGAAAACAAGAGCTCTATGGTCCAGTTATAGCTGCCGGTTAAGAATATTCAGAACCATATCCGTGCTCCCTTCGCACATATTCTAAGATATCCTCAGCTCCGCTGGCCGCTGCGAAATCCAGCGCGGATCGGTGTTGATCATCCTCGGCCAGGACATCCAGCCCTTTGCCCATCAGATAACGGAACCTTCCCAAGCCTCCCCCCTCATGATACCTCGCATCCTCACCTCGGCCTGCCGCAACATGGAGCAAAGATTGTCCCCGGGTGCTCAGGTGAGTCCAGTCCACGCCAACTTGGCTAAACAGGTCCAGGACAAGGCCCTGCAATCTCACAGCAGCCTCACCCTTCCTCTTATCTATCAGATCTTCGGCGGCGAAATAAGCCTCGCCACGTAGTGATCGATCAACCTGGCTTCCGGGTACTTTGACCTTCACGATGCCTTTGCGCATGAACCGGAAGGCTGGTGTCTCGCCTGCCCGGTCTTTTGCGTTGATATCGGCTCCACGAGCAAGGAACTTGTGTAATAGCTCCTGTCTTCTTCCACACACAGCAGCTACGTCGTCGCCTCTCTTGGCGTCAATCTGCCACCGGCCTCCGAACAGGAGGTGCAAAGGTGTTTCGCCTGACTCTGTATTCGGGGCTGTGACATCAGCGCCATGCTCCAGGAGGGCATCGATGCCTTCACCAAGGTCACGCCCCCGGCCTGCTTGTCCAAGCGCACATAGAAGAGGGGTTCTGCCATGTTTGTCCACTTGGAACAGAAGATCAGGAGCCAGCTGTATGAGGCGGGTGAGGAATTCCCTCTGTTTAGCCATATCCTTTGTTCCGATATCCCCATAGACACGATCTGTCATGAAGCAAAAATGGGAACATAAATGATGAAGGGCATTCTTCTTTTGATTGTCCCGTGCCGTGACTGAAGCACCTCTTTCGAGGAGAACCTCGGCGACGGGCACATCTACAAGCGCACATGCTCTCAAAAACAGTGTCGCGCCAGTTCCATCTGTTGCCTCGATATCTAGGCTGGGGTGCTTGAGCATCAGATCCAGGTATGGGTTTTCACCACTATACACTTGACCGTAAATTCCTCTCCTCTCTAGTATGCGGTGTAGCAGTGTTTTACTCTCATATCTGCTATTGAGATCGGCTCCATATTCCAGTAAGAGGCTAAACATTCGTTTGCCAATGGCCACGTGGTAATCATTCTGCTTCCGAGAGTCACACGTGACTAAATAGTCGAGCACGTAAAGCTCGCTCTTCGTGTTGGGGTCGGGTCTTGCAGGTCTCACGCTTCTTTTATCAGCCGAGGACCATGACCAAACTTCCTTGCCCAGCGTGCGCAAATTGGCGTTGACCTGACCTGTGGAAAGTATTCGACGGAGGGTTTCCACATCTCCTTCGTCGATGACACCTAACAATTTTTGGTGTATGTTGGCATCTCTCTCCTCAAGAGACATTTCTTCCAACAACCCAGGGATGATGCTTTGCAACAATCCAAAACTGTCAAGATCTTCAGATCCGATGCCGTCTTGTGTTTCGAGCCCCGCGATCAAAGAAGTACGAGCATCCTCTAGACATTTGACTGTATGTTCATTCTTCTTCTGGGAGGCTGATACAATGGCTTTATCAATGAGTGCAATGTCAGATCTTGACCCTCCGGCAATAAGGATATTGACGACCTTGTCGATTTGCTTTGCTGGGTAGTGATTCGATTCGATGCCCTCAGGTTTTGGCCGGAGATTGTCAGAGATTAGAACTCCTCCAGCATCTTGTTTATAAAAGGGGTTGTCGTGGTGGACGCTGGAGCCAGAAGATTTTCGGATCCAATTCTTTTGTTCTTCCTCAAAATCAGCAACGCCATTCCATGTCGACCCGATGAATGTCTCTGTGTTGGCAGCTGCACCTTCATCAAGAAGGACCTGGACGACTTCATTGCTACCGGAAGCACATGCGTAGTATGAAGCTGTTCGACCCATAACGTCCCTTGCATTCAGAAATTCATTCCAATTTCGGTCTTCTCGATTGGTCCTGAACCAATCAATAAGGAGCCATATGACATCGACCTGCCTTGAGCGCGCAGCCAGATGGAAGACTGTTAATTTCTCATGCGTTGTCTGGGTGATATCGGCGCCAAGTTCAAGAAGTCTCCTTGTAAGATTCGTAGAACATGTTGAGGTGATGTGCAAAGGTGAAACTCCGTCGTTGTCTGTACTGTTTATGACCTCCGGATTCGTCTCTCGTAGGATGTCAAAGGCACACGGCCATTCCTGGCTACTCGGAGATCGAGGCAGTGCCTTCTTGAAACGGCACAAAACATGAAACGGAAGTACTCCATGGCTATTTCCCCAATTACAACTCACTCCGAGCTCCTGTAGGTCCATGAAGACTTGTTGTCGTACTGCCCGGCCTGGAAACCAACGTGCCCCCTCATGCCAAATTGTGTTTCCTTCAAGATCAGGCTGCTGTGGATCAACCCCTTTTTCTACAAGGAATTTAAGTAAATTCCCGCTAGTCACACAGAGCCGGATTGCAACGTGGAGGAGTGTTCGACCTTTATTGTCCGTCACATCAAAGCGTGCACCACGCTCAAGCATAATGGCAAGGAAGGACAAGGCGTAGTTTTCTCTCTGAGAATCCCATTCGTCGAGGAAGGCAAAAGTAATTGTTCTGCCTTTTTCATCCCTGCTTTCAAGATCGGGATTTATAGCGTCGAGGAAAGCCGTAAATTTCGTCTCATCAAAGTAGAAGGAATTGACCACCAGTTGCAATGCCGTCTTCCCATCCGAATTACGAATGTTTGGATCTGCACCTCCCTCGATCAACTTATTGAGCAGCTTGCGATTAGGCATCGTTTCGATTCCTGGAATCTTCGCGGCAAGATGTAAAACACTGTTGCCCTTATGGTCAAGTATCGTCGCATCGGCACCTTGGTCGAGCAGCTTAATAGAAAAGTTCACGTCCTTTTCCACCAGCGCCCGCGTCAGGAGTCTTTGCCCCGAGGGTGAGACTACAGCGTTGACATCAATACGAGGAAGTAGAGCTTCAATTATCTTCAGATTAGAAGTCCGTTGCAGCAAGGTATATCCGTTGGAGTCCACAGCATCAAGGTCTGCCCCTGCGTCCAGAAGACATATCACTGAAACAGGGTCTCGAGACACATGAAGTGGAGTTTCAGCTTTTTGGCCAACTTGATTGACTAGGAGCTCAGTTAGTTTGGGGTACCCAAGAGATCTTGAACAAAAGCGTAGAATAGAATGATGCAACAATGGCTAGTTTCTTACCGTTTCCGCCAGCTGCAATGATCAATTTGAAGCACTCGATCGTTGCCTCATTCTTTATTTTATCCAACTTGTAACCGTGGAGTCTAGTATTACTATAAGGATTTGCAATTGCGTGCAATGCATTGTATCCAGGCAGGGAAGGATCAGACTTTGCAGGAAACTCTTCCCTATGGGGTATGTTTGGATCGGCCCCAGCATCGAGAAGAATACTTATCATCTTCGGATCTCGCAGCGTACACGCTGCATAGAGAGGTGTCATGGCGAAGAATCCAGCATCTCTTTGATTCTTTGCATTAATTTCCGTGCAAGGGTGTCCCAATATCATTCGAATAATCTTCGAGTTTCGACCCCCATGAATTGCCCAGCCAAGGGCCTGTGAAGCGCCGTCAGTATCTCTGATGAAGGGACTGAACGCTTCTGCCATTGCCTCATCACTCCTCCCAAAGACGAATTGTATGGATGGCAGCTGTGGACGCCCGAAACTCATATCGTCTACGTGCTTGTCCTTGCCAAGAGAATTCCATGGGTTAGCACCAGCCTCAAGGAGAACACGAGCCACTTTGGCATTGCTCCGAGTACTCATTTCCTGTCGTCCGTATCCAAGACCAGCAGTTATGTGGAGAGGTGTATAACCGCGGCTATTATGCTGGTTCAGCTGGGCTCCATGTGTGATAAACAAACGAACTATATCCTCGCTGCCTTTGGCCACCGCATGATGCAAGAGAGGCTCGTTATCACGGCCACCATCATAACTCAGTGTTTTGTCGCCGTGATGTTTAAGGATGATAGTAGCCAGGTCTATCAACTCCAACTCAACAGCAAGGTGCAAAGCTTGAACCTCGGGCGCCAAAGGTTCTCCATTGTTTTGACGGCCTACCGTCCCAAGCTTTGCAAGTACTGTTAGTTTCGCTGCATTCTGCTCTCCACTTAGAACAAGTAGCTTGTATAGAGCCTCTAGAGTATCATGCGAGTTGAAACCATAGGCAATAGCCTTTTTCAGGTGTATGAACCAGTTACACGCCGCGTACCTCGTGAGAGGGGCAAAGATTTGTCCACGCTCGAGGGTCATATCTTCCCCCAAGAAGCCCATTATAATCTTGACAAGCTCCAAGCAGCCCGACGTCAAATATAAAATACAAAGGCGTGCTAATAGCTCGTGCGTCGGCCCCGAGTCGATCACGGGAGACTCTCTTTCTTCGCCTGCATCGATCGCCAAAAGATATTCTACAAGAGAGTGATGAATGATGCACACTGTCTCGTCTGGAAGAATCTCTAGGAGAGATCCACAGACAGATCGCACAGCGTCTTTGATTTTCCCACTGTCATCACCGTAATGAGGCTGAGTGACTTTGATACAGTCTGAAATCTCAAGGAGGCGTAAGGGTCGAGTTGCATGTGTGACAAGCTGCAATACCAGCATTTGGAGCTCCGCGGAGTGGTCCGTTCGCTCGAGGTTTTCTTTCAACAGCTCTTTGTATACGGCTGATAAATCTGCCGGTAGCCTTTCGAGAGTCTCCAGAGCATCAGGCTCGCTCTTCACCTCTGCAATAGCTTCAATGGCTAATTTTGCGTAAAGGAACAGTCCACCAGACTTGTGCAAGATGCTTTCCACAACTCTGGGATGACTCTCAGGGCTCAAGTGGGATTCAGCAAGCTTGTGCTGGATATAAGCCAAGATGTCAGGTTCGATGAGGCTTTTCTCAAGACGAATATCGAGCAGCTTGATTCCCCTCATACTTTGCTGTATGTTGACAATGGGCCTACTGGTCATTATAACCTTCAGTTCCTTGGGGCGGACGTTGCCCAGTTGGTCGAGAATTTTGAGAAAAGATTGGAGGGCGACATGATCCATTTCATCCAAAGCATCAACCACACAAAAGGCTCTGGGAAGATTCTCCAGCGCCAGTTGCAGCAATTCATACAGCCTTTCTGCCGTCAGCGACTCCACAGGCTTGGATATTTCCTTCGTCAATGCAAGCTGCAGAGGCGGACTTGACGTCAAGATTTGTGATAGCCAGTCCCGGATCGCCGCTTCTGGGCGACGATTGGATTCAATTGAATGGCGAAAAAAGAAGTACATAACAGGACCCTCGTTCAATAAATGCGTAATAAATGCTGAAGCGAGAACTGATTTACCAGATCCAGGGATCCCTCGCACCCATAGGATGCCATGCACGTGGCTCTCATGCCATTGCTTGAATTCAGGGGAAGTAAGGGCCCATTGACTGGTGCCCTTCAAGTGCGATGAGCAGTGTCTCTGGTATTCGCTGCCATCGCCTGCGTATTGTGTGGCGTTGAGCCAGATCCTGATTTTCTTGACAGTCGCTTCTTCTTGCGGCAAAATGTTGGCTGTGTTAAATTCAGCAACATCTTGGTGATCAAGAACATCAAAACCCTCGAGGGAGACGTCCGACTCATCGATGCTATCAAAGCCCGTGACCGAATAATCAGATTCATCTGCCATTTTTTCTTGATGAGTGTTTATCCAAGATGTCGGAGACAGGTTGAGTCATGGCTCATAGGATGCTCTTGAGATAAGTTCATCTGCGGGGATTGCAACTCTTGGCGTCTGACATGGGTACGACGTTGCTGCCTGGGTCTGGCCTATGAGTATATGAGAACTTATGTGAAGGATTCTGGAGTCCATACCCGAAAAGGATAACTATTATTGCTCTTTCAATTGCCTAGTTTTCCCAGTAGCCCGCGAAAATGAAGTCACAGGAGCAAGCCCCATGTTTACTCACATTCAATGTCTCAGTTTGTCTGTTGCTTGCTTCATCTAGTTTGAATGATCAGTCTTTCGATCCTTCACATACTCCAACTTGCTTACTCAACCTTATGGTTTTCCTGATTGTCGTACGTACTGCAACGTGATGTATAGTGTTGAAGGGGAAAATCACCCCAGGAAGTCACAATAGAACGAATTGCCCATCCGGGTGCCCATAGATTTACAACGTTGTCCTACTACAGGTAGTTATGCTCTGCTCTCGTCATACGGCGGCGAATTCTCCTCGCAAAATTGATTTCTCAAATTATTTGAAACTAAGCATACTGAGCTGTCACCTGGAGTTGAAAAAAGGAGTAACCAACAGGGTTCAGTGGTTTCGCGGCCACTACAAACAATGACATAGCCACAGTTCTATTCCGATGCTTAGAAACTCGTGGAGCCCCAGATGGGCAGTCTACTATATCAAGGCAGATTGTTTCATGGGTGAGAAATGGGGATCCAGGTAGGTAAAGCAATCCGATGGCAGTGGGAGCCTCGGATGTAAACATTATGATTCATTACAAAGGTCAAGCAAGTAAACTTTAGGTCAGTCCTATGGTCGAAACTCCATACATGACTCCAAGTATATTTGATCGTATTCGATCTTACCCACATCTCTTGAAATTGGCACTACAGCCGAGCGGTTGATACATGTATGCTATGCAAATGCTAAATTTCTTACATGGTATATATGTCAAATACTAATGCTAACGAGTTATCCTTCAAAATGATCTCTACCATTTAGGGATCTTGGGAGAAAAGTCGGGTTGAAACTTTCTCATGTACGTTGTATCATCTCTCTTTGTCAAGCCACACGCAAGATAGTTCTGGTGAAGCTGTGCCAGCTTTACCCTGTCCAGCTCTACCCCCAAACCAGGAGCTGTAGGAACAACCAAGGCGCCATCAGCCCACTTCAGAGCGCCGTCGGCAATGACGTCTTCATCACGACGCTTCCATGGCCAATGGGTATCGCAGGCGTAATCAAGGTTGGGAGTTGCCGATGCCAGATGGGTCATGGCAGCCAGAGAGATGCCGAGATGGCTGTTGGAGTGCATAGAGAGCCGCATACCCCAGATAGCGCAGATGGACGCAAGAGTCTGCGATCTTCGCAGACCACCCCAGAAATGGTGATCCGAGAGAACCACCTGCACGGCGTTTTGAAAGATGGATGGGGGCAGGTGGGAGAATGCTACCACAGCCATGTTGGTAGCCAATGGCATGGGAGCGTCCTTGGCCACCGCAGCCATGCCTTCAATCTCAGGAGCTGGATCCTCCAAGTACTCCACGATGCCCTTGAGCTCATTAGCAACCCACTTGGACGTCTCAACGGTCCATGCAGCGTTCGGGTCCAGTCTCAATGGCAAATCTGGGAAGGCTTTGCGTAGCTCCTTGATAGCTTCGACCTCTTGAGCAGGGGGGTACACACCACCCTTAAGCTTGATTGCCTTGAAACCAAATTCATCAATGATCTTGTGTGCCTGCTTGACGAGTCCAGCTGGGTCCAACGCCGGACCATATTCGTCATCTGGCTCTCCGGGGTGGCCTCCCCACTTGTAGAAGAGGTAAGCTGAGTACTGAACGCTATCACGAACACGGCCTCCGAGCAGTTCGCTGACCGGAAGCCCAGCCAGCTTGCCCTGGATGTCCAAGCAGGCCACCTCAAAGGGAGAGAAGACTTTATCGGCGACAGATGCGGTAGTAACCATGCCAGCCATGCCGTCACCTCCTGTAGATCTGTCGTCTGTGAGAGACTCAACACAAATCTTATGGATTGCATTTGTGTCGTAGACCGTCAGCCCCTTGATCGGACCAGCTGCTCTCTCCAGGCGACCCAGATGTGTAGAGTCTCCATATGATTCGCCGAGGCCGTATGTGCCATCTTCACACACGATTTCAATAATACTTCTCAATGCCCAGGGCTCATGCACGCCGACACTATTCAATAGGGGCATGTCATGGAAGGCCACGGGAGTAATGACAACATCTTTGATGACGCCGCGTCGAGACATGGTTGTGTATCTCTCCCTGTTCCCTCCTTTTGTTTGGTGTTTTGATAGGGGGGGCTGAGTGGAAAGTATGTATGGAAAGTATGTAATTCAGGGGTCCTTTCTCGAGAGATTGACGTTGGAAATAGTAGAAACAAGTCATGAATGCGGAGCTAATCCAATGGGTAGATGCTCTTTCATAGGCCTGGGGCAGTCCCCTCACACATGACTCGAACCATTCGCATATCCGCGGGTGCTTGGCATCCCCATACTGTCCTAGGACTAAACTCCCCGCATTCTGCCCTCCACTTGTTCGGTTACGCCGGTACTGGCAGCCAAAGTGTCACCCGCTGGCGGAAATAAATCCTGACAGGGATCGGCTCAGCCCCAACATCCGAGGAACTTGGCTCTGCCCCATTCACCTGGCATCGGCCATCAACGTCGCGCTGACCTGCCATCCGATCGCCTATTGCTCTCACTTCCGAACCGTTCTGAGGACCTGCGGTGTTGTACCGTTGATGTACGAACCGTCAGGGTCGTCGGAGCCCTTGGACCAGCGAATGGCTGACTCTCAGGACGTGGCACGGCCGTTGAAGCGGTCGAGGGGGGAAGAGTTACGGCCACGCGTGAGTAGGGCTTGCGACCGATGCAAAGCGTGAGTTCTTGATTGCCCTCTCTGATTCTCATTCAATTGCTGAAACTGATTGGCCTTGCAGTCGTAAAACCCGGTGTTCCGGGACCTGGCCTTGCGTGTTTTGCTCGCATCTTAAAGTGACCTGCGAGTTTACGGCGGCTCGTCGAAAAGGATTTCGCATACCTGAGACAGAAACCGAGGCTACCAATACAGCGCGAAGGCATTCATCGGCCCATGAGAGACCACCGACGCCTGTCAATACGACGTCTGAGCATGGGAGCAGTCCGGTCCAGGGTCACAGCGATCTTACCATACATGCTGCGCCGCCTACACAACTGTCACCGAACTCTAGCACGAGAGATCCTACCCTAGCAGAGGCAGTGATACAGATATCACATAGCCCCAACAACAATGAGCCCGTGAGCGCGCAAGACAAGGTCCAAGACGGTGGTCCCCTCATTACTCTACAGTCCTCCCGTAACTCTCCAGAACCATCGCAAACCGACCAGCAAGGCCACTATGTCGGTCCTGCTTCTGGTGTATCATTCTTGTTACGTATTCGGAGGAAGCTTCAAGTACCATCGACGGGGTACCTGAGCTCCTCCATATTCAATTTTGGGGACCGGCCATTGCCTGGGCATGACGCATCTTTTGTTATCCTCCCGCCCAAACATGCAGCAGATGCCATGGTGAAGAGGTATTTCGATTTCGCGGCGACGACTCACAGGTTCTTGCATCGGCCTACGATAGATTCATGGCTTGAGGAACTCTATGGCACCAATGGCGCAATGCTATACCAAGAGTCTGCCCGGAGTCGCATCGCCGTGCTGTTTATGGTATTTGCACACTCGAACAACTACCAAGGACGAATGAATGGCGACTCAAACGAGTCAGCGGCGGATGCAGCCGAAAATAGGTGAGTCTATCTCAGCTCAATGTCTTTCCTACTTCTAACAGCACCTCAAGCGCACGGTACTTCGCCGTAGCAGAGCATCAACTATCAATGGAGAAGGGCCAGATCAAACTAAGCAATGTCCAAGCACGGCTCGCACAATGCTTCTACCTGCTGGCCCAATCCAGATTAAATCACTGCTGGACACTTTTTGGAATCACGGCTCATCTGGCTCTGGCCCTCGGAATCCATCGGAAGTCAAGAGTCGATGCCAACACGTCAAACCGCGTTGATCACATTGATCTCGAGTGTCGAAAAAGGACGTTTTGGTGCGCCTACAATCTCAACACATATCTGAGTGCAGCATTGGGGCGTCCGATGACTTTCCATGATGAAGACATAGATCAGGAACTACCGCTAGGGATTGATGACGAGCGTCTTCGGTCAAGTCCCCCGCCTGGGCCATCGATGCTCGGCCCATCTATCACATCGGCCACCGTGGCACAGATCAAGTGAGATTCCCTGATTAAGCCGAGTGCTACCGCCCTGCTAACATGTTTCAGGCTATCCCGGATTCTCGCTAGGATTCTCAGAGTTCTTTACGGTATAAATCCGCCATCGACAGAGGAGCAATTCACCCTGACTGCAAAATTCTCCCGGGAGCTGGAAGAGTGGCGGGAGCATATATCATACCTCCTTGACACAGATGGCAACTCGGCCATTTTCGTACGACTTGTGTTAAGACAGAGAGACGTTCTCAAACTCGCATTCTGGCATGCGCAAATCCTAGTCAACCGCCAATTTCTCCTGAAAACATTCACAAGCTTAGCAAACTATGAGCCCAAGGCTGGAGGCCCTCTAGCTCAGCGGAAAGAAGAGGTGCAGAAGAATGTCAAGACATGCATCGAAGCCGCAGAGCACATCATCGAGCATATTGATCGTATCAGTGCGGCTGGCGAACTTTACAGCACCCTCTTTGTAGGTCAACAGGTTTCATAACAAAATCACTCACAAAATACTAACCTGCTGTGTCTCGCAGTTCATCCCATATTATGGATTCAACGCCGTAGTTATCCTCTATCTATACGCTATCCAAGAACGAAGTGAACGCCCTGAAACCTACCTCCGCCACTTTCGCGCAGGCTCAAAATGCCACGCACAGCTTGAGAAGATCGCGACCCACGGT